CCACCTGACCCGTGCCCACGCAGAGCGAACGCGCTGAGAGTGCGAGGCATCGCAGGACACAATCATCACCTTTGAGCGAGCGAGGCGGGGATAGGGGTCTAGTAAAGTGGAGGAGGTGCGCAAGTTGCAATCGTTCCCTCATGTCCGGCAATTTTCCCCCACATGGTGCATGTGCCAGCCCTTGGAAATCCTTCCGGGCAGGTTCTAATGCAAGCCACGAATCGAGCATGGGTTGCAGCCGCTCCACTTGCTGGACTTGCTACAAGAAGCAGCATCGAACTGACAATCAGTGAGGGTGCCAACAAAAGGGGCCGCCGATGAGTTTGGTTTGCTGGACAAGCGTCAAACTGGAAACTTGCCATCGCACTTTAGAATAAAATAGAATATATCTGTTGGAGAAGCCCCGCAACCCATGGCACGAAAGCAACATCGCGACACAGCCTTGAAGTGTGTCAGTACCAGTCACACCCGGCCCACAGCTCTGGCAGGCTTCTGCTTGCGCTACGAGCTGCTCAGTGGCGCTCAGTGACTCAGCAACTTGCCTAGGCGGGAGCGATGAGTTTGGCTGGGAGGACGGAGGGCAAACAGCGGTTTAATTGGCGCAGAGATGCTTACGACAGATGCCTCTGCCAAAAACAGCTTTGCAGACTCCATTGTCTTTGATTCATCGCTGCCCTCAATCTGACCCCGCCGTTGCGAGCAGAACCTCCAGAATTGGTCCTGGGCAGAAGCAGCGGTGCCCGACATACTGGCCTGTTCCAAATGTTAGGAAACCAGCAGCTGCAGTCAACAGTGGGATGGCTACCAGGCTACCTGGGACATAGGAGTTTTTGGGAAAACTAGTGAGGTGTCAGTGGTCACTGCCCGGTGGAAGGTACGGTCAACGGTGCGGCGTAAGCCAGTCCTCCATCAAGCTCGGAGATTGAACCTTGCCCTTGACCAAAGCGTCAAACGCACTTGCCACAGCGAGCCACCAGCGTGCACTGTCGCGGTTCTTGGGCTGGTATCGCCTGGCAAATGTGTTCCTGGTAGGATTGGCTGGCGTTGTCTCAGGCTCCTGCCTTTTAGCCTGCGGGGATGGGGTTGTTGGCTCCGGATTCGCTACTTTGGCCGCGGCTGGTTTCTTCATGGCTTTCGCACTCCCCTTTCCTTTTGCCTTTGCTTTGGCTGCCGGCTTGCGTTGGCTGCTTGATTTGGGCTGAGACTTGGCTTTGGGTTTTCTCCCCTTTGCCGGCTTGAGCATTTCGCGGTCAACATCCTTCCCATGTTCGTTGTCCTCGCACTCATCATCGGTGTCTTTTTGCTTTTTGCGCTTGAGGGAATTCTTAAACTTCATCTGCTCCTCTCGGTCCGCGTAGGCCTCCCCAGGGTTAGTTTCACGTGAACCCTGCTATCCCCATTATTCAAGACACTTGAACCCAACCAATGCCTCCACAACTTCATCCTTCATCAACTTGGAAGTGGTAGGGCTACACATCACCCCGTCGACAGGCTTCAGGGGAGCCGCCGGCTCTGCAGGCTTGCGGGTTTCTGCCTGGGCAGCGGGCGTTGGGCGATCTTCTGCAAACCCATTGAAGCTGCCGTTCTTGTCCACAGGGTTCGTGGATCCTGGCGAAACTACAGGTGACCGCGCCAAGGGTCGGGAGCGGTTTTGGGACCAATGGCAGGAAACATGTGGAAACGAATCCAACGAATTCGTTCAGAAAGTCAGGAATGGTCAACGAGCAAACGGTATAGCGCTCTGACGCCTGCCTGTAATGAAGCTTGCAACTTCGGTCGCGTCAAAGGGCAGGGTTTCAGCATTCGAGTCATCCTGTGTTGAGCCTTGGTATGGGAAGTTTGCGTAGCTAGGTCAAGCGAGAGGATCGATTTAGGCGCCGGCTTTTCCAGGAAACTGGCACCGCCCGAGCGGCAAACGCCAATCGCTTTTCTGCCATGGCTTGCCTTGCCAGCGGGTTGGAAGAAAGGAGCCCCTCAAAACAAAACTCAATGGTTTGTCCTTTGTAGGGTGAAAATTAGTTGCTGGGGAGCTGCTCCAGTTCCCGAATTTGGGCATCAATGTCAGGTTCCTCCGGCTCTTGCTTCTCGGCTGCGTGCGGGGGCATAGCGAAAGGCGAGCCAAGGCATTCGGTTTTCTTGAGCTGCCCCCCCAAGGTCCAAGCCAGTTCCTCGTCAGGTTTTGCAGTTTCGGGAGTAACTACACCCTCGTCATAGCCATCATCAAGAGCTGTTTCTTCTGTGGTGTGATCCTCAGGGGGCTCAAGGGCTGATCCCAAATCCTCCTCAGAATCCTTTTGATTCTTGGGCGGCCAGAAGCTGGCAAGCTTGTTGAACAGCTCCTGCAAGTTGGGGTCCTCAGCAGCAAAACTGACACACTTTGTCGCAATGTCCTTTACAAGGTAATCAGCTCGACTTACCCTGTTTTAAACAAGCATCTTTCCGGACGCTGCCGTCATTGCGCCGAATGAGTAAACTGAGTAGCCCCTTCAAAGCGTGCGAATCGCAATGTACGAGGCTAGGCTTGGTTGAGAGCCTCATGATCACCCGCAGCTTTCGCACCTCCGCAAGAAGGCGCGGCCGGCTTGACATTGGCACATTGATTTTAAGCTTGTGTTTTGCGGGTGGGATTGCTTGGCACACCAGCCTCGCGCTTGATGCTGTCCACTGGTAGGGTTTTTGGCTTGCTCAAGGAAGAGCACCAGTGGGATACGATCACTTCCATGACATCGAGGTTCAGGGCAAGTTGGTCTAAGGACATGATCCCTGTCAGTTCGGGGCTGGTCCAGCGCAACAAGCTGCCAGTCTTGACAACTAGACGCCGCACAGAACTACTTGCTTCAAGGTTTTCGGCCAACCCGTCCAGCGGATCCCTGTCAGACAGGGCTCGAAGCTTGTAGGCCATGGCACGTGAGGCGCGCGACCGAGCAACAAACCACTTGTAGCCAGAAATCGCTGACACCGACCCCCAACCTGCAAGCTTGCAATCGCGCCAACACATGCGCCGACCTGAGATAAGCGCCAAGGAGGAGCAGACCCACCCAAGCCTGCAACAAAAGGCTGGCCCTCAATCAGCCGTCAGAGAAACGGCAGGCCTCAAGACAGCAGCGAAGCTAATGTCCACCAACTGCCTGGGCCAAAACTGAAGAAAACGCAGAACTGACGCGCTGACGGCAAGCGCTGGCCTGGCAGGCTGAACGGGCAGGCCAGCACCATCGCACCTGAGCAAGCTAAATTAATGAGAAACCCAAACTCCCCATCAGAGCAAGCCAAGTGCCCGACTTCCATGCGTTCGTCCCAGCGCCAAAGACAGCCCGCAATTGCTTCTGAGAAGCACCTGCGTGGGTACACTCGCGATTGGAAAAAACTAGGCGGTTTGCCCCATGCAATGTTCTAAGCACTGGGAGGACGTACTTTTGAAACACTGCCACTCTGCCAGTCGATCAGTGCCCTGCAGGCTCATCGCGCGCTTGTGAGACCTTGTCGTCCGGGAGCTGACCTAGGAGTTGAGCGGCAGGGGTGAGCAACGGCCTTTAGCATAGTGTTGTGGCTGAGCCTTTTGGCATCGATCTAAGCATTGGGCTATCTTTCTGCCATTTGTTCAGAAAACTGGCCAGCTCATAAACAGCGCCCTTGGCCTCAAAGTTCGCCAGAATTGTTTTCGCTTGCTCTTCGCTCAGCGTCTCCTCAGCCGGGCAACTCCGATCTGTTCTCGGGGGCAAGCACTGGATTGGTTTCTAATCACCCCTGATTTCACAAATAGACCCCGCTTTTCGGACACTGGGGCAAAGCTATTTCGCAGGGTGTGGGCTGTGCCGGCAAGCATCAGATGGCTTTTCACTTGGCCAGAGAACGCCCTGTACCTCCTGGAAAAATTGATCAGGAAGCTCAGCCAGACCTTGAGGCATGATTTTGGCAGCGCATTCAAAAAAGAGTCCAATCATTCAATCAATGACTGAAGATAAGGCGACCACCAGCATGTTGCATCATCGCACTCACATTTGGATTTGAAAGTGCCATGAGTCTATTCTTTCTTGAGCCAAGTTCTGAAGAAAGGACTGCCAGTGTTCAAGAAGCGTGTGCAGGAAGGGGCAGGGCGTGCCAATCAGGCCACCATCGCCGGGCCAGGGCTGCGATGGAGCCAAAAAGGGGCAAGCGCTGATCGTTCAAAAAACGCCGGAGCCAATCAAGAAACGCCGGAGAATGTCTGTAAAGTCTAGCAATCGCCGCTGGACGCCAAAAGGCGCCTTTTGCCATCTCAGGCAGAAATTTTTGCCTTTTGGATTTCCTAGGTATCATGGCACCGTTTGAGCAACCTCCGCGGGGAGGACTGCTCGCACCTCACCTGCTTCAACCCCCCACCGCCTGTTCTGGGTTTTTCGCCCCATGCATCTCACCCGCTCTGTCTGCACTTTACGACATCTTTACTCTGCTCCCTTGCTTTTCTGCTGTTCTGCTCACCAATGAGTTTGCTTCTTGCAACTGTTTTGATTGCTCTTCTCCTTGCCTTCATTGCATATTATCTCCCCATCCCTTTCCTTGTTCTTGTTCTCACTTCGCTCTGCTTTCGCATGTCTCCTCGCATGTTGCCGGCTCAACCTTCTCATCAAAGGGTGTCCACACTTTACACCAGTGCGCATCTCTTGGGTGCTTCTTTGCTTCACTGGCTTCTTTGCTTCACTGGCTTATAAGTGGACACCTGCAAGTAACTGGCAACACAGCCTCAACCCTAAGTGTCTTCAGGCTTCCTCGCTTTCAAGCCAGGTTCATAACCCCTTGAAACCCTCAAGGAACCCTCCGGAACGGGCCGATCGAAAGCTTGCAGCTGGCAAGAAAACACCACGGGGGGAAGCCTCCAGATGGCTGCTTTTCAATTTTGGCTTGCCTTCAGACACCCAAAAAATCTCAAAAAAAAACAAGAAGAAGCCCGGGTATCCCCAACCCTCCGGATCCCTCCCTGGAGGCGTTGCCTCTTCTCAACGGTACCCATGGCATGGCGCCAGGCACGGGGCGGCTGCGGAGCTTTCTGCAGAGCTACCCCAAGCTCAAGGACGGCGGCGCGGACGCGAAGCCGGGACTGCCCCAGTCGTGCCCCTTCCTTCTCCCCCCGGTTTTTTGGGGTGGGAGGCTTCCCCCTAAAGTAGAAGACCGGGAAGAAAGAAGTGCGTGCCCTGATTCCAAGCTCTCCACTGGAGGACCTAGGTGTGGCCGATCCTTTGCACATGAGTTGTTGTCTTTTTGGGAGGTGGGACCCCTTTTGTTGGTACCCCATTTTGGCGGTCCAACCTACAAAAAGTCATCGCGTTTCCCACTAGGATTTGTTTTGTCGGAGTGGGCGATTTGTGCGCCTCCCAATGGACCAGCGTTAAGCCTGGTTTGGCAAATGTTTGCTTCTAGTTCAACTCACTCCCTGAGTTCCGGCTCGGACTTTAAGCTTTTTGGGAAGAAACAAATCTGTTGGGCTTTGCTCGGCCCATCCACTCGATCGGAAGTGAGTGGCTGTCCCGTAGTTTCCCTATGATTTTCTTCCAGTTGCTTAAGAATATGTGTTTAATTTTCCTTGTTGGTGTTGAAAGGAATTTGTCACTGGAACTATTTAATTTTTTCCCCGGGGGTCTTAACCAAATGGATGTATTTCGCGCTGCTTGCGCGAGGAGGAGCCCCAAACATCTCAAGCGCTCTTCACGCGCTACAGCTCTCGGGCCTGGGGCCCCTTCGCCGGAAGGTTGGGTGAGTTTCTCCAGGGGTGAATCAGGGCTCCAAAAAAAAGATCTCCATGTTGCAACCAGCTGAAACATGGCTGTGGGTCAAAACCAATGGTACCATTTTGGGGTGCACCACCCATTTTAGTCTATCAGTGGGTCTTGGGATGTTTACTGGGGGTACGGGCTTTCAACACCGAAACAAAGTTGGAAACCACCATTTACAAGTTGCAATGTTCAGGTGTAGAATGTAAGGATCCCTGTTGATTCCATGTCCATTCTTTGCAGTCATCGTTCTTTGCAAAAACCGGATCCGTTTCACCTGGGTGTTTAAGATGGTTTCCTGAAAAAAATCGGATCCCTGGAAAGATGGGGAAGGTACCCCTGGAGTTTCATGTGTGCCACGGTGAAAAGACCGGTTCCTTTACGTGGGGTGAACCTTGGGATGGTCCTTGCTATTGCTATGGGGCAACGGATCTTTAGACTTTGACTTTTGGGTTGGAATCAAGGGTTTACCGAATTGAGCCCACAAAATGTTAAACTTTCTGCAGAGGGGTCAACCGCAACCCAGGTCACCCGCCTGGTAAGGATCCTTCCATTGTAATCATTCCTATGAAGCGAGCCATGACCCAATCGGCCATGTAAGAGTTTTGACCATGTCTCAGGCATCTTTTGGGGGGGGGATACCCACTTTTGGTTGGGTTTTAAAAGGAAGCCAAGAAAGCCAACTTGTTTCGGGTGTCCCCTAGATTGAGACAAACCCATGTAAATGTGCGGTAGTGCCTATGCGTAAACTGTAATGCCTCCGGCTCCATGCCAGGCCTTCTTTCTTACCCCCCCTGCCCCCCATGTTTTCCCACTATGTCCCAATTATGTTCCTAATGTTTCTCCCATTGGTTTCCATTGTTCTCCCCATTGCTTCCGATGTTTACATTCCCGGTGGTGTGCAATGTTTTCCCCATGTCCCCATGGCTTCCAATGATCCCCCCACCATATTTTCCCATGTTCTCCCTGGTTGTTCTCCATGATTTTCCATTACCCGCTATTTTCCGAATGGTTTTTCAATGTTAGCACCATGGTTTCCAATATTTCCCCATGGCTTCCAATGCCATATTAATGTTCTCATGGTTTCTCTGTTTGTTCTCCATGTTTTATGTCTTTGCCATAAAATGTAGCACAAACGGAGGACAAGGGACGGTTGCTGCCTCGTTGCAAATCCAAGGTTGAAAAGGTAGAATCTGCCAGGAAGAGCATTGTCAGTGGCCTGCTTGCTGGAGCATTTTGCCTTCCAGATTCGCCATGCCACGCCACAAGCAGACGATATTGGAGCACATCAAGGACATCGAGACCGAAGACTGCTCGGAGAGAACCCAGAGGCGACAGAAGAGCATCGCTCCGGAAGCTCTGCAGGCTTGCAGGAGGCTCGGCAGTTCACTTCCCCTGCTTGGCATGCCCGGCATCTCCCTGACACAGGAGGCCCTCTTGGCAGACCTACCAGGCCTTGCTGCCAAGATTGGCCGCCGCCCTTGTCCACGTTCCAACTTCCTGGAGCGACGCTGAGTGAGAATCAGCCATGCGGTTGCCAGGGCCTCCGAAACTATCCGGTGCCATTGGATTGAACCAGGGTCCGGTGCCGAAATTTACTCGCCGGTGTGATAGGGAATGACAACGAGCCCAGGTGTTGGTTGCATAAACCAGATCCGGGGATTCCCTTCAAGGAAGCCACCAGTGGGATCGTTTGTGGGGGTCATTCCAAGTCTCATTCCCTGCATCTCTCGCACCAGCAAGTTTATCCACTTGCAATAATTCAAGCTGGGTTGAATCTCATTGCATCTTTGTCTTCGCCGGGTTGTGTTGATCCACCCTAAGCTTGCGCTTCCTCCAACCTGGCACCGGACAGGGGGGGCCATTAAATTGATTTTCCCGGCACCCTCCCTTTGTTTGTTCGTCTCACTTTGTGAGTTCATGGACTTTTTTGGGAAAGCAGAAAGTTCATGGACTTCAAGCTGTTTCGGAAGATCGGCGTCAAGCAGAAAGCTCAGAACTTTCCGCTTTTACTCGGAAGTGAGTTGGACGAATTGTCTATCTCTTAGTCGCACGTACTTGAGGCCATGGCCTACTACCGCCAGATGCTGGAGTTGCGATCTGAGGGCAAGTCCACGGCGCGGGAAATTTGGGATTCGTCGTGTGGGTCCCGGGAGTTTTTGACCCAACCAGTGGCCCAAACACTATGTTTTATTAATGTGTGTTTTGTTTAAGGATAATATTTGAATTACATGGTGTACATGTTGTGTTTGGAACTATATGTTTGAATGTTTATATTACTGGCGATTTGGTATCGGATCTTTGGACTTTCTGTAGGTTGAAACACCCATTTTGGGGCTCCAACCTCCAAAAAGGCACAGCCATATTGGATATGCCTGGAATTTATCGCTATTTGGTAAGGGATCTTTGCACTTTAACTTTCTGTTTGAGACAGGCACCGGATTTTCCGAGTTGGACCTGCAAAAAGGTTAAACAGCTGTTTGCAGAGGGGTCAAGTATGGCCATAGGTGGCCTTTTGATCGCTGAGTTTCGTTAGAAATAGATGGTTTAGTCCGGGTTTATGCGCCAGTTGCCAGGAAATTATAGTTTTGCAAAAAGGTCACGTATAATGATGGCCCGTAATTATAGCATTCAATTATAGATACATGTCAAAACATGTTGTTGATTGACAAAACCCCTGGTGTTTTCCCAGTTGAGAGAGGATAGAGCGCATTTGGTGAGAAGCAAATTAATAGCTTGATTCATCTAGGGTCGGCACTGTCGACAATAGCTGTTGTTGTTCTTTTGGGGGAACTGGGTATATCAAGTCCGTGGAATCTAGATATTTCCTGCAGGGCCACATTGCAGAATGTAGCGCTCATGAGTCGACCCAGAGGTGGGCGAACACCTTGCACGATGTTTCCATTAGCCAGCGCGACCGCCATGGATCAATATTCCATGTAGGGCCCCCAGTTTTGACCATGGGTAACGTTTTCCATGTGGGGAAAAGTCATTTTTCCGTGCTTTTCTCTAATGGTCACCCTATACAAAGGACCTTTTGATTAACCCCATACAGCAAATAATTAAGATAGCTAAGCCTTGCCTCAGGTTGGACACGTTTGCACCTCATCACACCGGGAATTCGAATCCATCCCCACAGGTCAAGTGTCCATTCGGGAGAAATACAGCTAACTGGCCGTTGTGCTCAAAACATCGAAGCTGTGTCTCACGGCATCACGAGACCTTGTTTGGCTTCGCGTTCTGCGAAATGTTTCACATCATATTTATCTGCCTATTGTACAATCAGCTCACCTGGGGATAGAACCAGTTCACCATAAGAAAGGTCCTGTGCTTGGAGATGTTTGCTGTCCATGAGGAGTGTACTTTGCGGTAATGGTTCATGCCACATTGGCTCGAGAAGTGTGGTGTTGGACGTGCACGATTTATCAGACCTTGAAGGTCCGGAGGTGCAAATATAGCTTCCGCCACGCTGGGGGCAAACCATATGCCAGGCATCCAATTCACGCGCGTCCAAGGTCATTCGGTCAGTTCCAGCCTTTCCCCATGGCTATTTGGTAACGGATCTTTGAGCTTTAATTCTCTGGTGGAGACAGGCGCCGGATTTTCCGAGTTGAACCTGCAAACAGGTTAGAAAGCTGTTTGCAGAGGGGTCAAGTATGGCCATGGGTGGCCTTTTGATCGCTGAGTTTCGTTAGAAATAGATCGCTGTGTCCGGGTGTATGCGTCCAGTTTCCAGGAAATTCTAGTTGTCCAAGACGTCACCTATGATTATGGCCACTAATTGTAGCATTCAATTATAGATACATGTCATAACATGTGGTTGATTGACCAAACCCCTGGTGGTTTCCCAGTTGAGAGGGCATAGTTCACAGTTGGTGAGAAGCAAGTCAATATCTTGATTCATTGGGGTCGGCATTGTCGACAATAGCTGTTGTTGTTATTTTAGGGGGACTGGGTATATCAAGTCCGTGGAATCTAGACATTTCCTGCAGGGCCACATTGCAGAATGTAGCGTTCATGGGTCGACCCAGAGATGGGCGAACACCTTGCACGATGTTTCCATTGGACAGGAAAATTGCGCCTTGACAGGGTCGCACTTGCCGTCAGCCCGTCGGCTCGCAGGCTGGCTTAGCACCCCCAAGCAGCAGCGAGGGGCATCTGGCAGCGGCAGGAGGCCGGAAGCAGATGCCTGGATCGGTTGCTGTTTCTAGGTCCCCCGACTAGGTGCCCTTTGACCGTTTCTTTTTTTGGGGGAGGGTTCCTGTACTAAAATAGACTGCCAAAATGCTACCTACCTGAAAATGCCAGTTGCTGAGCTGCTGGGCTGCTGGGTTGTTGTTTCTTGCGCTGTTGTTGGGCTGTTGGGCTGTTGATGGTTTTGTTGGGCTGTTGCTTTTGCTGGGCTGTTGGGCTGTTGGACTGTTGGGCGCGTTTTTTTCCCCCCAGCAACTGTCACTGTTTTTAGGGCAAAGTGTTTGGAAAAAAAGGCAGCAACTTGGCGATCCAGGTGCTAGCTTCCAACCAGAAGTTTCCCTTCCTGTCCCCTTGGTGTCCTTCTTTGGATTCCCATGCTTTCTTCGATGGGGTTTCCTTTGTTTTGCCTTACCGACCGTTTTGCTCAAATCGCAGCAGAAACTCCAACCACTTGGTGTTGGACCTTAGAAAATACACTATTGAATCTTGGAGTCCAACCGGGCCCCTTTGCCATGACTACCCCCCCGACACTCCAGAGTGCCGTGCTTTTTCCATCCTATTCCATTAAAAAAATAGAATCTTTGGGCAAATGATATCCCACCTGAAGCCTGAAGGGTTATGGTGGGCTGATCTCACCCCATGACGAAGTCTGCCCTTGTTTCTGTGTTTTTTTGGCTCTTGTTCTTTTTTGGGGGGTCAATTTTGTGTGTCTGTTTAAACCGCCAGACTCAGACTGTCTTTTGTTTAAAACGGAAGCACGAGGGCGGTAAAGCTGGTTTAGAAATCTGCTGATCGACTTGGTCCAACCCTGAAAGCAAGCGAAGAGGCATGTCACTGGTATCTGGTTTCAGATCCTTACTGACATCACAGTGTAGCATGAAAACATCCAAATCTCAAGCCATCGGGAACCTTCAGTGAAAAAGAGCGATCACAATGTGCTGATGTTTTTCAGTGCAATGCTTCCATTCTTTTGGTTGCAGCCGCGTGTGCTGCCTTCATGAAGCAAGTTTACTCGGCGAATCCGTTTGAGACATGTGTTGCCTGAGCCCCCAAGTGCCGTGGATCCTGCAGCAGAGGGTGCTGTGACACGTGGCTATGAAACCCCTGCAAAACATGGGGTAGTGCTTCAGATGGTGTGAACATCATACCCTACTGGTTGGAAATCGTCAGACTTGTCGTCATAGTTGCCATCATCATCATCATCATCATCATCATCATCATCATCATCATCATCATCATCATCATCAGCATCATCATCATCATCATCATCATCATCATCATCATCATCATCATCATCATCATCATCATCATCATCATCATCACCATCACCATCACCATCACCATCACCATCACCATCACCATCACCATCACCATCACCATCACCATCACCATCACCATCACCATCACCATCACCACCACCACCATCATCATCATCATCACCATCACCATCACCATCACTATCCATTCACCATTGACCATTGACAATTGCCATTGACAATCGCCATCAAAATCGTCATGAGCATCATCAGCATCGTCACCACGAAGATGAAGTCACCCACTAATCTCGCCGACATGAGTACTTGTCAAGGATGTTTTATGTGGCACGGACTGAACACGATAGGACCATCGGAGAAGGAGGACAAGGAAGACGATGAAGAGACTGCCCTCGGAAGCTTGGCCAGAAATTCGCTAATGACTCAGGCTCAATTGCCGACTTGGGGCAGTTAAGCAAACAGATGTTCACTTTGTCGTCCCATGGCGAGAAAGCGAAGCAGCCCAACATGATTTGGCCGGGCATGACTTTGAGGGGAATCCAACCACTTGTTGTGCCCTTACTTAAAGACCTCAGCGTGCTGAAATAGGATTTCTCAATGTTTTAAGTAATTGCACAATAAGCTCAGTGGTTCGCAGTTCAATGCAGGCTCCACATCTTCAAACTAAAGACATGACATCTACTTTTGAATTTGGAGACACGGCCATGTCAAAACTTGGTGAGGAAGCGTGGAGGAAGAGCTTGCGCAGCTGGAAGCCACCTACGAGAGGCGTTGTCCTCAGAGCACCGGCGGTTGGCCGCTACCTGTGCCGGATTGAACCAGGTGCATCTCTGGCGCAGGGAGTTTTCCACAAAAGGAAGCAACAAGTACCTTGTTGAGGTTTTCCTGTTGTTGTTTTTTCTGTTCTTCCAGAACCCCTTGTTTAGCTAGGCCTGGGATTTGAGTTTCTGGCATGTCCTTTGAGAGATAGTGAAACGGACCCCGAATCCAGAACCCCGGGTGGCATTCGGATGGAGGGGTTTCCAATGAGTCTGAACAAAGCACACTATACAGGAGGCTATGGAGATTTCGGGGCGAGTTGAGTACCGAGGGCTGGTTTCACATTCGCCGTTGCAAGTGTGGAACCGTATCCACTTACTGTTGCCATCGGTGACTTGAAAGTGCACCACATCTAGTTGAAGGCATCACTTTTTGAGCATATATGTGCTTTTCGCTTTGGGCCTGATGCTTGCCAAAAGAGATTCACACAGAGCAGCCCAGAACATCTGGCAAGTGATACTCACACAAGTCTTTCTGTTGTGCCTGCCCAGTTGGAAAAAATGCAAACAACTCCACGAGCCACAAGTAGTTAAGTTGACCCTGCCGCAAGGAGGGACGGACAACGGCCGGTGTGTTGTGGATGTGTCAAAAATGAGTGATGGGTCTTGTTTTGGATGCCTGCGGATTCCCACCAGAAATGTGCCACAAGAGCTCTGAAAGAGTGGAACAATTGATGGAATCCGCACTTGAGGCATCCAATCGCAGGCGGTGTCTGGAGAAACTTCAGAGCATGGCAAAACAGCGTATATCTGATGCCAGTCAGCAGTATCCAGCCGATGGTGCCATTGCCAAATGTTATAGTGCTGACTTGAAAGTGGTTGATGAATGTAGGGCCCTGCTTGAAAGGCACCCATTGAAGCATAAAGGTGGGATTGCGGCAAGCAATCTTGGTGACACAGGGCGCAGAGTTGCTTCAAACTGCGCCAGGGCTGTTCTCGTCAGCCATAAAAGAAAATCACTATAGGGCTCACCATTCTCAGAGCCGCTAACATTGAGAGCAGCAAAGCCATCCTGCACGATTTGACTTCCGGAGTTGGGACACTGCGAAACATATCTAAGCAGCATTCTATCAAAAGCGGACCTCGAATTGCTTTGCAGTGGCTGTGCGCGCAACCTGCATTGTCAAAACATCGGTGTTTGGGTGATGCTACGGATGAGAAGTTGCACAACGCTGTTGGCAATGGAGAGAACATTGCAAGCACGCAGATGTTGTCAGCACATAGAGCACGCTGTCCTTGGCGACTATGCTGTGTTTGCCGAGGTTGAGGCAGCCCGATGCTGCAAAGAGTCAGCAGAAGGCCGGTCGAGAGAAGAAGAGCTTTCCACTTGGTCTGGCCTGGCGCCATCCCTCATCAAGACCCCAGACATGCGTGGTCGTTCACGTTTTGCTTGAAAGCAACGCCTTGTCTGCACATCCCAAGGTGCACAAAAGGATGGGCAAGTCTGCTGAACAATATTACCTAGTGTGCATGCTTGAAACACTTTGATCCAACACGTGAGCACATAAATTGCATACCAACTTACAAATCACTGCACGAGGCAATATTCTCGCCCCCTGCCCTGGACGGGTAGCCACTTTTTCCGTGCTTTCCATTCCACAGCTCGCCTGAGGTATTGTGGTGGTATGGAGGTCAAAATGTGTTTCGGGATGTTCCGCCATTTCTTCTGATACACGGCCGGTCACAGCAAGCCCAGAAGTTTTTAAGCGTTGAAGCAACAAGAGGTGAGGCCTGCGCCTTTTTGTTAAGGGGATGCCACATGGCCAAAAGTAGGTGCCAAAAATGGAAGGAACCCTGGTAAATAGAAACATGGACTAAAACCTGCGGTTTTCTGGCAAATTAATTTTGACCCGTACCCACATTTCCAAGTTGGCCATGGGTCAAAATCCCGTACCCCCCGTGAACATCCCAATCCCCGCTAAAATAGACTAAAATGGGTGGTGAATTCACCTACCCCAAAATGGTACCATTGGTTTTGACTCACAGCGACATGGCTGTTTCTCCAAAATTAAATTAGGGTACAACAACTCAGATGCCCATGGGAAAAAAAGAGCATCCTTTTCTGGTTGGTTTGACCCACAGCCACAGTTGTTCGGCTTTTCCAGCGCATCATCCAAAAGCCTTGGCGCAGGATGCCAGGTCAAGCAGCTGACAAATCAGATTGCGTGTGGCGAAGCTTGTGGCAAACTGGATGATTTTGTTTGAGTTTGAGATTTGATATTTTGGTGTGTGTATCTATGTATCTTCTATACCAATAGAGCGGGCGAAACCGGTGGGCGGAAGCTTCAGGAAAAAATGTAATTTGCAGTTATTGTGTGTGTGTTGTTTCTTGTTTCGGTGTTTGTTTTGTTTGTATCGTTTTTGTTTTAATACGTATGTCTTTGTTGGATTATGTTGGTTCTCTTTTGTTTCGTGTGGTTGTGTTGTTTAAGTTAATAATAATAATAATAATAATAATAAATCGATGAATATAATTTTAAATTATTGATGATAATGGAATATTAGGAATTAATATTTAGATATTAAGGATATTGAAATTTGCGTATATAAGACTGGAAGAATATATTTATTGATAATGTGTTTGATAGTATTTAGAATTGATTGAATAATTTGGGATATTGGAATATTATTCGATTTAAATAAATTGATTGATTTGTAGTCGGAGGAAATTGGAAATTTCGAGGAATATGTTTTATTATAAAATTATATATATATATCTTTTTGTGAATATATGGTTGATCTTTATTTTAAAAAGAAAATTAATTTTATATATTAAAGAAATATTATTGTTATTCTGAAATTTAGCCGGATTACGCCACGAGAATATTATTAATATACCCCTTCTTTTCCGGGCCGCACAAAGCTTGAGCCGCGGAGAAAAGACCGAGATAAGCATAATCGCTCGCCGTAAACATTATTATTTAGCCGAAATATCGTTTTAACGGTTTGTCGAAGCACGAATAATATAATCTCGAAACCATATCGATTTATAAAAGAATATTATTATCTATAATATTTAATCTATTTTTATCCTATTTATATCCAAATAATTCAATTTCCAAATTAGATAATTCTAAATTTTACTAATTAAATAGCAAAAATGAAGCAACAAAACCTAATATAAAATTATTTATATGATTTTTAACATATAAAATCATATTATCATAAAAACAAACAAATCTATAAATTTTTAGGAATTAGATTTATTAATTATTTTTTTCGAATTTTGGGTTGTTTCCGGCGATGCGATGGCTCTTAGATTTCCGGACATTACCTCCTTATGTTTTTGTGTTTTTTTAGAATTTAACGGTTATCGATTTATTTCGTTTTTTTTTTTTGTTTATCTTTGTATATGTCTGTGTATCCTAATCTAGTTTTTTTCGGTATTTGTGTTTTTTATCTCTATTTATTTATTTCTTTTCGGTATTTGTATCTCTTTATCTCTATTTATTTATTTGTGGTTCTTTGTCTCTCGGGTTAGCTTGTTTTTTTTTGGTTCGTCTTTATTTCTTTATATCTTTTGTGTCTTTTTATAAATTTCTATGTGTTCGTATTTATTTATTTGATTATATTTATTTATATTTTTATGGATCGATTCGCAAAGATGGCATATTTCCGCATTGCCACGTGCTATATGTCTTATATTTTCTTTCTCTCTCCTTCTTTCTCTTTCTCTTTCCTTCTCTTTCTCTCTCTTTCTCTTTCTCTCTCTTTCTCTTTCTCTCTCTTTCTTTTTCTTTCTTTTTCTTTCTCTTTTTCTCTTTTTTTTCTCTTTCTCGTTTGTTTGTCTTTCTTTTTCTCTCTTTCTCTCTTTTTCTTTCTTTCTCCTTTGTTTTTCTTTTTTTCTCTTTGTTTTTCTCTCTCTCTCCTTCTCTCTTTTTCTCTCTCTCTCTCTTTTTTTGTTTCTCTCTTTCTTTTTTTCTCTCTCTCTCTCTCGCTTTCTTTTTCTTAGAGAGAAAGAGAGAGACCAAAACAAGGTTTCTCTCTCTTTTTCTCTTTTTCTCTTTTTCTCTTTTTTTTCTCTTTCTCTTTCTTTCTCTCTCTCCTTAATGCCATTTTATCGCCTACAGGATGAGGGATAGCTTGTCTATTGGGGCATCGGCTAGTCTTTCCCAAGACCGAAGGCATCTTTATGAAGCCATTGCTTCCACCTCGGGTATCTTCGCTAATAACAATTCCATGGCTCTCTCTCTTTCCATCTTTTTTTCCTTTTTTTTTCTTTCTTTTTCTCTTTCATTAATTCTTTCTTTATCTCTCTCTTTTTCTCTCTCTCTTTCTCTCTCTTTTGTTCTTTCTTTTTCTCTCTCTCTTTCTCTCTGTTTCTCTCTCTCTTTATTTCTCTTTCTTTCTCCTTTTCTCTTTCCTCTTTTTATCTCTTCCTCTGTCTTTTTTTGGTCTCTTTTCTCTCTCTGTTTCTCTTTTTTTATTTTTCCTTTTTGATATTTTTGTTGATATTGCCATTGACGGAGTTAATAGATGTTCTTTAATATATATATATAATATAAAAAATATATTCGCATATTAATCTAAATAGATATTTGCCTAAATAAAAAAGAATAATTATAATAGATATTGATATTAATTATAATATTGATTAATATTGAAATCGAACAAAATGTTTATCAATAGATGTATAATATATATTTGTTGGATTATATATAATTATTCTTTATATATTATATTATAATCGAATAAATTAATGTTATATTGAAATATGATTTCTTAATTTATTCCAAAGTTGTTGTTGTTGTTTTCTTTTTTTCTTTTTTTCAATATATTATGTATTTAGTATTGGGAGGAGAAAATATTTAATTATGAATATATTATTTTTATTATATAGATATATTTAATTAATGCATTGATTTTTTTCTCTAATATGTCTATGTTCGATTTTTCTTTGGGCGGAATCTATTTATTAATAATATGTAAATTCGAATTGCTTATCTATATTTGATTGGTAATTATTATTGTTTAAATTATGAAATTTTCAAATATATATAATAGGTTCCTTCCCTTTTCCCGTCATCTACCTTCCTTAGAAAGAAAATCAAAGTGCCGCCCCATTTTTCCCATTTTAGTTTTAGGGCAAGAATTTCATGTCCATATATTAGAGTATGAATTTTATACCCTCCCAAATGGCTTTGTTTCCCTATGAATGTAATTGTTCATTGGGTATAAGGAGGGTGATTGTGGGCGGGATTATTCAATAAGAATTAATATAAATATAAAGAGAATTAGAAACCTAATATGAATTCCATAATTCCCATAAAAATATACAATTCCATTTCAATGTCAATATGCAAATATTCGGACATTAAGCCGGATTATAATTAATATATATATATCGAATAATTTATATGCTAAAAATCAAATATATGAATTTAATTATTAAAAAATATAATAAATCAAATATGAATATAATATTTTAATAAATTCTTGATAAATAAGAATCAATAAATTGTTATGTATACAATATGTTTCTGCTACCCAATACTTAAGGAATATGTTATCCAATCTTTTAAAACATATATTAAAAATATATAATTTAAATAGATTTCAATTTTACCAAATAATATCAATAAATTCATGTTTTTTAACCACATATATGTATGTTTTTTGTTTTTAATCATAATATTGAAAATTATTAGATTTACATTTATATAAAATTAACAAAATAAAATAATATTATATATTATTAATATAAATGCTACAAAATATAGATACATATTTTAACCTAAAATTCAATATTAAAGTTCTCAATATTTAAATAATATTTTATATATGTATTTATAAATATCTATTTAATTATAAATCAACCAATATCAATTTCAAGCAATAATATATTTCTCCAAATTTTATTCTAAATTTAATATAAGATTATAAATGTATATAAAAAATAATATATTTATATATTTAATTTGTAATGTTATTGTTTGTATTGGTATAATTTATAATTATATATATTTAATAAATTATTTATTATATTTAATATATATATATATATTAAATTAATTAAACTATTAATATATTATGAAAACAAAAAATATATTAAATATAATATATATATATATTAGATATTATTTTTGAAATAAATTATATATTTTGGTGGATATTAATATAAAAATTAAATATATATTAAAACCCATTTTATTAAATACAAATCAAAACAAACAAAAACAAAACAACAAACCAATACAAATACAAATAAAACCAAAAAAATGTTACAACATATAACCACAATCAAACCAAAAAAAAACAACACAATAATAAATAAATATAAATAAAACTACTATATATCGCGTAAAAATATATATATAAATAAAAATAATAATAATAATAAAAAATCAAATATAATACAAACGGAAAGTAACGTGTAAAGCAACATAAATCAAACCGAACAAAAATAGATATTAAAAAACAAAGCACAAATAAACACAGACAAACACAGACAAACACAGACAAACACAGACAAACACAAAAAACACACAAACAAACAAGATGCAAACAAAACAAATTTCAACAAAGATATGCAGATAAAAGACAGAGAAACACAGACAGACACAGACAAACACAGACAGACAGACACAGTCAGACACAGACAAACACCGGCAAATACAAACAGACACAGACAGACACAGACAGACACAGACAAACAAAGACAAAGAGACACCAGCACCAACAAAAAGAAACAGACAAGGACAGACAGAGACCGAGACAAGACCAAGATAGACAGACATTAACAGACATTATAGACATTGACAATGACAGACGAATACAAAGACAACCAAGGGACAAATAAGCATGGCGTCAAGCCGGCATGAAAAGCGAAGCAAATTTGCTGGACGCAAGCGCCACATACCCGGCACACAATGTTCGCGCAATTTAGACTGGCGCCGAAGTATCGCCGAAATTTGACCCGGTACGTTTTTTTTGGTTTCTCTTGGAAAGCCGCACAAATTGTGAAGAAATTTGCGGCGGCAACGTCTGCAGATCGGAGGGCCGGGCCGCCGGAAGCGAGCCAACATTCAAAAATATTTGGTCCGGTTACGCCGCGGGAACTTAAAACGAAGATCTCAAGAACCGGCCAACACTTCACCCAAATTTCAGAGACCCCTTTTGCACGCCGAGCAAGGAGGCAAGAGCTCTTGCCACGGAGATTGCCGCAAGTGCGGCGATTCGTCCGGAGTACCGAAGGACATGTAACCTCCAGGCCGAACCCAATTGGTGGCTTGATCGTGTTCCGAGAAAGTGTCCCGCCAAGAAAGGGTTCAAGTCCCTACCAATCCAATCCGCCAGTGGGTTAAAGAGCAGGTCCCTAAAAAACGAAGTGGTTTGAGGGGGTCGGTGTGTTCATATGTGGCTCCCAACATGTGGGAGAACAAATTTCCTTTGGGACGGGTTATAAGAGAATATAAATAAAATAACATAAAAATACAAATAAAATCCGGAATAAATATTAATAAATAAAAAAGCAAAAACAATTAAACTAAGCTAGAGAATCAAATAAAATATCAAACAATACTAGTGTATCATATATTTGTATATATTTCAAAACAAACATAGACTGTTTAGCACTATAATGATTTATAATTATTTTGTGTCTTATGAGCTTTAATAATATCAAATCATAAATGTAAAATATACAAACAGACTAATTCAACAAATTGTGAATTTATACATAAATAGAACTCTGGGTGGTTTATGAATGAAATCATCGCCCTCGATTTAAATGCCGATTCATAGCGCATAAAGCGTAACCCTCGACTTTCTACTCGCGACTCTCGACTCGCTAGTCGTCCCCTCGATTCGATACTTAAAACCTTATTTTACATGTTCTGAACCATCTCTGGCTGAAGAATGAGTGGGCACTATAGCCCGTAACTCCGAGCTAGGTGCCATCAAGAACGCAAGTGTTCCCAAAATTTCGAGGCCCAAAATCTTGCCGAAATTTTGGCAGCGCTCGAGAAATTTGGCGGACTATTGACGTAAGGCCGCCCCATTTTCGAGAAATGTGCGCTAGCGCTAGCTTCCGCCACCAACAACCCCCCCCTCCGAAAGAAAAAGGAAGGGAAAGTGACCCCCTAGAAAAGCTCAACTTTTGAGCTATGAATCTCCCGATTTTTCCCTGGTCAGGTCTGTCGGAGCCGGGAAAAGACCCCGCAGTTCCCGGAAGTTGAGCCATTCGACAATCTCCTATGCACTCCACAAACTGAGTCCACGTACCAAATGCACGCCTCAAGACCAATGGCATTTTCATCAGCTTCGCCGACTTGGGCGGTATGTCTGCCTGTCCTCAAAGTGGCAAGGTGCTGAACAAGTGTGTGTAAAGCGTTTCATTGATGCGTGGCTGGCAAATGCCACTCGTTCCCAAAAAAGGAAAACCAACAAGCCGTAACACATTCACTCTGCTTCAGGAATGGCACCAGTCAGAGGAAGTCATCTCTAGACTCCAGTCAAACACAGGGTTTGGAGCCGCAAGCATGCTCCGCGCTGGGCAAAAAGGCTTTTGCCATTGAACGTGTGAGCAAATCTTGTTACGCACCACCTGTTCCTCCTGATCCGGGCAGAGCTCGGACATATTCCCTTTACTTCTCCATACTTCGCTGTCCATTCCCCAAACGGCAATCGGCAGATCCGGTTGCTCAGAGCAAGAGCGATCTCTGGAAAAGACCCACCTTCAGCAGGGAAAAGATGCCCTTTGAAACGCAGCTTATGACAGCCTTCTGGCTGGAGCCCGCAAATCACTTGCGCCCAGAGTTGGCATCGACGGCAACACACAATTCACGTGGCAGCTACCTCCCCAAGTTGACAATGGGGTAATCTAAAAAATGGAACCCTGCCTGCGAACATGTAGACAATTGGTGTAGGGTTTCCTTTTGGCGGGTCCTCACAATGTGTGCACGCATGCCAGGCACAATGCCATGGATATGACTTAACGTCTTGCAGCAGGGTGTGTGTTTTGGTTTTTGACAAGCAGGATTTCTCAAATGCAAAATTCTGCAAACGTGTTGGCCGAGAACCAGCTTCAAAGCAGGCCGAACCGTGCCTCTGACGAAAAAGTGCTGCCAGTGACCGGTCGACTGCTCCGGCGAACTTGGATCGAACATGGAGAAGCATGCACCTTCTTCATGGTTGTCAGACTTTCCAGACATTCGCAAACTCTGTGAGAAAATTAAAGCTCAGCTCCTTCTCGTTTCACCTTTTTATCATTTATTCCAATTCCATTTTACAGAAACTATTCCAGAGTTATTTTTGTCCAATTGCAAATTGTATATCTTGCAACTCTAGCGGCCAAGGTCTAACAATTTCAGCTTGCACTTGAGCACGAATGCCCAATCATGCAAAATGTGGGTCCCGACGTCTGGGACGTCCTGAGGTTTCCTCTGGAATCCTGCGACGTGCCCATCTCAACCCGAATTCACTGATACAAAAAGTCGAGGAAGGCGGTGTACGACAAGGTTCGGCGGCCCAGCTGGCGATCCAAAGCCTCTAAGATGCGGTTGGCTTCCTTGGCAACACAAATTGCTGGGGTCACACGCTGCGAGAGAGCACTAACATTTCCCCACGCAACTCAGCTTCCCTCTTTTGATTGGTGGTTTAGGTGGTGAGGGGTTGCTTTTCTATCTACCCTCTACGAACACCAGTGGTTCAAATCCCCAGTTCCCAGTCCAAACCACCGACTGAGAAGAACCGTCTCAACTTTCTGCCGGGGTGCCCTCGGCGCCACTCCAACCAGAATCATCACCTCAAGCCGCACGAGCCTTTGATGGCCCTTCAACTTGCTGTCATAGGCAGGGCATGAGACTTGGAAGCCCTATGAGCCATCCAACTGGTGGCTTCCTTTTTGGGAATCCCCGGCGTTCGTGTCCACATCCCCTGCCTATCGCACCAAGTCAAGCCAGCTCAAAGCACAGCCCTGAAATCGCCAAATGACTTCCAGCAACGCATCCGTGGAGTACTGCTCGGGCTCTGCCTCGCCTACTGCACCTTCGGAGATGTACGGCCACGCTCGAGTTTTGCACATCTTCAATGGCAAGTGCCGCTAAACTGATGTCCGCTACCCGCAGATTGCCACCACAATGTTGACCCCATACTAATCAACCCCAGTCTTTAATAAAGGGGTGTCCTTGGGTTTTGTGGGGAATCAGACCACTTTTGGAAGGGACCGACCACCCCCCTATTCATAAACTGAAGTTGATGGTCAACATTATTAGGATGTCTGCGCAAGGCAAAACCAAATCTTCGCCAGGCTGCGGAAGACTCGCTCCACCGCAGGACGCCCGGGCGAGGTGGAGATTTCAAGGAGCCTCAGCCAGGCACGGCATGAAAAAAGTCGCGACCGGGCCATGTCTGCGACTGCCATTTGCATCAGGGCCGTGGGAAATGGAACCCACTTCTACAACAAAAAGGGCCCAACTCCCAGAGACCAACCATATAAAGAGGGAATTCCAGCTATCAATTCATGGGGATAACCCCTATCCCACAACCCGGAACTTTGCATCCTTGAGACTTGTCATACAGCCGCTCGGCTGACAATCTGCTCTTTGGCTCCTGGCAGGCCCCAGTTGGGCCAAAAGGGGCACTTGAAGGGGCCAAGATCTTCGGATTCAGTGTTCAAGTCACAGATCACACATCGATTGATCGTTTGCGCCCTTTTGGCACATTCGCCCCTGGCGGCAACCAAACTGATCAACCATTTTTGGGAGCTCAATCGTGAAGCGAGCGGGCGTCCTTGGCCAAAGCACCGTGCAGAAGCGATCGCAGCCTTGCATCCTGAAGATGAACTGCGCCAGGAGTGCCACTGAGGAGGTCGTCCACATCCAAGGGATCGCAGGATGCCAGCCATCCTGGCAATTTCAGCCCTTTAAAAAAACACTACCTGCCTCATGGCAATCTTCACAACCTCCCCGTCCAATTCCCGACAACCACCCCCCCAAAAGAAAGAAAGAAAGGCCGAGCTGCGGTACCATCCTTCGAATGGAATCCCTTCTTCCTCAAACAAAGCAGCAGCATCGAAGGAGGCCTGGCTCAAGGTCCACCGAAAACGCGCAAGCGCGCGCCTCAGGCCTCTGCCCCACAGGAGGTGGTTTCCCCCCAAAAAGAGGGTTGGTGCGGGAAAATCCAGCAAAACCACAGATTTTTGAGAGGGTTGGTGAGGGATATTCAAGGAAACCATCGAGTTTTGAGAGTTCCCCAATGGACGCAGTGGTAACATGTTCGAGCAGGCAGCAACAGCTACACTGAATTCATGATTTTTAGGCATCTGAGCCTTGGTCTCCGCAAAGCAGCAGCCCTCTGCCAGCACGTCCAGCAGCACAACCTGGACCAAACCGCCACCAAGCTGCAGTCTGATTCTGCCAAAGCTGTGACCAAAGTGCAGACGAGCGACGCCAGCGGCCCAGATATCCATGGCAGGACACGGCCGCAGCTTTCTCGTTGCAGGATTGTCCATTTCCAGTGTGTCCAGCACTTCCCGGGCCAGCTCTGGGCTTGCATACAAAGGAGTGAAGTTTTCTGGTGTCACCATCTCGTCATTGCAAGACATGCAGCAATCCAAGTCAATCAGCTTCCAACGAGTCCCAAAACGCATAATGTTCTCAGGCTTCACGTCCATGTGTATAAATCCCAGCCCATGTAGCCACTTCAGTGCTTTGAAAAGAGCCTTGGCTAGTTCGCAGAAGCCGCTGAGACTGACTGCGCCGCGCTGCAGCCAGTCATCTAAGCTTTGATCGCCGATCTCGAGAACGGTGTAGCATCGGCAATTCACAGACGGAGGGGGACTGCTGTCAAACCCGGAAAAGTCCAAGAGGTTCACAAAATAGCCGCGTGGATCAATTTCTTGTGCTCCTTCCTTGCTGCCCGGGCCAATGCCAATGTCATGAAACGCCTTCACCTCCCTTTGAAAGCGCTTCTGCAAGGCCTCTCGCCCCACTTCCTTCTCAGCTTGAGGCTTGAATGCTTTGACAGCGACAGCACACCCGGTCAGATCTACAGCCCTGCGCACCATGCACCAGCCACCCTCTCCGAGTAGGCCATTATGGAGCAAACCTAACCAGCATCATGTCGACATACGGCTGTGGGTCAACAATAAGTACCCAAAATGGAACCCTGGGAAGTGGAGACATGGACGAAAACTTGCGGTCCCCCGGTGGCATAATTTTGACCCATACCCATATGTTCTGAGAACAGTGAGGGGAAATACCCCGGCACAAAGGCAAACGTATCAAACACAAATGCGAGTCCCGTGCATGCTGAGGCCGGGCACGGTAACGCCCCAAGACCAGGTCTTCATCTTTGTGACGATCAAGCTTGGTAGCCCTGCTCTGCGACATGCGGCGCGTCTAGGCCGCAACCATGGCACATCCTTCGCAACACCTACACAAAGTCTACGCTTTTGTTCTGCACATCTTGTCCGCACTGGCGCGAGTACTTTATCAAACCTACTTCAGGCCGCGCTGAACCATGCTCATGATTCAGGGTCATATGGCTATCCCCGTGCTATACTGCCAACAGCCATTTGGTCCAACCTCCTGCCGTTGGACTGATTCAATTGCGGGCGCAGCATGCATTTCGCTCACAGTGCGCCAAAGAGTCGTTAACGCCGCGGTTCCCATGCGCACGCGAGTTCAAGTGCAGCGCGCTTGTTTTGCTGGATCAATGTGCAAAGATCTGCGCTGCCATCGCTTTGCGGTCAGTCCGCCTTGCCGCTGGCAATGGATTTCACATAGGAGGCCTCACGCAAACTGGCATTGCTCGAGAGGTTGATTCCCTGTCCATTCTTTTCAACCATCGTTCTCTTCAAAAGCCGGATCCGTTTCACCTGGGTTTTTAATGGTTTCCTGAAAGAAGGATCCCTGGAAAGAATGGGGAAGGTACCCCTAGAATTGCCCCATCCTGCTCAGATGTGTCCTGGACATCGTGCAATCACAATACGGGTGTTCTGCAGAAAGACACTATCCCAAGGCCATGTGCTCCCTTTGTTGCCTACCTCGATTGAAATGAAGCTTGTGTGTGTGTGTGTCGTGCATGCTACGCATATGAACTTCTTGCTGGACCCCAGGCTGCAAACCTTCCAATGTTGACCCCATATTAAGCAACCCCAGTTTATTAATATGGGGATGTTCCCCTGCAAAAGTGATGATTCCCCACTAAACCCAGAAACACCCCGACATTGCTGCGTGCCGACTTTCGCTGAGAATTTGATCATTTCGCTGAGCCGCGCAAACTCGAGCAACATCCCATTTGTAGTCTGGCAGGACCGCCTGGAACCTGTAAACGTAGTAGAGCACCTCAGGGATGGCCACAGCTTGCCACAAGCCACCTGCTGACAGACTCAGTGGCTCAACCCCCCACTGAGCAGCCGCACCCAAGCGCATGTGACAAATATCAGCAGGAATGACCTCAAACACACGGGTCCTACAGACCTACCGGTAGAATGAATAAAGGAATGCTTGCGAGCGCCCATGATTCGTTTGCTGAGTAGCGAGAGGAAAACACGATAATTGGCCGGCTCGGTCCTTGGCAAGCGCAAGAGGCAACATGAAAGAGCTGGCTTCAACCCTCTCGGAAGGCAGAAAGTGTGGTAGGCGTATGCTGCCCAGACTCTTCTGCCACGGCTGGATGAGGGTGTTTTGGGTGGTTCGCTTGTTCCTGTCAGGCACCACGCCTGCATACAAGGTGTCCTTCAGCAAGAGGATGAACTCCAAGGCAACCTCAGCTCCAGGGCGAATCAAGCTGAAGCAAGGCTCAAAGGGGTGGGTTACAGGACATTCTGCAGGACAACAGCTTGTCTGTGGTGTTTTGTTGGTGCCATTTCCTGCATATTTTCCGGAAATTCCACCGGAAAACAGCTTGTATATTGTGTTTTGGAGCCGTTTCCTGTAGATCTCCCTGTAACCCAACCCCTTTCTCCAAGGCAGCTGGCAGCTTAACTTATGGCTGGGGTCCCGGCGGCATTGAGCAACAGGTCTCCAAAGCTGGGGGTGGCCGCCAGCCAACGGCAGCCAAGCCAAAGCAGGTAGATGTCGATCAAATACCTCAAGCTGCCCGTGTTTGTTTGATCCCCGATCGCTCGCTAAGAGTGAGGTAACCTTTTGGGTGGGTTAAATCCACTGAACCAACTAAACACCCAGCACGTTGTCAGATGCCCGGCGAACAGTTGTTAACTTTTCGTATAGGTTAAATTCGGAAACCCAGCCACTAAACCAACCAAAAACCCGAAAAAGGCTAAGAGGATGGTTGGGAGCCACCAAGATACCGCGGCACAATGCAAGTTGACATGATCAGCGCTTTCAAGGGCCGCGTCAAGCCAACCACGATCTCGCACTCACCTTCGCCTTCCACCACTGCGTCGCGCATGGATGTGATCCTGACATCTGAAGGTTCTCACCAGACATCCCCCCTACCATAAGGGGGAGGGGGGTGGGGGGTTGGGGTTCCCAATTCCATCTACCTAGTCTACCCCAAAAAGGGAAACGGAACCATGAATGGAATTCTAGGGGTCACCCCCCTCCCCCAATTCCAAACATATGGCCATGGGATGCCATGGGTCCAAACCCCGATTCTCCCCCAGTGAACATCCCAATCCCCACTAAAATAGGTTCTAAAATGGGTGGTGCACCTACCCCGGTTCACCTACCCCAAAATGGGATCCCACTAATTTTGACCCACAGCCATATCCAAAGCCAGCGTGGAAAGTTGCAGGCCGTCAGCATTTTTCGCCAAGACGCGTGGGCGTGGCAAGAATCAAGCGCACAAACAAGTCGCCGCAGCGGCGGAGGTCTGCGACTATAGACAATGTCCAGATGAACCTTACCGAGCTGCAAGGACGAACCCACCGATAAGGGGGGTCTTTTTTGTCTGGGTTGCACTTGGACTCAAAACAGTCAGATTCAGCAGAATCAGGGGACTCGTGGGATTCCACTCGCACAAGCGCCGCAGCAAACGCCCAACGACCAAGCGGCAGGATCGGAAGCAACAGCTTGGGCTGCGAAAATGGGATCCTGCACGCGGTCGCCTGCTCATCTTCCGTTAAGCGGCCGAAGTTTGCAGCATCGAAGTACTGCTTATCCACACCGCGGGGGAAGCCATTGGGAGTAAGGTACACATGTGCCATGTCGGCACCGTACATGACGAATTCGTAGCGCCCGTAGATCTGGCGGATCTCCGTGACGGCTCGGCTGGCCACCAGGGCCTGCATCTGCAGAATGACGAAGACCTGGAGCGAGATGACGAAGACCATGAGGAGCAAACCTCAGATGCCCCGTGGATTTCCAGCGGAAAAACGGGGCATCCTGTTTTGGGTTGGTTGACTTTAAAGGGGAACCCTTCCGGACAAAAAAAAAAGGCAAAAAGGGCGCCACTGGGCAACTGGGAAACTGCTGGACAACCGACTCACCCGAAGAATGATGTCTCCTTTGCCCTCTACGCAGCTGTACGCATCGCGCACCAAGGTGGCTACGCCTGCGCCATAGACATCTTCGTCCAAATTCTCCGGCTCCCGCTCCACCACTTCCATGTCGTTGCTGGGGTATTGACGTTCCGCGTGGCGTAAGGCCACCACAGCTGCCAGGCCAACGAGGAAAGTTCCAGGAGCGATCACGCCCAGGACGTATGCCTCGGGGCCAAAGATGGGCTTGGGAGGTGTGGCGGGCTGGACTGGTGCGGACTCCTCCACGAGAAGGGCGTGCCCCTCCGCATGGCGCTTCAAGAATTCACAGCTTGTGCCTGCCCAGAGCGAAAGCAGCACAACAGCTGCCAGCCCTTTCTTCATTGGTGCGCAATGGCTCTGATCCAAGCTTGGGCCAGATGCTGCCAGGCAACAGCTAGATGCAGTTGAACCGCTTTCAAATTTCAAACGCTTGCCCTACTCTTTCAATGAATCGCAAGAATGCCCATGCCGCGACTCATGCCTCAACGCATGCCGCCAGTAAACAAGAGTTTGATTTGCGCCCTCGCTCTCAGCTGCACCGCAAGCAGCATGGCCTTGTTTTCGTTGAATACTGTGGCTCAGCCACGTCCCCCGAACTGCACGCCACGGCGCCATCCTTGCAGATGCTAGAAGACGCGCGGCCGCTTTGCCGCCAGCATCTGGCTCTCTCTTTCGCGGCACTTCTTCGCAAAGGAGATGATCAGCGCGGAGTAGTCCGTATCCTGGCGCTGCGGTGAAAACTTCTCCAGCACCTCCTGGCGGACCCACGGCTGAGCAGCCCTCAGGAAATCGAAGGCGCGCTCATCCATGGGATACCTCTGCCGAAACGCCTCCAGCGCGCGCTCCACGCGGTCGTCGCCCCGCGGCTGCCATGGATGGCCCACTGCCGCAGCCTGAGGCCCCTTCCAAGGCACGAACTGCGCCTCATGCGGCCTCTGAAACGCAACATTCGCATACTGATGCATCTGCATCGGCTGCATCTGCATCTGCATCTGCTGCATGTGGTGCATTGGTTGCATCTGTTGCATCGGCTGGACCCTCTGATCCCTCATCTTTTTGCAGAAGCTGATGAGCAAAGCGGAGTAATCCGCTTCGCCCTCCCGCGGAGGCTTGAAGCTCTGCAAGACTTGCCGTCGAACCTCCGGAGCCGAACTCTGCCTTGGCGGCACAAATCCGCTCCTGCTTTCCCCATGTCTGCATACACAAACCGCGCAACATGGACTGGCCATTCCTGACAGCCTTCATTTCCCACACAAGCACGCAACATGGACTGGATCCCTCACAAAAAGCCCTCAAGGCCATCTTAACGGAAACCGGCAGCTTCCGACGGGAAGACAACTAGCGGCTTTCGCCAAGCGTCAAATAGTTGTGGGTGTCGAGGTCAAAGGGATAGCGCTGACGGAAGGCTTCATACTCCAGGCCTGCCATCCGCACATAGCTTTTTCCCCCACAGAAGAAGCTAAGTCCCCAGCCCTGCGTTTTTGGGGGAGAGCCAAGGACCAAAACTGAAAAAAAAGACTCGAGAAAACCAAAAGAAAACAAACAAACAAACCTAACGCTTTGTCAACGCCAAGGAATCGGCTGCTTAACCCCAAAACGGATGTTCAAAGGCCGTTACCAGGAAAAGTTTGGGAAAATACGTTCGACACGTCTCTGTTGCCATATGCCCCAAACATGTACCTCGTCCAATCCGGCAAGAGCGGGCCGTGTTATCTTGTTAAATCATGCGCCCCCCCCCCACAGCCCATGAACTCAAGAGCGCAAAAGCAGCTGCGACTAGATAATCCCAATGTGGATTGGCTGACTTTCTTGGGTGCTGCCCCCTTGCCGGACGCATGGACTGCAGCCTGAAAAGATTGAGCTGAATCCCTTCAACGTCGCTGAAGTCAGCGCAACGTACACCCAAGGCCGTCAAACTTTTTCCTTCAAACTCTCCAGCCCAAGTGCATAAGCAAGCCAATCTGCATGCCTTAATCAAGTGATACCCGAAAATGTCCAAAGCTAAGGCAAGCGAGCGAGCAAGCAAGCCAGCTCCACTGCTTGGGCCATGGCTTGCATGGGCTATGGGGTCGGAGGCCCCAGAAGACACAGCCTCAGGTTGCCCTCTTCACTGCCATCTGAGCCTCATGCTCTGCCAAGAATCGTTGCGACATCGCTTGGAGAAGGTAATGATCAAAGCGGAATAGTCCTTGCGGTGCCCGAGCCTCACTTGTTTCAAGGAAAGGGAGGTCAACTCCAACCAGTGCAGCTGCAAACCTTGTCGCATGCCAAATCGAAACTGCTACGCCAACAAAGCTGTGGGTCAAAGCCAGTCTATTTTAGTGGGGATTGGGATGTTCACCTGAGGATACAGGATTTTGACCCACAGCCACAGTTTTCCGCGCGAAATCTCCTCCTCGCCCTCCCTGGGTGGCTTGAAGGTGCGAACGATTTCTCGCTGAACATGTGGCAAAGATGATGCGATATACCTGTAGGCATCCTGCCAATCAAACGTGGCAGCCTAGGAATCGGCAAGTCAACCAGGAGATCTGCAAGTCCTCGTCAAATGGATATCGAGATCGGAACGCCTGCATTGGCTCGTCTGACAACTACAAGGAGGGTTCAGCATGAACAAGAAATACATGTAATACTGAATCGTATGCCACTGAGGGCCCGTGCGTTTTGGAGCAAGCAATGGAAGCGCAAGCTGTGGCTCTCAGGCCTGAAGCTCTGCAGGTGAGAGAGGAGCATCTTGCTCTCCACCGTCATTCAGGCCATGCGCAGGTACATGATGCGGCACCTAGGCATAGCCGCATAGCCACAAGCAAGGCCCTCAACCGACTGTAGCTACGGGGCAAATCGATTCTGCTGCCGCTCCTTCACAGACCTTACAAGGCTGGTAAAGCTTGTCATGTGATGCGCATGCCATGAAGTGCATGCCATGGCGCGCATGTTCTACTTGCATGCCGCGGCGTATATCTATGTCTATATATATATACATATATATATATATATATGTGTGTGTGTGCAGGCAGGTAGCTGTCTTCGTCTCTTTGTGAAACCTATGATCAAGGCAGAATAGTCCTGCGAGCAGGGACTAGGAGCAAGCCGCCAGCTGTGGTGATCTTGCACCCTGCCTGCTCACCCTCCTGCTTTGGCTTGAAGTCCCGCAAGACCTCTTGCTGGACCTCGCCACACAAACGCCATATTTGTGCGCCGTTTTTGTGGCTTCCTGAATTAGGGCCCTTACAAAGTTTCAGGTTGCATCAAACAACTCCCTTGCAAAGGATCCATCCGAAGTCCAGACATGCACCCACACCGCCCGCACCCACACCCCCACCCTACCCACACACCCACCCGCGGCATGCATACGCACGATGCACTTGCAGGACACATGCACGGGCAGAGGACCAAGCTGTCAAGAAAGCTGGCAAGCAGCAGGCAAGCAGCAAGCAGGCAAGCAGCAGCCCGCAGGCAAGCAGGCCCACAGAACAAGCCAAGCAGGCCAAGAGGGCAAGCAGGCCAAGAGGGCAAGCAGGCCAAGAGGGCAAGCAGGCCAAGAGGGCAAGCAGGCCAAGAGGGCAAGCAGGCCAACAGCACAAGCAGGCCAAGAGGGCAAGCAGGCCAGAAAGGCAAGTAGACCCAGCAGGTCAAGCAGGCCAGACAAGCAGGCCAGACAAGCAGGCCAGACAAGCAGGCCAGACAAGCAGGCCAGACAAGCAGGCCAGACAAGCAGGCCAGACAAGCAGGCCAGACAAGCAGGCCAGACAAGCAGGCCAGACAAGCAGGCCAGACAAGCAGGCCAGACAAGCAGCAAGCAAGCAGCAAGCAAGCAGCCCAGCCCGTCAACAAAAGGAGCAACAAGCCAGCCACCAAATGGGCAACAAAACAGTAAGCCAACTGGCCAGCCAGCCGGCAAGCAAGCAATGGAGCACAATGGAGCAACAAGACATCGAGCACAGGAACAACCAGGCAACAAGCCAGCAAGCAAAGGAGCAACAAGACAGCATATTATTTCCGACATCAGTTCTTGCATTTGCTCAACATTCTGTGCCGCCTCAATGCTCGAGTTCAGAATATAGTTGTTGGCCTTAGGACCGAACGAACCCATCCTCCTCACATGGTATCTTCCACAAGCATTCACTTGCAAACAAGGCGGCATCCTCATCAAATGGATAGCGCATCCGAAAGGATTCCAGTTCAGCTGCCAGGAATTCCTGGTTCATCATGCTGAAGTCCTTGCCTCCAACGCAGCAGCCACAATGCAGCTTGATTGCGTGCCTTTCTTAACAACAGCCACTGCCTTCTTGCAGGCTAAGCGGCAAAAGCTTCACGCCGAAAGAGATATATAAAGATTAGTTGCTTGCCCAGCCCGCCATGGCCGCTTGTCTAAGAGGCCTTGAGTGTAAACCCTTCATGCCGGGACGACTTTCATCAACAGCAACATGAGGTTGGCAGCGCCAGACTCCGATAGATTGCTCAATTCACCACGTCGGCAATGTCAAAGCAAACGATTGGGAACGCCCTAGGTGTAATTACAAGTATGACACTTGGACCAAAAAGCCCCTTCTTGAATACGTCAGAAATAGAACAACATACCAGCTGTTCACCCCCGGCCTCAGCAACAAAAATAGACAACAATAGTACTATGTATAGGACTTTCTGGTGCAGGACGGCATTTTTCCGTGCAATCCACGCACAAAATCCTGCACCACTTTGAATCCATGGGAACCGTTGCTTGTTGGTTTTACAGGGGAGTCATCATTCCAGGGTCTCTTCTATGGTGCAGGACTTCGTGCATCCACAGTATGCCACGAACGTCCTGGAGGTCCCCTGTGTCATGAGTCATTCCCATCAACTTAGATAGGCTGGTCGCTGCTGGCTGCCCCCACATTCTTCTTCACCAGCTGCCTTGCGTGCTGTCCTTCTGCTGGCGACTGCGCTGTAACGCAAGAAACGCAAGGGTCGCAAATGATTGGCATGGTAGTAAGGTGCGGCTAGAGTAGTGTGATATGGAGATAGAAGTGGTGCAGTATGCGGGCAGGAGTGGGCAGCATGCATATGCGCCTCGAGGTGCGAGGGTAAGCATGGCGCGCTGAGGGGAAAAAACAGTGATGCACCGCAACAGGTACGCTCATTGTTCAGTATGAGGCTTCGGGCGATATAGTATGAGAGCACCTGTGGCACTAAAGCTTGGCCGCTGGGCCAGAAACCATGTCCCCGGTGCCAGCTACAACCTCTGCGAAGGACATGGCAGAAGAAAACCAAAGCACAACAACGGACAAGGTCAACTCGGTCATGAACCGAATCATTCAATGGCGCAACAAAATACAAGCCTCCTGCAAGTGCAAAAGGTATCGATGCCGGTCTATCTTTTTTGTCCACTTTGGCTCAGACTCTAGGGGTAGCTTCCCCTCCTTTCCAGAAATCCGGAATCGTTCTGGAAAACCACCCCAAAACCCAGGGGAAATGGCGATCGGTTCTGGAAAAGAACGATGGCTGAAAAGAATGGACAAGAAAGCAACCCCTAGAACCCAGCATTCCTAACTGGGCCACCGCTGGGCCCAGGCTACACTGCTACACGCCGCGCTTGAGGAACCCAAGCTCTCGAAAGCAGCTGACGGCCACCGAGCGCTTCCAGAGCTCCACATCCTGAGGGTCGCCCTCTGGCACCTGTGTCAACCTCGCCTCCACATCTGCGATGAGCATCGACTCGCCCTCCGGGCCTTCGTAGATGCCCTCCAGAAGCCTTAGTTGCTGCAACGACCCCCCTGCAAAAAGTGAATCACTTTTTGGGGGGGGTAGTGGAAAACACCTTGATTTCAACCAAAAAGTTAAAGTCTAAAGATCCAACCCAATAGCAGTCAAGAAGCCGGGACAAAGCCATGGGATAACCAAGAGGACCGCCATCCCGCTTTTCTTCTGCAGCCTTCTGCCAAAGCATCCCCAGTGCTAGCTTGACTTCACGCCAGTCGTGGGTGCCTGCATTGAGACGCTCAAGCCATGCGGCTCTCTCAGCTTCACTTTGAAACTCGTGGGCAAGCGCTTCTGCCTCATCACGCATTCCACTGTCTTCCCATTCTGCCGGTAAGCCTTGAACTGGTCTCTGAAGGCCACGTACGGCGATTTCTCGCGCCCCTGCGAACGCGAACGCGTTGCTTGCGTAGCTTGCGTAGCCTGCCAGGCCCAAAATGATCGCCCAAGCTCTGAGCCTCTTGTGATCCATGCGGATGCGATTCAAAGGCATCCCAAGTTGCTTGAGCCGCCGTGTCACTGTGGGCACACTCTTGAATGTACGTGTGGCAACTGTTTTCCAGAGAAAGGATAAAGAGGCTTTGGCATCCCATGTCAACCGCTCTTGAGTCGATGCCGCAAATGGGTGTTCACTCTCTCCTATTCCAGCTGGCCTGGGTTTCTTCCTTGTCTGTGTGTGTGCGCGTGTCTGCGGCGGTGCCGCCCAACAAAGCAAAAACGCAAATCTGACCATGAAGTGTCTGAATTCGTTGACGCACAAGTCTCTGTTGCAGCAGTGTTGCATGCTCGTTGACCAAACTACTCTGATGCTGTTGGCAGCAGGGGACTGTGAAATTACACCTCCTGGAAATAGCCGCTTCTTGTGGAGTGTACTTGTTTCACTCGGCCTGCAGGCTACACACTTCGGGAATCTGGGCATGCAATGGGCTTGGCTGATTCCTGCCTAGGTTGCGCAACAAACCACTGTCGCATCTGCAATTGCAGGCTCCCTGCAGCCTCATTGTGTTGTGCAACCTTGCTTTCTACGTGGTATGTGGCGTAGGTCAAACTGCAGAACGCTCTCCGAGGACAAGTTCCGTTGAAGGTCCTGTGAATCCCTGTGAACCCCTCTTGCTGGAATCCGAAGGTATCAATTAAGTATGATGCACTTGGCAGCATTTGGGGGTGTCTTTTTTTGGAGGGAACCCCTTTTTGCAGCTTTAAAAGGGAAACCGAAAGGAACCCCCCCCCCTCCCAGTTTTGGGGTACACCAGAAAAGAACAGCCGCCCATTTGCCAGATGCTATCAACATGCCACACCCCCACGCGGAAATCGGTCAGCCCGACGCTTGTGGCGAGGAGATGCGAGGAGGGCTGCCCCCATTTTGCACACACAAGGCGCCCGCTGCACACAAGCAACAGCTTGGAACGCCTGGAGGACAGTGGCATCCCCATCCAGCTCAAAGCCTTGGTTGACGTTGGGTTTGGGGAGCAAAAATTAACAATCTTAGCAGTTCAGTGGTACAATAAGCAAAAATGTAAAATGTAAATCCCAACGACAACCATGGAGCAACGCCGCTGGGGACGAAGCTCGGTTTCATCACATGTCTTCGCAAAAGCTCGGGGTGCCAAATTGTGATGCCAAGCACCAGGCGGGTGGTGGCAGCTTGGTTCCAAACTTCGTGGTCGTAAGCATCATCGAAAACAAGCATCTGGCCCGCGTGTGTGTAGTTGAAAGTCTCATCCCCGACTCTGATGTAGGATTGGTTCTGAGGTGGCACCTCCAATGCCAGATGAATCGTCAAGCGCAAGTCGTTGCCCAAGTGTGGAATGATGTGAGCATGCGGGGCTAAAGCATAGAAGTTCACATACATTGGTGGCGCGCGCTCGCTACCTATGGAAGATCTCAGATCAGCCCAGAGACTGTGATTCAATTCAGCTCGCCCCCGCAGCCGCTCGCAGGTGCTGCGTGCGCACCCTCCCTTGCCACACCAACTCTCCTGCCAACCACCTCGAGCAGAGTGCATCAAATTCAGACCTGTCCAGCGGTGCCGTGAGCCAACAAAGAACCAGTCGTTGGCAGAGTCATCAAAGGCACCTGGGTGCGCCTTCAAGCATCGTTGTAGATCAGCACGGATAATCCTCACAGTAGCAGGCTGCCTAAGATTCTTCAACCATTTAGGGAGACGCCGATCCTTCAATTCCCACCAGGGCTGGGTCTGCAGCAAAGGGTTCTGCAAGTGTAGACGGTGGGCTGACAAGCCACATTCGCTGGCATACTGTTCGGCCTCCGTGCCGCGGTCCAGCTGCTTGAAAAGGAGAATCACCTGAGTCATAATCAAAAGCAATCGGTATTCGAATGGTACTCAAAAGCAAGGCGGACTTCCGCTGCTACATATATATATAGAGAGATACGGTTGGGACCATCCCTTACTAACCACCATCTATATACCCAAATCGATTTGTGCACCTTGGCGTTGCACATCTTTCCCGTTGCTTCCGCGGCCAAAAGCCAGGAGAGCGCCTGGAGAGCTGCGGCCGTGCTGTGGCGGCACAGGTCGAAGTAAGCATCCGCCAGGCCGATCATGCGCACTGTGCTCGGGGCAGCCTCCAGGGCTGCAAGCCGCAGGGTGATGAGCGTGCGCAGCAGCTCCGGGGCACCCGTCTGCCTGTAGGCACCCAGCACCAAGTCGCCCAAGCCTGCCATCTCTTCAGCATCTTGGATAAGCACCGCCCCAGACTTGGCGTCTTTCTTTCCTTTGCTTGGCCCAGGTTGCTCTAGCAGCCGCCGGACGGCCTCCTGCATGCGAAGCGTGAAGACTTCGCGCGGGGCTTGGCGCAGGACCTGCAAAAAGCGGCCTTGCTCCGCGGCTTTCAGGGAGTCGTCAGCTGATGAAATGTTGTATGGCTCACAGCTTGGCAGAGAGTGGCCCTCATCTGATGCCACTACAAAACCGAGAAACATGTGAAAAGCCAAGCAAAGCAGGCCTGAATGACAGCTTGCGTTCCGAATCGCACTGTGCAGAAGCATGAGCAAAAGAGTGCCTCCGCACATTCACTGCGATGGGGTCCATTACTTCTGGCTCTGTACAGAGGCTGGGCGTGAGTACGAGGCGTCCCTTTGAAGGGCCTGCGATTCTTTCCATTTTGACCGGTGAGAAGAAACAGGCGGCACATATGTGTGTAAAGGTGCAGGTTGTAGTCCGCGTCGAGTTCAAAAGGTGGTGCCAAAGCCCTACGCCCTCAAGTCTATCAATGTGACTGTTTTCTGCCCTTCATTGTGTTTCCATAAGTGGCCACAAGCACAACGCTAGGTGCCGTGCTACATGCTAGCAACACGACAAACAAGTCGGGAGTCGGCACGGCCGATCGAGTATGCCCAAAGCGCATCGTCCCACACGCACACACACACACACACACCACGCGCCCACACGCACGCACACGCAAACACGCACGCACGCACACGCACACGCACACGCACACGCACACGCACACGCACACGCACACGCACACGCACACGCACACGCACACGCCCACGCCCACGCCCACGCCCACGCACACGCACACGCGCACGCGCACGCACACGCACACGCACACGCACACGCCCACGCACACACGGGCGCGCGCGCGCGCCGCCCGCCCGCCCGCCCGCTCGCCCGCCCGCCCGCCCGCCCGCACGCACGCACGCACGCACCCACACACACACACACACACTTGTGTAACATCCTCGGACCCTTGCACAAGCTGGTGTCTACAAAGTGTCACTTTGTCTCTGCATCAAACCATCAAACCTGCTGACGGGAAGTCTTCAATAGGAAGACCGATTAACGGAAAAGGCTTTGCAGGTACGTCCACATCGCGTCCGACGTGGATTTGCGCTGGAAAAAAGATTCGAGAAACGGACGCAACATAGACCTCGTTCGGGTTGAACTCTTCCTCTAAACGTGGGAACCCGAAACGGAAAGAGACCAAAAAGGCTTTCCCAAGACGCCGATTCCCCCAGGACACGGGTGGCGAGGAAGTTGCTGAGGCTCTCGCCTGGCACAAATGAACTGGGGTTTGTTCCCTTGGAAACAGGGTTGGACACACACAGCGAGCCCCTTGGGCAGAAAGCTGATTTTTGTCCGATCGGCAGAGACCGTGTCAACAATTTTTGGCATGCACACTACTGCAAAATTGTTTCATCGTGCAGGGTGAAAATCAAGAATCAGGGATCAGGCTTGGTCAGGGCAAATCATAGAAGGTAAGCCTGTGGGTTCCCATAGGCCCCAGGACTCATCCTCTAGGTTGTCGACCAAATGCACAAATCTGGGCACGGCCTCATCGCTTCGGAAAAGCCACCGCCCGTCACTGCTTGAGGATCGTACACAAATATTTCGAGTTAACATTCTTTGCTCCGCCTCATCGGCGGAGCTGCCAACTGTACACGAGAACGTTCCTGGCACTCTTGAAAACGAAAAATGGCTTCCCAAACACGGCATTGGGGTCTACACCTGCAGCCGCTGCTGCAGTGGCTAGAACCTGTAGTCTAGCCGACGACATGTGCAATTGCTGATTCATTTGCCCAACGCCTGCTAGCAGATTGGCAGCAATGGCTTGAACAGATTCCTTGCTGGGCTCAGCTTCTGTTACAGACGCCAGCCACCTTCGTCGTGCTGACTGGCTGACCATCTCTTCTATTGTGAGAGGGAGCACCCAAAAATTTGAAAGCGGCGACGCTCTCTGGCGCATGATGAGACGGTGAAAAAATTGCTCAGCAGTGATGGGACGGTCTGCATCCTGAGGAACAACGTCGGTCACACAAATCTGTGGAGGGTCCAAGCCTAGGCGTTCCATTGCAGTTGCTGCAGCCGGAGCGCTCTGACCGCCAGGTTTGAAACAATCCTTTGAAACAGTGTGCGACCTCGAAGGAACATCAGGTGCCCTTTGGGCCGGTTGCGGGGTTACAAGGTTCGGCCGCCATTGCGGCGACGGCACATATACACGCTGCGCGTGCGCCGTTCTGTGTTGGGGCGTTACCCCCGGGCGAGGGAAAAACTGCCGAAAATCTCCGGGTGGCACTTCAGGCTCGTTGAAGTTCCCTCAGAGATCAAACGCAATGAGTACTCTTCAATGCCCTTTCTGGCAAGATCAACAACACGAAGATGTTGAATGGGCCTTCCGGCCAAATCTTTCTTGACTGTCCATGGTGTGGACTGGATGCGCTTAAACAATTGATGCCCCCCAATGGCATTCTTATCCAAAAAATCACCATCGGATCGGAAAGCTGCCGGAAGCTTGACCGGGGGGTGTGGGAACTTCCGGCTGAGGCTTTGACTCATGCCGGTGGGCTTGCCAATCAGCTTGCGTCCATTCTTGGTTCTTGGACCCATGGTCCCAACGGCTGTTCCAGCCCCAAGAGCTGCTGCCGTTGTTGGTAGAAGCGGTGTTCCACCACGAAGACATCGTGCGATCGACTGAACACTTGCTAGGGTCTTGGGATGTGAGGTGGACAGTCTGCCGACTGCGACTGGAGCCGAGATCTGACGGCAAACTTTGCGTTCACGCATTGTTCTTTGAAAGAACACACACCGGGCACCAACTCTCAAAGAGTGTCACAACGGCATCCCTCCTCGTAGGAGTGTCAAACAGGCAGCTCTCTTAGCTCAAGAGTGTCAGAAACTTCTGTGAGTATCAGGTCAGGCTACCCTGCCGCAGACGGCCCGATCAACGAACTACCGTCTGGATCACTTGTGTAACATCCTCGGACCCTTGCGCAAGCTGGTGTCTACAAAGTGTCACTTTGTCAAATCATCAAACCATCAAACACTGACGGGAAGTCTTCAATAGGAAGACCAATTAACGGAAAAGGCTTTGCAGGTACGTCCACATCGCGTCCGACGTGGATTTCACATCCTCTACAGCAGCGTCTTTGTTAGGCAGCGACTGCTGTAGGGACCACTGCCCCCCTGCGCTGTACAAAAGGAAAACTGTTCCTGGCCGAACCAGTCAGAAAAGGATTCGAAAAACGAAAGCCAAAGTGTACCCTGTCTGCGGCGCTATGCCACGCGCTGGAAAAAAGATTCGAGAAACGGACGCAACATAGACCTCGTTCGGGTTGAACTGTTTCTCAAAACGTGGGAACCCGAAACGGAAAGAGACCAAAAAGGCTTTCCCAAGACGCCGATTCCCCCAGGACACAGGTGGCGAGGAAGTTGCTGAGGGCCTCGCCTGGCACAAATGAACTGGGGTTTGTTCCCTTGGAAATAGGGTTGGACACACACACACACACACACACACCCACACACACACACACAAACAAACACACACACACACCCACACCCACACCCACACACACACACACAATCAAACGAGCACGCGCGCGCACGCACACACACGCACGCACGCACGCACGCACGCGCGCACGCGCACGCGCACGCGCACGCACACGCACACGCACGAACACGAACACGCACACGCACACGCACACTCACACGCGCCCACACACACACACACGAGCGCGCATGCATGCATGCAAGAACGTGCGCACTCACGCTCTCACGCACGCACGCACCCGCATGCCAGCACGCCGGTGGGCTCGTGCGCATGCGCATGCACTTGCACGCACACACGCTCGCCCGCACGCCTACACGCTCGCCCGCACGCCTGCAAGGCCACATGCCTGCACAAATGAGGGCACATGCGCATGCAAATGCACACGCACACGAGTACATGCGCACGCACACATGCAGCGCACTCGCACCACATGCGCTTGCAAACGCACATGCACACACGCCAATGTACGCTCGCACGCAGGCGAAGGTCGACCAGCAGGGGCGCCACATGCCCATTGGCTACTGGAGGCTACAAACTGCCACAAGCAGTCATTGAGAACCAGATCACTTCATGTCAAGCATGAAACGACCCACATGCAACGGTACTCCACCTGAAAAGCAATCAGAAATGCATCATTGATTGTTCCCTTTCGCTCCCAGCTGCACTTTATCTCAATGCCCACCTACGGTGATCTTGCGGGATGCACACAAATTCTCAAGCTGCTGAAGCACTATCAGCCCCTCTGGGGTATTCCAAGCTCTGGCGATTGCAGCGCGCGAGTTTGTATTCTGGCCCCATTCAAAGGGCTGCGGATGTCTCAATGCACAGCTATGGCCGCAGAATGCCAGCCATTCTCTGCCCACCACAGGAATATTCTTCTCCCTGGCCATGGTAATCAGGCTATTCTTGCTGTTCGGGCCAGATACGAGCATAACGTGCACGTCGTCCAGCTCAGCCGAACTTTTGGTCACCACGATTTTGGCGCCCAGACTTTCCGCATCTCGCTTCAGGCCGTCCAGTGGCGGGTGAATCAAGATGCGTAGGCTGGACAGAAACTCCTTGCGCAGCTGGGGCATCACCGTGCGTGCACTGTGCCGATTTCCCATGGTGTGGTGGAGCTGCTGGAGGTGCCTCCCGAGAGTTGGCAAAAACCTGTCAGTATCGTCCAGCGGTGGTCCATAAGCATCTTCAAGGAAAGTGTATTTCGAAGCCAAAATGAACGCTGGAGATACTTGTCCTGACCGCTTCAGGAAATCACCATAAGAATTCCACCTGAGTTTCAGAAAACGCCGCACTCTCTCTGCAACATAGTGTTCAACATGTTCAAAACCCCAGCGCAAGCCCCATAGAACCTCACGGACACATTACGCCTCCTTTTTATCTGCCAGCTTCTGCAAACAAACAAATCTGGGGCACCCACACATCATGTCGATCATCAACAATCACGGTTCGATGCAGCGGCAGGCCCCAGTTGTTCAAGTCCTTCTGGCTGGCTCGTTCGAAGGACTCCTTGCTCCGAATGTCCCGGAAGAGCTGACCCTGGGACTCCAAGGCTTGGCGCACCCGCTCCACGTAGGGCCGGGAGCCCAAACTGCAGAGGTAGAGATGAAAAATACATTGCATCGACTTCAGAAAGCTCAGGACGAAAGGCCGGAGCTTGATGAAGTGGAGGTCTGCCTCCTGCCATTGCACCACATCCTCTGAGACGGGCTCCATGCGGCAGCGGCTTGCCGGCATGGCGTTGACCAAGACGTGGTCGATGTCCAGCACCAAGTGCGGCTTTTCAGAGACATCCGAGTTTAGGCAGTGCGGTCTTTCCAAGACATCCGACTTCATCTTTCCTCAGAAAGTCAGATTCAAAGATCTAAGGGTTTTTGTAGTACACCCTTGGAATACACCCACTGGGTATTGACCCCATGTAGGCAAATTTACGGATAAAACCGTGTTCTTTTGAACCATTCTGGTTCATTTCCCAAGGGTGTAATCCCAGAAAAGAGCGCACCGCTGTGAACATGGAGCCCTAAGCACTCACTATGCTGCGAAGCGGCTCAGGGCAGGCTGCCGTAACGGCTGGATCTCAACTTCGTCGCCATCTTCCACCAAGACCTCAACGCGTTAACAAGCAAAACTTTTGCCACCTGCCACAGGGTTCCCTATATTTCCCCTTTAAGCATCACCCCACCCAAAGGAAACTCCCCTCAAAAAGGCGCTAAAAGGTGATGTTTAAAGCCACCACCAGAAGAAAAAATATAGGGATCCCAGCGACACCGAAATCATACTTCAGATTGAGCCCTGCCCTGCTTCCAAGCATCCACCTCGGGGATGTCTGTCTTCAGCTTTGCGGAATTGGTCGAACTGGCTGTGCTGCTCCTCATTTGCTGCCAGCGCAGGATCAAAGCCGCGCAGGATCCGTCTTATCAGAAAGCAAAAAACACCTGCTATCCCATCTCTTGGTTGACGTTGGAAGGGGAGCAAAAATTAAATTTTAGCAGCTAAGTGGGAAATTCCCACTAAACCACAATAAGCAAAAATGTAAGATGTTTCCCAACAACAAACATGATCTGCAACTCAAGCCCCACACCCCTTAAAGGTAGAGTGTTGCGTGACACTTCCCAGAAAACTCCACAGGGTCACAGGCACAAAATATATGTTTGAAGAAATACTGCAGTCTTGCTTTCAGGTTGCGGAGCCTGCGGACTGGCGGTGTTAACATGTGGCCTAGTTTTGCTGGATCCCGCCGTTCAAACGCAAATCGGGGCATCCCTTTTGCGTGAGTCACACCTTGCATTCTGTTTGGTCAAACTGCAACTCCTGCTGGTTTAGTTTTGGAGCGACGGCTCGGGGACACAAGCCAGGAACAAAAAAAACACATTGAGTGAGTATTGCGTTGCTGGGCCTTCTTGCTGGAGCGCGCCAAGCTTTGTCCAAAGAAGAAAATGAGACACGGTCAATGCCACTGCCACTTACAGTAACATGTGGCTGTGGCTCAAAAAACCGGTACCAAAATGGAACCCAGGTAAGTAGAAACATAGACCAAAACCTGCGTAACCCCTCCTGTTTCATTTTGAGCCACGCCATTGTGTAGTAATGTAATGTTGTAGTGAGCCCATGTGAGCCCCTTTGGGTTTTCTGCAGTAGTTTGAAGGGATAGCGTGCAAGGGCATGTGTTTGTGAGCCCCTGTGTTTGTGAGCCCCTACCGTTTTCCAGACGGAGAACATGTACATGACGCATTCAACAAGAGTTTGCTTTATGATGATGTATGGTAATGTTGGCCAGCCTCAATCGTTTACGAAGCATCCGAAGAATTGGACATCAAGAGCTGGCAGTGCGGCCGCCAGCCATCTTTCAAACAAAGGTTCCCAATATCATCCCGCAGTTGTCTGTGACCTCATGCAAAGAAATGATATCGCAAGACAAACGCTTCCTTCACCCTTGGCTACGATCCCCGTTAGGGGCTCCGGACAAGGTTGAACCCCCCCATTATATCAGTCTATCCTTATTTCAAAATAGGCATGAAGCTTTATTTCGCGCCTGCAACGGGGGTGCTGAGGAAGGGAACAAAAAGCCTTCAGTGCGTTGACCCTGTCCGCCATGCCCACGCCTCACTTCGTACCGGGCTGCGCGGGCGAAGGCTCAGGCTGCTCCGGCTTCGGCGTCTCCGGCTGGTGACCTTGGGGGCCAACTTGGCTGCGGGTGGGTTCTTAGGTCCTCCAGTTAGAATAAGGGTGCCCGATCTTTTTTCTGTAGCCTATTTTAGTAGGGGAACCGAATCTCCCAACCAAAATAAATGGCGAGAAAGAGGGCATCACTGCGGGACCTAGCTTCAATTTGGGTTTGCACCAGGAACAGGTGGTGTTTTTTGTTTTTTCTCGCTTGCATGGCACATCGTGGCACTGTCATCTACAAAACCCGGAATGTGTTTCAACCGCAAAGGGCCGCAGCAGATTGAAGGCTTTTGATCTCGCACACGGCAGATTTGTGAGCACACAGGAGTACAGGGTGAAGCAAGAGACAAAGATGAGACAACATAGCATGACACGGTGGTTGTTCAACAGATCGAAACCCTGAACCAAACACAAGGCATCACAAGGTAACTCAATGCTTGACATCGAGCGTCGTACTCTCTTCCATCCATTTGCTTCAGTGCCCTGGAGAAAATAGAATATGTCCAGTGGTGATAGGTTCCCTTTTGAAACCAACAGGGGACAATGAAACAAAGATTCATTTCAGCAAATGGAAAATTCTCACCTTTCCCTGGAGCAGTGACCGACTGGCTCCAAGGCACGCGTCTCATGGATACTCGGCTCCGGTTCGCCGACCGGAGAGCTCGGCAAGGAGCCCTGAGCTGAAATCCAAGTTGAAAGGGCGATGGGTCCAAAATACTGTGGATGGCCACAAACTATAGGTTCACACCAGGAATTTATATGGAAGTATACATTCAGCCTTTGAGGAAAGATGAATCAGGATGGGGACGTTAAATCTGCATCTCGCACCACCTCAGGAACCCTGGTTTCTGATTCAATTCCCAAACGTAAATACCAACAATTCACGGTATCCATGGGTTCAAAGTGGTGCGAAATGGATTTCGTCCACCAACAGTATGGGAACCCCAAAATGGGGGGCCCGATGGGTACATGGAAAGGACTCAAACCTGCGGAATAGCCATATCCAGGTGGTGTCTAATTTTGACCCATGCCCAAATGGACTACATGCAGCGGCGGAAAATCCGCCGACCGCCATGCAAGACATTCCACCGAAGACAAACAGAGCTCTCCTGCTGTTTTCAGGTGGGCATGCCACAAATTGCCGGCATGTCCCTGGCGCAACAAAACCGAAAAACGGGAAGTGAGTCATGGGAGAAAGATGGAGAAAGGCGCTTTGCGTTGGCATCTCACACCTCACAAGCATTCCGAACATTCTTGAGATCTTGCCCATTCCCAAATATCCAGCTGGATCCCCTTGAAGAACCAACCTTAAAAGGGTTCAAAATTGTTGTCCCCCTTTCAACCAACCCCTTTCAACCAGCCTTAACAGGCCACCCCCACGAAAAGAACCACGTGCCCGTGTTACTTCCCATTTTTTGCTTCCACCGCGCCTCCATGGAACCGGGGAGGCTCTGGACGGCGGCGCTCGCCGGCGCCTGGGACCAAACGGCGCGTTGCGGCCGTCGCTGCGGCGAAGGAACTTGTCAAGTCAAAGGATGCCTGGAAAAAGCTCTTGTGAGGCCCCCAGTCCCCGACTTTTCGAAGACTCTTTGGGCGGCAATGTCAACCCCAAGCGCATCCATTTGGGGTCTCCGTTTGGGGTTGACTTTTTGCTTTTTGTTTGTTTTTTCCAGGGCAGGGCGGCCATCAAATCGTGGACTTTGATCCGGTCTGCGCATTGAGCTCCAACAGCCAGCCCAACATGGCTATTCAGTTCCTAAGTAAGCCATGAACCAGAAATTTATGATGCGGAAGATTCGACGAACATCACCCCCATGCCGCCAAACACAAACTACAAACTTGATGCCTCAGCTTTGCGCCTGTAGTGGTGGGATCGCAAGGCTTTCTCACGACTAAACCCATACACCAAGTGGAGAAGTGGGTTCAAGCCAGGATCATTCACTTGGGCCGCCTTGCTCCTGGATCCCAGCAAAGGGGATTGGGACAACATCTCTGTGACACGACACGTGTTCCTTCACTTCAGCATTTGCATCTGTGATATGCTGATATGAGAAAGATAGGTGAACATATCTATACCCGAAGCCCAGCTAGTGGTGTTGCTGACTTCATACCTAGCTTGCTGTTAGCCAAAACTTGAAATCGGCTCTAATGTTGACCCCATATTAGTCAATCCCAGCTTATTAATAGAGAATGTTCCCCTCCCAAAGTGATGATTCCCCCCACTAAACCCAGGGACACCCCAGTATTAATAAACCGGGGTTGATGAATATGGGGTCAACATTACTGATCATAACCAGGTGTTTTGCAAAAACACAAGGACGGATGCAAACGTCCAACAAAGCCACTTCGAGACCAGCTTCCGTACGCTCTTACTAAACATGGACACTGATAGGAGATTAATCCCCCCAGTGCCTCGTGCGTATATCTGCGGGGGCTGGCTAGGAGAAACTCGAAATAAGCTACATGCTTTGAAATCCAACCAGTGGTCAAGCTCTAACAACTCTTGGCATGGTAGCAAGCACTTTTGCGTTTTTGAAGCCCCCCGGTAAAAACCCAAAAGCAACAAAAAGCACCAAGACCAGTGCAGCAAAGGATGTCTGCTCAGCCCAATGGCCCCCCGTGTCCCCGACGAAAACGAGCGCTTTCCGCCTCGCCCTTCAGCTCCGGCTCCTGGCTCGCCAGCGCCTGCGCGATCGATGGAGCTGCCGAACCACGAGCTGCCGAAAGCGGGTCCATCTCTTTTTCTTCCTGTTGCTTTTTTGTTTTTTTTAGTTGTTTTTTTTTTGGCTTTTTGCTGTTGTTTTTGCTTGTTTTTGGCTTTTTGCTTCGCAACCAAAAGGTCATCCGCAGGTTGGAGTCCTGCCCTTATTGCCGATCCTTTTGAGCGCTTGCCATTTTGGGGGTGCCAACGATGTTCTGACACACAGCCGCATGCAGAAAGTGGTCCTTTGACCCTCACAGATTCAGAAAGGATGGATCGCTCGCTTCAGAGCATTGTCTGGTGTTCTTGGTCTCCATGAGTGGCTTGTGTGATACACGGAACGCCAACACTGCACATCAGAAGTGGCTTTTGAATTTCCCGAAGGCAGGACGGCACTCCCGGCAATTCAAATACGGAGTGGCTTTGGGGTGGGTCAAATGCCCAAGCCAAAACTGCCTCGCAACCCAATCCAGAGACAACAACAGCGTTTTCGGGCTATTTGGATAAGGCATGAATTGAATGAATCTGCCCCTTGGCAATACTTCGGCTTGAGTTCCGCTGTAGGCTTGATTCCCCCAAGTTCTGCAATGGACAAGGCTGCCGCTGCTACGGTACGTAGGCGGCCTTTCCAGGTTTACCTATTGGTCGAAGAAATCTTACCACGAGGGAAACCACTTCCCCTTTCGCCCGGGGAGGAGGAAAAAAAACGAGAAAAAGAAAAACAACGAAGAAAACAAATACGGGTTTCAAACTGCGGCGCAATTTGCAGGATCAAACAGATCTGGCGTCGGGACTTCGGCTGTTCGGCGGCGCGCTGAACGGGCAATCCTTGTCTCCCAAAGGAAGGCCTGCTGTGCCTCCTTCTGCTTGCGCTCCTCCTCTTCATCTGCCAGGGCACTCCAAATGTCGCAGACCTTCTGCTGAGCGGTATCGATGAGCTCGCCTAGCCCGCGCTAGGCTAAACGAACCCCGCCGGCAGTCCACAACCAGCTCTAGCTACAAGTGGTCCACACCTAGCCCGGCCACCACCGGCACAAGCACGAAATCTCACAGGGCATGGTTCACCAAAGTGGGCCACAAAGTGGAACCTAGCAAGCCTGACCCACAATGGGCTACCGTTCAAAGAGACACCATTCCTTGAGCCGGCATGCGGGCTGGCAGAACGAGCCTTGAACCGAAAGCCACTGTCTTCACGAACACGGGGCCTATCCAGATAGAAAAACTCAAGGCATCGTGTTATCTTGGATCACGCGTTGTGGTCTGCACGTTTTGTGGACTGTGCGCGTGCCTCTCGGCTTGCCACTGGTCAAGCACTAAACAAGGTGACGGCGGTTCGGTCAAGGGTTGCATTTGTCTGCGAGTCAAATTTGCAGAAATTGTCCGGCCGGATTTTGACAAAAGTTGATTTGTGTGAGAGCAGCCAGCTTGGGAAAGGGGTCCTTCCATTTGCTTCAGCCCCATCACCTTTCCAGTAGTGAAATCGACTCCCTTCAAAACCAAAAAAAAGGGAAGAATAAAACATATGAGCAAATGGAAGGTTCTGAGTTCACTTGCTTGAGGTTTGGACCCTGCAGGCCACCTCGCCAATTCCTCGGCCAAGCAGCTTTCCAGACCTACTGCGGCGGCACGCTCGAGAGCATGGTTTAGCCGGCCGATCCGAGTCTGGCTTTTCTCCTGGCCGCAGAACTGCTGAGTCTCACATTTCAATTCGGTGCCTGGTAAATAGCAAAAAAAAACTAAACCAGGAGAACCCATCCATTTCTAGCAAAACTAACCTCAAAGGGACGCCTGGTTGGCGGCAAGTTCTTCACGGGTCCAAATTCGGGAAATCCAGTGCCCGTTTCAACACAAAAGTCCTCAAGCCCAAAGATCCGTTACCAGATGGCCATATTGTTACAAGCCCGCATTCTTGTCCAAAGGATTGAGCTTGGGACTTCCTCGTGGTGGCTTGGGCTTGCTCGACATGCAGCAGGCTTCACCCCGGATGGTATGAGAAGCTTCGTGTACTCAGCTCCCCTCCAAGTGCCGATTGGGAGCTCGGTGGTTTGGTCTGAACCGGGCTGGCTTCCCAACGAAACCCTCCACAAGAACCAGGGGTTCAAACCCCCCACACCACCAATCCAAATTCAAATTCCACGAACGCCTGCCAATTGTGGAATGCCAGGGCGGCAAATCCCCATTCAAGCCTGCAGGTTCCACATCAACACAATGTTCAGCCGCGCTTGGGTGATATCCGGAACGGTCCCGACAGCATCTTATCATCCCTAAAAAACAAAGCTATGCCGAAAGGCCAAGCAGGGAGCCAACTTCCGAAGTAGAACTTTTTTGCATGAATACAGCATGCTTCGATTTGGGGAAGCACTCTTAGGCGTTCCGGCGGCTCTCGGGGAAACTCACAGAGCAAACTACTTGTGAACGCCTCCTCCCCACTTACAGCTCGACATATAACGTCAAGGCTTGCTTGATCCCGTTCACGGACAAGAACCCTCTTGTAGCAGTCACCCCCTCTATGGTCTTACGGTATTCCGAGCTTCAACATGTGTTTAACTGTGACTTTTTCAGTCCGAACTCCGAACTCCTCCTCTGCCAGAACCTCCTCTAGCCACGTCTTCGCCTCTGCAAGCTTTCACCGTCAGCCACCGGTCGAACAGAATGCCCAAACACCCGAAAAAATGATGACATCGCTATGCAATATGGTTAATTAACGCGTTGAAATGTGGAGGTCTGCAGAGTCTGCGGTTCTAACGCGTTTCTTGAAGCTGCGTTGTTGCCTGGCTTGCCGCAAGCCGGCACGCATTGAGCAACATGCTGGCAACTGTCATATCCCAAGGTGCCGCAACCAAGGATGCTGAGAAGGCAATGTTTCGCCTTTGCCCTTCCAAGCGCAAGGCGAAACCTGGCCGTCACCTCATGGGCCAAGTGCCCGCCTGAATGGCCAAACGCTTTTCACTTGCTCGCGAGGGCGTACCGAAAGCTGGCGCCACATGAGAAAGAAGAGCAACCACTGCCTTGAAAATACCTGCTTCAGACATTTATAAATATAAATACAGTATATATATATATATATATATGGGTTTGTATTTTTTTACGGGGGCCGGGCAGGAAGGTTTGAGTACGGGGTATGATTCGCAGGTATGATTCGGGGTATGATTCGGGGGTATGATTCGCGGAAGCAGCAGCAGCAGCAGCAGCAGCAGCAGTAGTAGTAGTAGTAGTAGTAGTAGTAGTAGTAGTAGCAGTAGCCGTCAAAGTAGTAGTACTAGTAGTAATATTGTAGTAGTAGTTAGTAGTAGTAGTACAGTAGTAGTAGTAGTAGTAGTAGTAGTAGCAGTAGTAGTAGTAGTAGTAGTAGTGGTAATAGTAGAAGTAGAAGTAGAAGTAGTAGTAGTAGTAGTAGTGGTAGTTGTTGTTGTTGTTGTTAGTAGTAACAGTAGAAGCAGCGACTGTAGTGGCGCGGAAGCTTTGAAAAGACTTGGCGCTGGCCTTGGCAAGGCAAGTTCATTGCGCGGGTATGATTCGGGTATGATTCGCGGGTATGATTCGGCTAGGTGCAAAACGGCACTGATTTCAAACTCAGAATGGTGAATGTAGTAGTAGCTGTGGTAGTAGTAGTAGTAGTAGTAGCAGCAGCAGTAGTGGTAGTAGTAGCAGTTGCAGAAGTAGTGGTAGCAGCGGTAGCATAAGCAGCAGCGGCTGTAGTGGTGCGGACGCTTTGAACAAGACTTGGCACTAGCCTTGGCAGGGGAAGCTCATTGTCCGGGTATGATTCGGGGGTATGATTCACGGGTATGATTCGGCTAGGTGCAAAACGGCACTGATTACAAACTCAGAATGATGTATGTAGTAGTAGTGAGTAGTAGCAGCAGCAGCAGCAGCAGGCATAGTAGTAGTGGAAGTGGTAGTAGTAAGAGTAGTAGTAGTAGTAGTAGTAGTAGTAGTAGTAGTAGAAGAGAAGTAGTAGTAGTAGTAGTAGTAGTAGTAGTAGTAGTAGTAGCAGTAGTAGTAGTAGTAGTAGTGCTAGTAGCAGTAGTAGTAGTAATTGGAGTAGTAGTAGTAGTAGTAGTAGTCGTCGTAGTGGTAGTTTTGGGTAGCGCTGGTGGTGGTTGTTGTGGAGGCAGTGAACAACACAAAACGGTAGAAGAACAGTAGCATCTTGCAGCATACGTTTTAAGGGGTATGATTCGGGGGTATGATTCGGGGTATGATTCGGGGGTATGATTCGGGGGTATGATTCGGGGAGGTCCCACCTTCTGCCTTTTGAAGCAACTCAACACACCAAAAAAGGACAAACCCATGTATAAATATATATATATATGCATCGTGTTTGCGAAGGAATGTCGAAATGGCACGCCCCTTGCCTGGCGACTTGCGGCTTGCCCGGGCAGGTGCATGCCCCAAAGTGCCAAAGTGGAAAGGTGAGTTGCGAAGCAAAGGCCACGGGTGAGCGTAAACAACTGGCAACCCCCACCAACACACACACACACACACATCTGCACACAGCCTGTACGCAAATCATACCCCTCGCCCCCGCCAAACTGCCCGGGCAGGGATTACGTGGCACATCGAGCCTCCAGGTCAGGGCTGAAAAACTGGGTCGAAGGTCGCCCCCCGCGAATCCCAGCACCTGATTGAATGCACCCGGCCTGCTCTTTCTCCATCCGTTTCCGCGCTTCCGCCATCCTGGGATCAAGGCAACTGGCGGTCAAACCTGGTCAATGGATCTCAGCTTGCCCGGACGGCTTTAACCGAGCAGCGCCTTCTGCTTGCGCTCCTCCTCTACATCTGCCAGGGCGCTCCAAATGTCACTGACCCTCTGGTTGGCGACCTCGATGAGGTCACCTTGAAAAACCCAAGATCCCTGGCCGCTTTGGCTCTCCCGACCGCTCGGCTTGTGAAAGGAATCTGGGTGCAATTGCTTCGCCAAACCCGCAGGCCACACACCCCTAGGCGTCCTTTTGGGGAAATAGCCAGGGCCCTGGTAGATGATTAAACCAGGGCCATCTATCCTTCTAGGAAAACAACCAAAAAAAAGAAAACTTTGCACACACCTGGACAATGCAGCTTTCGAGCCCAGCAGCTTTCGAGGCCTGCTGCGGTGGCATACTCGATGGCACGCTTCAGCCGGTCAATCTGAGTCTGGCTTTTCTCCTGCAAGCAACCACTAAACTTCGAATAAGCTGATGTCCCGAGTTTCAAACAACCTACCCTGGCGCTGCCGGCCCGAGCGGGCGCTGGGCATCAAAGACCTGCGCTAAGCCGCCAGAGCAGGGTGATGGTTCGGCGACTGCTTCGTTGGCATCGCGCGACATTCTGCACAGTTGCCGCACAGAGAAAGAGAGGAAGGAGAATAGACAGCATTCTGCCGGCAGAAGCCATCAGTCTCCAAGAGGAGAAGAATGCCATACTGCTAGTCCGAAAAAGCGGCACTGCAGTTGGCTTGACCTTGGGCTGGCGAGGTTTGTGGGAAACTCCGAGTCTCCGAGCAGCTTGCGTAGCTCAGCGCGGAAAATCAGAATGGATGTGCAAATCCTTTGGATTTTGTCGAAATGCATGTCGCACCACCTACAAAATTCTGGAGTGATGAGTCCCCTGCAAATAAGTTTCCAATGCCAGGCAGACATGGTGAAATGCGAGGGCGCCAAGTCCCCATTCAAACCTGGAGGTTCCACATAAAAACAAATGTTCAGCCGTGCGTGGCAGTGGCTCTCAGAGATCGCTTGGGCAAATTTTCCGCAACGGCCCCGACAGGTCCCTGGTGCTTATCCCTAAAAGCCATGGAAAAAGCGCCTCAAGTAGAAGCCTGTGGCAGCTCTTTGGCATCTTGGAGTTGAGGAACCATCTTTAGGTGTTCCGGTGGCTCTCAAGGAAACTCACAGAAAACCACGCTGTTGATGACCTGGAAAACTACTTGCAAACACCTCCTCCCCACATGCAGTGTTGGAGCCTCAACATGTTCAACCGTGGCTTTAAGATCTCCGCACTCCTTCTCTGCCAAAACCTCCTCTAGCCGCGCCTTCGCCTCTGCAAGCTTTCACCGTCACTGTTCAGCCACCGAGCCCATAGAAGTTCGAAACCCCGCAAAGCTTACAAGCCCTGCCAAAGCTGAAGCCGCCGAGAACATGGCTGAGTCACCCCCTGCACCCGGCCTGGTCTTTCTCCATTTGGCGCTTCTGTGCTTCCTCCTCCAACTTCCTGGGATCGAGGCATGAGCTCTGCCTGCAATTCCCTTTCTCGAAGCACATGCTGACAAGAGCTGCAAAACATACAAACGGAAGTGAAAACTCTAAGGTAGCTTCTGAACACAGACGCAGACAGACACACAAGCACACACGCAAAAATACGCAAACACAAACACAGAAACACACACGAACGCGCACACACACACAGAGAGAGACAAGCCTGCTTCATGAATAGCAAATGAGCACACACCGTTTGAGGCCTACTGCTACCGCGACAGAAGGTGCACGTGCGGCAGGCTGGGGGAATGGCATGCTCGGAATGAATACAAACACCAACGTGAGTCATAATCAAAACCCGGTATTAAAATGGTTGACCCAGAACCCTGTAGGGAGATACAAGGGCGGCCGCAGCTGTTTCTGGCTGGGATTGTGGCTCACATGAGCTCGAAGCATGGAAACGCCAGCGCGCAAAGAGCATGAAGCAGATTCGCGTGGGGACACTCACCTCATATCTCAAAGACGTTTAGCGTTCGTTTCACCGACGCCTGGAACCCTGCGCCACAGAGAATGTGATGTCCTCCGGCCCACATCCCTGCAAGGCCGTTCTTCCAGAACAGGAAGCCTTCAGTGCACGCTGCAAGACAACCACACACAAACACACACGCAAACACGAAGCAGACGGGCATAAAAGAGTGCAGACTGACACAAACACGTACGCGCACACACGCTCGTACGAGCGCATGCGCAAGCACAGAAACAAAGACATGCAAACACACAAGCATGCAAACACCCAAACTCGCAAACACACGAACATACGAAGTCGCAAACTAACAAACACACAAAAACAAACACAAAAACTCCTACACGCACACACACACACACACATCATAAGGCAACTTGATTCTCCAAGTTGTTTCCGAGTACAAGTTCAGGCCCGCAAGACTGTTTACAAGTACACCGCGAAAGAATCGGCGAAAAGTTGTTGGCATCTCTGGACATTGAGCAAGGCAAAGGCCACGGTCTTCCGGTGTGACCGCTGGCTGGCTTCTGGGCAAAAAAAAGACGTAGGACAGAGCGACGCAGTTGCTCAGAGAGACAAACAGTGCGACACGGATAGATTTGGCAAGTGCACCGTGTGTGCATTTCAGAAAACAGGTCAGATGACACACAGAGATTGCACAGAGAGTTGCGCAGAGATCTTCTTCTGCGATGACACGTGAGGTACCATGTTGATTGCGACAGAAAGTTGTGCTGGATCTTACGCAGTGATTAGATTACATGTCAGATATGATATGACTTAAGATGTAGTACTCAAGTGCATGCGCACGCAATAAAACGGCGTAGAGCTGCGGAGATACAGTTTGTGCGCGATAAGCGCCGCGGGCTCTCTGCAAGGAGGGGGGTGGTCGAGGCGTCGGCACAGAACCACACTGAGGACCTTGCCCACACACACACCTTGCACAGAGAAATTGGCACAGAAAAGTTGCAGAGACAAACCGCACAGGGAAGCTTGCGCAGAGAATCCAGAGACCTTGCGTGGAGAAACTTGCACTACTTGCACACATAGAGAAAACAGGCACAAACTCGCGCAGGACAAGCTTGCACAGAGAAACTTGCACGGAGAAAAATTGCATGGACGAACTGCGCAGAGAAAACTTGCACGGAGAACTTGCAGCGCAGAAAACCTGGTGCAAAAGTAATACGCAAAGCTCACTGAGGCAGCTCTGGCTGTAAAAGTACACCTCGGACCTCTTGAACAAAGAAACTTGCACGAAGGGGTTGCACAAAGAAAAACATGCACGAAGAAGTTGCACAGAAAAGGTGTCACCACGATCATGCCGTGTCATGTCTTTGCGGCGCGCATACTCTTGTCTGAACTTGGTAGGTTTGTGCTTTTGGACCACCATGCTATAGTTGCTATCGTTGTTGTTCTTGTTGTCCTTTCCATTTACCGATCGGGCAAGCCATTTGGCTGTGGCTCAGAGGGAGGGGAAATAAAAAGGTACTGGTACCAAAATGGAACCGTGGAAACATGGACCAAAACCTGCGTAGCCCCTCCTGTTTAATTTTGAGCCACACCCTTTGTGGGGTCCCATGTTTGACCCAATTGCAGCCATGGCGTTCCTGTTGCTTCAGCTCGCTGCCTTTCAAGTGTCAAGCCTTCACGTGTCTTAAGGCCCGTGCCACACGTGGCTCTATGACTAGAAACCACTCAGTACATGTCCACTGAACTTAGCCAACTTATGATGCATACCACGTTTCCGAAAGTTAGGATAGCCGTTTGCAGGCTTCATAACCTCAAATGGACCGATACATCTTAGTGTTGGAATATGTTGGAATGCTACGTCCCTTCCGCCGAGCTAAATTGATTTGGCGGCATTCTATGTCTAAGGCATGCATTCTATGTCTAAGGCATGCATTCTATGTCTAAGGGCACTCTAAGACTACGAACGGACCAACGTGCTAACGCTAATCAATGGACGCTTGGACAAAACGTGGCCATTCCAACAATCGGAACGACGCATAGCCAAAAGCGCACGCTTTCTCCAGAACGGGCCAGCCCCAACTCATCGCTGGAGACATTTTGTTTGTGTGCCAGGCATCAGTTGCTGTGCCTCCTTCTGCTTGCGCGCTGCCTCCGCATCAGCCAGGGCATCCCAGATGTTACAAACGCTCTGCCTCCCAATCTCGATGAACTCACCTTGGCTTAGCACAATCGCCTGACCAACCCAACCAGCGATTGGGGGATGGATCGCCACGCTAGCGCAAGGAACCACGCGAGGCGTCAATAGGTTGGGCACAAGCAGAACAAAGCATGATTTCTCCAACGCCACGTGGAACACGGGGAACCAGCGCCAGCCGATTGTTCGCTCCTGCTCCAGAGCGGCCGAGCCTTACACCCAAACGGTTCTTTACCCTGACGGTGCACACAGATTCCCGGCGAGCGTGCAACCTGGCAACACCAATTCACGGAGAAGGATTTCTGCTAGGATTTGAAAGGGGCAAACATTTGGCCATGGGTCAAAACCCCCATCCCAATCCCCATTAACATAGACTAAAATGGGTGGTGCACCTACCCCAAAATGGTACCATTGGTGTTGACCCACGGCCATTTGGCATGCCATGTTGCAACGTTCTTATTTTCGGGCAGGGCAGAAGCTGGCAGACATCGCGAACGGCCCCGTTGATCACCCAAGGTGATGAATGCATACCCACCTCCGCCATTCTGGCATAGATAGCATCACTTTGGTAGTCAAGGGTCTGCGAATTGGCTTCTCTACATGCCCCCTGGAAGAAGCACATGAGTCACAATCAACATCCCAGAACCATGCTTCAAGAATTAAGAAGGCGGATATCCGCACCTGTTTCTGGCTGGGGCTGCCCCTTACTAACCTTCATCTACCCGGGTTTGAGGACGTGGCTCACATGAAGCGTCAGACCATGCTCTCTCCGGGTCTGCCTTCCGCGCGCCCCGCCACCCAAGCCACACCTTTGGCGAGCAGCTTTCCAGGCCCGCGGCGCTGGCGCGCTCGATGGCACGCTGCAGCCGGTCAATCTGCGCCTGGCTCTTCTCCTGGCAATGCGCAAAACGTGGATCTGCGCTGCTGGGCTTTTCTCCAAAACCATCCTCTGGCAACCATCAAGAAATGGCTGTGGGTCAAAATCACCATTTTGCGGTAGGTGCACCACCCATTTTAGAACCTAATTTTGGTGGGGATTAGGATGTTCACTGGGGGTACGGGCTTTTGACCCATGGCCAAGTGAGAACCATCAAAAATGTCTTACAAGGACATCCCGTAAGTCATTGACCGTCGCTCACTCGCCTGGGCAGGGTGGTAACTTGGCAACTGGCGGGTGTGCATGCAACAGTCTTCAGTCGAAAGCCACTATGAACACGGGGAGAATTGACATCGCGACAGGAGTGCAAAGACAAGCAAAAGGTGGAAAGCCAGCGCAGCTTGGCTGCCTCATTTGAAGGGATACTGTGGATGGTTGCGAAACTAAGTATCACTTTGAAACCATGGGAAACCAGTGTTTGTTGATTTTGTACCGGGGTATCGCATAATTCCAGGGCTTCAGAACGGTGGTGCGAAATGGACTGCGTCCATCCACATGGGTAAACGGTGGAAAAACAAGCCTCAAGCTGCAAAAAGAAGATGTCCTGCCCAACATGCCTGGCTTCCCATGGCGTTTGCCAGAGCATAAGCCGTGGCCCTATGGGCAAACTAGCACTCAGTTTGCTGGACTCTTTCTCAAAACTGGCGCCCCGCCAATGCGATCCTGGCAAGTTTAGGGCGGTATATCTATATACATGCATCTATCTATAATATATATATATATACTTATTTATTCATTTAGTTAGCAATCTATTCATTTATATGTGCTACGTTTTACCCACCTACTATCTTAGTCTCCGCCTCCCCTCCTTCCGATTTCCCCTCCTGCTGCGCCACCACCTGCACGAGCTCCGCCTTGGCCTCCGCTCGGCCCGCGCCGAAAGAGAAAACCACGAGGACCAAATTTGAGGCACTGGCTGAAACTCCGGGTAGATGAAGGTTAGTAAGGCACAATCCCCTTGCCATACATAGCTGCGGAGATCCGCCTTCTTAATTCTTGAAACGTGGTTCTGGGATTACGACCATTTTAATACCTAGAGTCTCCTCCATGACCCTCGAAAAATGAATCCATGACCCCTTAATTTGGGTAATGACCAACCATTTTTTAAGGGTCATGGAGACTCCAGGTACCGCTGTTTTGAGCCAGTGACTCAAATGTGGGTGGCTTTTTTTGAGTTGGTACCCCTGTCTTGCTGGTTTTAAGGGGACACCAAACGGAACACCGAAGCTGACCAACCATTTGTTAAGGGTCATGGAGACTCCAGGTACCGGGTTTTGACTATGACTCGTATGTTTCTTGGACCATTGGAATGGCTTGCTCATATGTTTTTGGACCATTTTACTACCGAATCGGTTTTGATTATGACTCACACGCCTTGCTCCAAATCGAAATCCGGGATCTCACCTGTGAAAAAAACACTCGAAGCCATTTTACTACCCCTGTTTTGCTGGTTTTAAGGGGACACCAAAAGGAACACCGAAGCTGACCAACCTTTGTTTAGGAGACTCTAGGTATTAAAATGGTCATCCCAGAACCACGTTTCAAGAATGAAGGCGGATCTCCGTATGGCAAGGGGATTGTGCTTAACCTTCATCTACCCGAATCGGTTTTGATGGCTGAAATGCGTTGGCCTTGACCTGAGTCACTTGCTCAAAACCGATCGGGATCAAAATGGTCGGGACCCAGAAAACCATGCTTCAAGAATTGAAACGGTGGAGATCCGCCCCCATTTATGGCAAGGGGATGGTCCCTAACCTTCATCTACCCCAGTCGGTGTGGACGACGCTCTGACCCAATCCACCCGCCTCCTCTCTCTCTTGGCGCTTCTGCGCTGCCTCCTCCAAGTTCCTGGGATGGCAGATCCCGAACCTACAGCCCCGGCACTGAGAACATCGTTGACATGGCAGCGGGTCAAACCACCAGGAATCGGACCGCAGGATTTGTAGTCTTTGGCTCCATTTGCCAGAACAAACCATTTCGGGGTTACCCTATTTTTGACCCACAGCCATATTATGCTTGGGAGCAACTTACAGTTGAGGCCAACCTTGCTTGCCCGAACGACCCATCGAGAGAACAGAAACAGGTTCCTTGTCACATGGTCTCAAGTGAGGAGCTCCTTGCAGCGATTGTCGGCAAACAAAGCGGTACTGTCAATGGGTGCCTAACAAGTGGCTGGAAGGTACGCAACAAAGCAACCCAATTGTTCGGATGGGTTAAAATTCGGAACTGCAAAAGAGTCCATATGAGTCCGTCAAGCGTGTCAGTGCGAAACGCGCATGCCGTGTGCATGACGAAGCAGGCCAATGCGTCTTTAAGCATGCTGCTTGCAAAAGAAAGCAGCACGCAAGACCAATGCCTCGGCAAAACAATGCAAATACAAGCAAGCGCTGCCTTCTCAGACATGGCACTGGCTCTCTGAGCTGTGCTCACCTAGGCCGATGCTCGGCGTTGGGCGCCTGCACTTGGCCTTGCTGAAAACCACCAGGCCCGGAGCCTTGCCCTTGCCGCCAACAGCCTGCGCCGCTTCCGCGGGCTCTTTGGCATCTGCAGACGATGGGCTGGGCTGGGCAACGGGGCCAAGCGCACACGGTTGCCTCGGCGGATGGGATGCGCAAACATTGCCACAAGGCAAACAAAACGCGGACAGACAGACAGAGACACGTGACGGACGGACAGACACACGGATGGACGGACGGACGGACAGTCACTCGTGACGGACGGACAGACAGACGGATGGACGGATGGACGGACGGACAGACAGACAGACACACGTGACGGACGGACAGACAGACGGATGGACGGACGGACGGACAGTCACTCGTGACGGACGGACAGACAGACGGATGGACGGATGGACGGACGGACAGTCACTCGTGACGGACGGACAGACAGACGGATGGACGGATGGACGGACGGACAGACAGACAGACACACGTGACGGACGGACAGACAGACGGATGGACGGACGGACGGACGGACAGTCACTCGTGACGGACGGACAGACAGACGGATGGACGGATGGACGGACGGACAGTCACTCGTGACGGACGGACAGACAGACGGATGGACGGATGGACGGACGGACAGGACAGACACACGTGACGGACGGACAGACAGACGGACGGATGGACGGACGGACAGTCACTCGTGACGGACGGACACAGACGGATTGACGGACAGACAGACGGATGGACGGACGGACGGACGGACGTCACTCGTGACGGACGGACAGACAGACGGATGGACGGATGGACGGACGGACAGTCACTCGTGACGGACGGACAGACAGACGGATGGACGGATGGACGGACGGACAGACAGACAGACACACGTGACGGACGGACAGACAGACGGATGGACGGATGGACGGACGGACAGTCACTCGTGACGGACGGACAGACAGACGGATGGACGGATGGACGGACGGACAGTGACAGACACACGTGACGGACGGACAGACAGACGGATGGACGGATGGACGGACGGACAGTCACTCGTGACGGACGGACAGACAGACGGATGGATGGATGGACGGACGGACAGACAGACAGACACACGTGACGAACGGACAGACAGACGGATGGACGGACGGACGGACAGACAGACAGACACACGTGACGGACGGACAGACAGACGGATGGACGGATGGACAGACAGACAGACGGACGGACAGACAGACGGATGGACGGATGGACAGACGGACAGACACACGTGACGGACGGACAGACAGACGCATGGCACACGTGACGGACAGACAGACGGACGGACGGACGGACGGACAGACAGACAGACACACGTGACGGACAGACAGTCGGATGGACGGATGGACAGACAGACAGACACACGTGACGGACGGACAAACAGACGGATGGACGGATGGACAGACAGCCAGACACACGTGACGGACGGACAGACAGACGGATGGAAGGATGGACAGACAGACAGACACACGTGACGGACGGACAGAAAGACGGATGGACGGATGGACAGACAGACAGACAGACACACGTGACGGACGGACAGACAGACGGATGGACGGATGGACAGACAGACAGACACACGTGACGGACGGACAGACAGACGGATGGACGGATGGACAGACAGACAGACACACGTGACGGACGGACCGACAGACGTTTGCTATCCAAAGGGCGCACGGGCGGGTGAACACTTGGGCCTCCGCGCGGAAGGCGCGCGTGTGCGGCGTGTGGGCCCTATAACGTCTGCGCCTACATGCGTTGTTGAGCGGGCGTTCTTAGGCCGTACGCGCGCAAAAAACCCTTTGGCCCCAGTTTGTATTCAAATTTGAGCCATGTCCAGACCGTGTCACGATTCGCTATGGTTCACCTTGTTCCTGACGCCATTGCTTCCGCCCACTCTTGGGCATACACAATGCGCGGCCTTCAAGTCTGCCTTTCGCGACTCTTACGCCTGGACGCCGAGTGGCACTACTGCACCAACAGCTTACACAACGTTGTTTCCTTTTCAAGTGTAGCACGTGAAGTACACTTTGGCAGCTCCGGCTCGACAATGGCCACTCTTGGGGACAAGTGCAGTCGACAAGGCACGAAAAGAGGCAGGCTGCTACTCGGAAACAAGGCAGGTGTCTTACTCGCCCCTTACGCTTGATTACGCTTGGCTTGCGCGTGCCGTTCGCGCTGAATGCAGGCACGTCTGTAAGCAGTTTTGTTGGCTTCTATGAACTGCATGACTGCCAAGAGCTAATCTTCACCACAGCCTTCTGCAAAGAAAACAACAAGTTCCGAATCTGTTCAATAACACTGTGTCTCAACAAGCTAGTGCAAATGAGTAAAGTACAAGGACATGAACGAAAGCTTACGCACAATACGCACGCGTCATATTCCCTCAACATCTGTTTATGATGGTTTGCGCTTGTGGGGCATCATTTTTAGACGTTGCTCATTCGAGCCTGTGAGCGCGCAAGGTCAGGCAGGCGGGTGCGCTTGTCCAACATCTCATTCGCCGCTGGGGTCGCAAATGGTAAGGCGATCGCAAAAACAAGCAGACAAGCAGACAGAGAGACAGACGCAGACACACACACACACACACACACACACACACGGACACACGGACACACGGACACACGGACACACGGACACACGGACACACGGACACACGGACACACGGACACACGGACACGGACACAGACACAGGCAGGCGGACAAAGAGACAGAGAGAAAGACAGAGACTGACAGAGACAGAAAAAAACAGAGCGAGAGAGAGAGAGAGAGAGAGAGAGACAGAGACACAGATACAGGCAGGCAAACAAAGAGACAGAGAGAAAGACAGAGACTGACAGAGACAGAAAAAACAGAGCGAGAGAGAGGGAGAGACAGACAGACGGACGGACGGATAGACAGACAGACAGACAGACAGACAGAAACAGATAGTGACACAGAAACAGACAGACAAACGGAAAGACGGAGAGAAAGACAAACAAACGAGACAGAGAGACAGAGACACAAAGAACACTTTGAAAACCATGCAAGGTCCGAAGGCACAATGCCCTCATGCAGCCACACGTGACCATATCGCACCAAAAAAGACTTCTCAGTGTCAGTGGAACCAGAAACGACACGTGCCAGAAATGTTAAAAGCAGGTGACACATCCTTCCCGGAGTTGAAGATGTCGGCGCCTGTCTGCACGGGTGGGCGAAGTGGCTCTGCCCTCTCCAGGTGTGGAGCGCTTCGCTCCGCTTTGCGGGATCTCTTCCCGTTTCTCCTGCGCTGGCCCGGCTTCGCGGGCTCCGGCGAGCGCCTCGGGCGAGGCGGCAAGGCGAAGGCACCGCCTCGGGATTTCAGGCTGCCTGAAGAGAACCCCGGAAGTCCAACACATCCTGGTGCTGTTGACAAGTTGGTTGAGAATACGAAAACGGGCTTTGGGGCAAGTAAGAGCTTCGCATCATGGCCAAACCGCTGGCAGATTGACAATTAATCAAATGAGAAAAAAACGGGGGGGGGGGGGGGAACAACTGGCGCGTCAGGGATAGGACTTTCGCACCAGACGATCTTGTTCCCCTAAATAGTTCGAGTGTCAAAACGAAACCCGCCATGCGAACTTCCACCGTGCAGTGGGAGCCGTTGATGAATTGCTCAATATAAAAGGAATCGCTGCGATCGGGACAAAGAAACACCCCTCAACGCTTGTAATGCCTCGCCCAAACAAACACACATATCACTCATCACAAAGGTGATTATTTTACCCAAATCCTCGTGCGTATGCGTCCTCGGGAGTTCATCTTCGGGGCCGGGGAATTCGTCTTCGGAATTCGCGTCCCCGGGAATTCATCATCGTGGGCGCCGGGAATTCGTCTTCGGAATTTGCCTTCGGAGGGAAATGTGTCTTCGGAAATTCCGTCTCTTCTGGATGTTGTCTACGTCAACGAGAATAGCTTAAGATTTCGTCCTCCTTCGCCTTCGGGCAAGAATATGTCTTCGCGAGTCTGAGCTTGTCTTCGGAACTCGCTTTTTGTGGGGGAACTCGTCGCCGGGAATTCGTCTTCGGAAGAGTTCTTCGCTTCTAGGCGGGTGAATCGTCTTCAAGACTTGGCCATGGGTCAAAGTCCAAATCGTACCCCCAGTTAACATCTCAATCCCCACTAAAATAGACTAAAATGGGTGGTGCACCCAAAGCCACATGCAGAATATCACGCGAAAAAAAGGCCCTGCCTTCTTTCAGCCTCGATCTTCTCAGCCCTCCTTTCAGCCTCCCTCCTTTCAGCAGCCTCCATCTGTTCCTCCTTCTCGCATATCCGACGGACCTGCTTTGGCATGATCCCTCCCCCCAATACACAGTGCAAACAGTCATGCTGAAGCGTTTGGCAGGTCATACCCGGTTTGGCATTGGCAATTGTTTCTCTGGGGTTCCAAAGGCGGTTTATGTTGCATGTTTTCTGTGGAAGGCGGTTTTTTGCCAGGAGTAGTTTTGTCCAAGCTCAGCTGATATCATTGAACAATTCGGGCGCCGCACGTGCTCAGGACCAAAGTGTGCAAAGACTTGACCTCCGTTCCCACAAAACAAGCGGAGGGATTACCAAAGGACAGGTTGAAACACATAGATTCACCCGTGTCAAAATTCACGGCAGAAAACGTGCTTTCACGCTGGAAAACAGGCTTCACGGTATTTTCACGGTAATTTCACGCTACTTTTCCGTACATCACGGACCACTATGTTCACACCAAAATTGTTGCGTCAAGACATGTTGGGGTGGAACAGGCTTTGTAGAATCTAAACGTGGCAACAGTATGAATAATCCATCAAATACCCCGCCATGGCTCATTGCAGGCGCAAAAGACAGGCTTTAGCTGCCAAAAACAGGCGAGGTGCAAAGGACGCTTAAAAAACAGTCGTGGTTTTGCAGGGGTCCGTTTATCGCTGATAACTTATCTGATTCCCGGCATGTTATTGAGATCTTGGATTCCCAGTACTTAATTTTGCAGTGGTACTAAACTTGATTCATTTTCAAAACCCGGCATTAACATGGTCTAGCCAGAACCTTGCAAAGAATTGAAAAGGCGGATCTCTGTCTCTCTCTTATTTATGATTATTTGTGGCAAGGGGATTGTCCCTTACTACCCTCCAATTGACCCGGTATTGAGCCTGTGGCTCATTTCTATTCGCCAATCCTTATTCCTAGATCTCCCCTCCAGTTCCTCATGGTTTAGAATGGACAATGCTTAACCCTACCCTGTTTCAGCCGATTCCCGCAAAAAGAATGGCAAAGACCCAATTTGGATGATGAAACATCCTCAGGTCAGCAATCTAGGTCCTCCAGTAGAGGTTAGAATAAGGGTACCCTTTTTTCTGTAAGTCTACTATAGTAGGGACCCCTCCCCCAAAAAAGTCGGCAAAAGGGCACCTAGCTGGGGGGACCTAGCAATGGTCCCATCAGGCCTGGGCTTCTCACCACTTGCCCTCCCACCAAGTACCATGGAACCTAACGTTCCGGGGGATCCTAGAAGACTTTGGCTGCGGCGCAAAAACATGTACTAAAATGGCACCAAAAGGTAAATGGAACCAAAGACCAAAACCTGGCTTTTCTGATTTTGAGCCCTGTCAGGTTCCGTGTTACCCTCTCTCCCAACTCCAAGAGGAAACTGATCTTTCAGGTACCCTCCCTCAGATGCCATGTTAGTGGGAGAGAAGGCAACTGGTGGGAGGGCAAGATCGAATTGCCAGGACTTCGTCCTAGACTTCCATCACTCTCGGCAGTGGCAATACCAAGTATGCCAAGACTTGAAAAGCCTAATATTCCCAGAACTTGATTTAGTGTTGGCAATGTGAATTCAGTATTGACCATGCTTCATTTCAGGTGTCCAGCAAGTTTCGTATTGCAAAGGTTTAATGTTAGATTTCCAGTACTTCACTTGCTATCGCCTACATCTGCCGCTTTCTTCAGCTGGGCTCAAATGAACCGAGACACACCGCTTAGCAACGCTCCCTTTTGTCGCGACAAGAAAAGGCTCCCTTCGAAACATAGATGTCATTTTTTGGTTGTTTTGCTAGACAAATAGATGGCGATTCCTGGTTTACCTGGTGGTTTAATCATCCACCCGGGCCATCTATTCTCCCTAAAAGGATACCTATACCTTCGAAGCAAATTTTGGATAGCGACAGATGCGTCACTCGAGGCCTCGCGGAAGAAGGCGTGGAAGAAGATGACGTTGTCGCTGAGGTCGAGGTCTTCAATCGCAGGGCCTTGAAACAAAAGGATCGGTATTAAAATGGATCGACCAAGAACCATGCTTCAAGAATTCAGAAGGCGGATCTCCGCAACTACTTGGGCATGGGTCAAAAACCTTGCCACCAGGAATCGGACCGCAGGTTTTGGTCCTTGATTCCTTTATTTTCAGGATTCCAGCCTTTTGGGGGTCATCCTATGTTTGACCCACACCCATTTTACTCACCTTCACTTCCCCGAGTCGGCTTTGAGCCTATGACTCTGCCACATGCCGTCGTTGGGTATCTCAGGCATAGGCCGTCCGGCGACGTCCAGTCGATGAAGTCCGGCGTGGGTCTCAGCCGCTTGTGCCTTCTTTGCAGAGCGCGGGGCAAAACAAGAGATATGGCCATGGTTCAAAATCCAAATCGTACCCCCACTAAACATCCCAATCCCCACTAAAAAATAGAATGGGTGGCGCACCTACCCCAAAACCGCATGGGACCTGACAGGGACCTTGAATTCAGGTTTTAACCATGGCTACTGGGGTACATGGTAGTTGGACCACCGCCCATAGCCGCCCGTGGCTTCACGTTTTTGAGTTTGCTGTGCTTGAACTCCATGTTTTGAGTCACTCTGGCTGCTGCTCCAGGCGACAACAGCAGACTAGGGACCCCTCCCCTACGTCAGCTTTTGAATTCATCACGCGGTTCCCAGGCAACATGCGGTCTTCAACCTGGCAAAATGCTTGACAGACGATAGTTGGGGGCTGGAAAAATGAGCTTTTGAAAGCAGCGTGCCAGTGGGATTTGGAAACGTAAGAAATTCCCCACTGGTTCGGCGCATTTCACATGAGGGACAGACAGTGTTCTCCTTTCCCCCCTGCAATCGCAGCTTGAACAGATTGCGCCGAAGCAAAAAAAGCACGATAGTACACGGGCCACTGCGCGCGGTGTACCTAGTTACCCTCCCACCCATTATTAACATGGAACCGGACGTTCGGGACCAAAAGGTCCCTTTCAAAGGAAAACGGTCCAAAATGGTCCAAACCAGGACCCCCCCCAAAAAAAAGTCTGGTTCCATGGTGGGAGGGCACAAGCAAGCCAAACCCGTCCACTTGCGCTGAAACGCCTCCGCTGGCTTTCCGGGGGGAAAGCTCCTCTCTTCGCAGCCTCTTCCCGTTCGCAGATGTTGTGCGCCTGCAAAGGGCATCTACGTCCTTCAGTAGAGAGGATAGAATAAGTTGCTACCGCGGCGTTTTTCTGTTTCGTCTATTATTGTAGAAAAACCCTCCCAACCAAAAGGAAACGGTGAGAAGGGCACCAATTGCTGGGCGGACCTAGGGCAACTCTTGCCAGAAATTCGGCCCATCATGGCCCCATCGGCCTCTGCCATGAAGGCGTGGAAGAACTCCACATTGTCTTGCAAGTTCGCCATCCGCGGCCAAAAACGACAAGTTTGTTCTCAGATTTGCCCAGTGGTTGGCATCCTTTTTTGGCTGGTGGAGTTTCAAGGGAACCCTTCCCACTGGACAACTGGGCAGCAAGAAAGAAGTTATCTCAGATTTGCCCAGTGGATTTCCATAGTGGAGGCTGGTTTGCCACGAAGAACATGGGTGAATGGATCAGTTGGAAAGCCATGGGACAAAAAAAGCATCGTTGTTTCTGGTTGATGTGGAGTTTCAAGGGAAGGTTGATTGGGTGAGGTTGGTTGGCTGGGCACGGTTGCTGCATCAAGCTTGGCTCTTTGGACATGTTGCGCAGATCTAAGGCTCACTTCCCAGCTTGGAATCTGCTTGAAAATCTGGCAGCCTCCAGGCCCGCAAGGCGGCCTAGAGCGGCACTCTGAATTCGGCCTGGGAGCTGCAGGAGGCCGCTTTGACGTTGGGTTTGGGGAGCATGTGTTTTTTAAGTTTTAGCGGTTAAGTGGTTGGATTTTGATTCAACCACTAAACCACATAAGAAAAAAATGCAAGATGCTTCCCAACAACAACCATGGCCGTGCAATGATGTCGTTCCAAAGTACGCGAGCTACCCAAGAACCCAGCCACCTTGCAGCAGGCAGAAGAAGAAGAAGAAAAAAAGCGCCGCATGCCGCATATCCATCATGTGTCTTTTTTCCGCACTTCCTGCAGATCAATGGCAGCTTGAGCAAGTGAGGCATGTTCAAGGGCTGTAATTGCTTGCAGTCGCGCCATTGGTTGACTGCATGCTGTCAAGGGTCAACATGGCCTTCGGCCACGCATGAATTACCACCAAAGCTTACCTATTGGCTTTCCAGCACATTGCGGCATTCTAACGCATGAAGGGCGTCGGCCAAAGTCAACCCAAGTCATGAAAAGCTCATCCTGATTGGTTGCCGCAGCTGTCCCAGCTTGAAAGCAAAGCTTCAAACAGTACTGTTCACTTTATCGCTAGGGCTTGTCGGCACAAGTAACGAACATTTCATGCCCAAGCCTGGCGCATCTGAATTCAATTGCACTGGCAGCGACTCATAAGAAATGCCAGTGCGCCATCTTGAAGGCGAGGAAGCTGTCAGGTCCCAGAAAGCTTCACCAACGCATTTGTGTAGCCACAGGTGAAGCAATCTTTGGTATTCCTTTGCTATCCCTTCTGATAAAAAAAAGCAACCCATGGAGTACTGTGTCTTTCGGTTGTAGCCCAATTTTTTAGGGTTCCGCCGATTGATTTCGATCTCAGCTTCACAGTTTATTTCTCAGGCCTGCCTCTATGCCTGCGCGGCTGCAGGATCTTCTTCTTCAGGGATGGTCAGGACCTGAAGAGCCACATTTGGCCCTGAATTTTAAAAGGGAACCACCTCAAATGCGTTTGGTGGACATGAATCCCCACCTGAAAGATGCCCACGAAAGGGTCCCCAATTCAAATCCATCACCATTTCAAGGCTCTTCGGGAGCCACGCTTCCGCTTTCCAAGCACCCGACCGGAACCTCGTTCACAAAGGAAGGCAAGAAGCTGCCGTCCTCGAGCTGAACCTTGGCATGCGGAAGGGGTAGCCTGTGCAAGGAGAGAGTGCGAAGAAATGCGATGAGCAGTGTCAAGCTCTGCGCCCATCCATCTTCTTCGTCGTACCCGAAGACTACAGAATACCTGGTAGCTGCAATCTTCTGCCAACGCTTGCCCTGCCAGAGAAGAGGCTGGTTTGGCTGAGTTGCCATGGGGCAACAGGTCGGCTTACATCATGATCCTGCGGAAATGAACTTTCATACTCCCACCAGCCCGGCAAAGATATGCCGAAGCTCCTCCATGGACTTGCTGTGGCGGTAGCTCAGCCCGTCGGTCCTTGGTGGATTGAGCTTTACGGCGGCATCTCGGCTCTGCTGGATCTTCCCCCCCCCGTTTTCCAAAAGGCTGCTGACCATAGGTGTCCTTTTAGGGGAAATCAATTGTGCTGGTAGATGATAAACCACCAGGTAAACCAGGAATCGCCCTCTATTTTTCTAGCAAAACAACCAACAGGACACCTATGCTGCTGACCACGTTTGAGTCTCCCACTGTGCTTTCAGCCACCGGTTGTCCACAATGAATTCCTGTGAGGACGGGATTTCACTTTACGTCAGACTCTCAACACTTTGTCGCTCCTGCAGCACGCGGTCCCTTTGTTGTGCAGCCAAACGCCCGTCTTCTTCATCGTAGTGCCTGAGTCTTCCCAACAAAGAATGCGCTAAAAAAAGAATGTAGCAGTGATTGACATGTCCTGCCACCCGCAAGCTAATTCAGCAAAGGGCTCCGTGGCATATGTGGCAAGCAGTGAACGGAGCGTGGTCCGTGTGGACCGTCGAGTGATGGTGTGGCGGTGGATCGGTGGGCCGGTGGGCTGGTCGCCCTGTGATCTGGCTGGCATGCAGGCAGGCAGCTGTGCAAGTGAAGCCGGCATTGTCTGCATGCCCGAGCCGCGCCCGTGCGTTCGTGCATGTGTGCATGTGTGCGTGTGCGTGATGGGGGGGGGATGCGATTTTAGGGTTCGGGTGGACAGGAAATGCGGTGTTTTTGGCATGGGTGCCAAAGCTCCATTGCATTTGTCGATTCTTATTTGAGGGCTTTGTGTTTCCTTTGTTGTACTGGTGCTTTGGCCTTTTGCCGTGCGGCTTTCCACCCAAAGCTCATTCGCGTTCAGACTTCCGACAGTGCAGCGCCTTGTGTCTGAGCTCCGTGCGGATCCTCATTCAACAACTCACCTGCAAACCCCAGCCACATGCGCCAGGGCAACTGTCGGGCGGTACTGTCCAGAGAAAGCCCCCTGAAATATAGCAAGTGGCGTGATTGCTGCCAGTACTCCCTGCGTTCCAGGGCGTGCTGGTACTCCTCATAGACCTCGGATGGGAACTGACCACACCCTCAGGGCCAGCGATGCCCAGCCTGCACTTGCAAGTCAGCGGACCTCGAACGGCGGCATGTGGGTGTACCCCCTTTTTTTGTGGTGTTAAAGGAAAACCACAAGAAACAAACACTTTTTTTGGGGGGGGTTCGTCGACAAACAGACACACCCATCCGAGACAGTTTTCCAGCCGAAAGTCCAGGCTTTGGGAACTCTCGGAAGCGGACGCTTTGCCCAGGACCTTGTCCAGCTGAACATCCGGAATTGGCCCTGGGGCGGACCAGCAAGCTGCACCGAGTGGTTCTTGCGACTTTTGCTCAAGGTCGGCACCCGCCGCATCGGCAACCTCAAGGACCCGGCTACCAGGGAAGCTTTCGGTTTTCTCAAGCATCGCCTGCCTGGTGCAAGAGCTCCAGCCTTGGGCATTCGTCCATTCGGCTTTTGCAACTGCGAAGTGGTTGAATTGCAACGGGGCTGTGGGAAATGACCACTTCTATAATAGAACAGAAAGGGCTTCGCAAAGACAAAACCCCCCAGATAAAGGTGGAGAGTCCAACTCGTATCAGAGAAGTGGGAATAAACCCCTTGATCCCACAATCCTGAATTGCAAGATCTGCCGGATTTGTTCGCTGAAAGCACAACCAACCTCAGACCCCTGCAGCATATCCTGCACTTCCACAGCATAGACAGCCTGGCCGCGCTCTTTTTTTCACAACCAACCCACCAGAGCTGTCAGTCAATCAGCGTGCAAAAGGCTGCAGTAGGAAGGTCGCATGAAAAAAAAAAAAACGACTTCCAGGCCTCTTCAGCCTGTGATGGCATGACTCGGTACTTTCCTCGTCGCACATTCGCGCTCCGGCTTTGGGCTGTGCCCCTTTTTGGCGCGCGGGGGAAGCTCTGAGCGAGTCCTGTGATGTAGGCACTGCCCACAAAGCGCCTCGCCAAGCGCAAGAGTTCGACCGTTGAATTGCGTCCAGTGACTGGCGACAGCTATCTATAGCCAACTTGCTGGTTTTAGGGAGGTAGGGGATGACCTTCCCGGGTGTTGGGAATGAACCTGGGGATATCCTTAAAGGAAGCCGCAAGAGATGGTTCATAGGGGTCATTCCCTCATTGCCTGCTGCGAACCAGCAAGCCAAAATAGATGCCCGGTAGCCGAAAGCCCTGTAACCGAAAGAGTGGAATGCCCAGAACTGGCACAGAGTGGCCGAGAGTGGCCCCCATCCTTCCGCACTCACCATCAAGCAGGCAATTGCCAGACTGGGGATGCCGACATGGACAGCTCAATGGCATACAACAGAACCTGCCGTCAATAGGCCAAAAGCCACGCGTGCTTTTGTGCAGGGTCTGATTGCAGCCTGTCCCCGCCACAAGGCCCACGGGTTAAAAGGAATGTCCTGCAAGCGCAGCTGCCGCTTCAGGGACGCGTTTCTCCCTCCCCACACTGAACAAGCTGTTTTCGTTTTTCCGCTATGTTTACTCCTCAAGCGATCGTGCCACTGCAAACACTTTCGGGTGCAGGTTTCGCTGATTCACTAGCTCTGGCTACATCTGCTTCATCTCCGCGGCGTACCGCAGGCGTCGGGCGGTAGGCGTCACTTCTCCACCGGCAGGGGGCCCCGTTTCCAGATTCAAATGTCCACATTCGTCATGCGGCCCCAGGCGTTCTGATCGATTCGCTTCATCATGGCGGTCCTAAGGGCAATCCGTTTCTGCAATCCGTTTGCTGCAAGCCTTCATCTCTTGGCTTGATCAAAAACCCGTGACTTATAGGCTTATGGGGCTTGCAGAATGGCAACATGATCTCAGTTGCCCCTTAGGGACCCAGAAATAAATGGTATCACCTTTTGGGTTGCCATGACTACATATGGACCATGGGAAAACCACAAGGTCATTTCAGCGTCGATTCGCTTTGAACTGAGTGATGCCAAGGAGCAGCTGCTTGTTGGGACCAACCTCTATAAACTCCTCGATGCCGTCAGCAATCATCCTGAGTGACCCACATAGTCACCACGGGAGATTGTGAACACGTGTGGGTACCCTCTCACCAGTTTACGCGGAACCTGACGTTCGGGACACTGTCCCTTTGAATGGAAAAATTTGCTCCAAACCAGAACCCCCGAAACGTCGGGATCCATGTTAATGTGGTGGGGGTGTACAGCAATGCTGCCGAGTACGCCCCTCTTCACAATGATCACTTGCAATTAGCGCGCCAACATACCAAGGAGCGACCTGATACATGACTCCCATAACACTGGAGAGCACAGCTGCTGGGCCAACAACGGCAGGATCTCCTCAGCTCCATGCACCCCACTCGCGCCCATAGAATCTCACAGAGACCTCCCTGCGCCCACCAAATCCAACATCATAGGCACTAGGGGGATGGCTTTAAAATGTCTTGCAAAAGAACAAAAAAGGCTAGGGGTCACACCACTTTTGGAGGGGCCCCGGGGGCCCCCGGTTGCATAGGCTGGATGTACGCAGCAGTCCTTGGGCGAAGTCCCCGCTGAGATCTTCCTCGAGACATATGCGTGGAGCTGAGTTCTTCCTACATGTGGCTGTGGGTCAAAACCAACGGGATCCCATTTTGGGGTGGTGCACCGCCCATTTCAGATTTTATTTTAGTGGGGATTGGGATGGTCACGCGGGGTACGATTTGGATTTTGACCCATGGCCATGTCTTTCTCAGAAGTTCAGACAGGTCGCTTCCCAGTTACATTCATATACCTGACGTAGCGCCGTAGCGCCCGCTCAAGAAAAACTGGCGATCCCTTGGCAACACATCCAAACAGCTGTCTATCTGTCTATGCAGCCTGGGAGCACGTCACAGATTGGCGGCTTCATTCTGGGCTCAAGGCCTTTCAACGCATCATCCAGGGTGTGTTGAGCTGGTCTCATGAGCTCCTAAGCGATGACCAAAAATGCGGGCATGAAAACACTCCGTTGCCCAGATGTTGCGTTGTGCCTCTCTTTGGCCAGGTTGCCGTGTGGAAACCACCAGATGTTTTGATGGCTTTTACCTGAATGGCTGGCAAGGCTGCTCCGCTTGCACGCGGCAAGCGGCCATTTGACACATCCGTCTTGTTCGTTCCAACCGAGTCAACATGCCGCTCAGGGGCTTGCAATGCTCCTTTGTCCCGCGCACTCTGCTCCAGTCTCTCAATTGCGGACTTTGCCCCTGCACAAGCGAAGCCGTTGCTGAACAGGGAGTTCCTTAGATTTCCAGCAACGCAACATGGCTGTGGAGCCTGGATAGTTGAACCGTTGCGGGTGAAACGCAACAATCCATTCCCCGAGTGTCGCAATTTGACAAACTTCTCCTTGTGCTTGTTCCAAGCAGAGCTTTTCCACAGTGGCACGGTCCAAGCCAGCGATAGATATCATTGCCTAGCAAGTCTGGACATGTTGCTGGTGGCAGCAAAACTCTCAAACACTGTGGCCATGGGTCAACATTCAACATCCAAATCCTACCCCCAGTGAGCATCCCAATCCCCGCTAAGATAAAGCCTAAAATGGGTGGTGCACTCAAATCCCCAAAATGGGATCCCAAAACGGCTTTGACCCACGGCCATGTATGGATCAAGGACAACGTGGCCACCTTTCGGGTCTCAACGAAAATGAACGCGGGCACCTTAGGTCAAAAGGCTTCAGCATCCACGCTAGCAACAAGGCTGCAGGGAATCTGTACCAGTCAACTGTCCGCAACCCCCTTCTGTAGCTCGCCTGAAGGACCTGGATAAGGCTCACCTTCTGGAACAATGGCTATGGACTCAAAAGGTCGATGGAGCGAGGTAGGCTCTCGAACGCTGAATCCTTACCGATGGCCCAGCCTGGGGAGTCTTCATTGATGCCTCAGCCATTGCCGTACCTGGCCATGGATGCATTTCCGCAACGAGCGCGCAAGCTAGGGCTACCTTCCCCATTGTTTCCTGGGATCTTTCTTTCTAGAAGACCTCCGGACGCCCAGGTTGAAACGGTTTGCTGGTGTCTGAAAAGAACGATGGTTGAAAAGAATGGAAAGGGAAGGAATCAACCCCTAGATCCAGAAAGCTGAAACGAATGAGCTTGCTATTTGTATCCCCTTGGTTCAAAGGGAAAGTCGATTTCAGTGGACATACTATGGATGGACGAAACCATTTTGCACCACCTAAGAGACCCTGGTTTCGGATTCGATTCCCCGGCTACCAACAAACAATCGGTTCCAGCCTCTGATCATCACAAGCATCATGGCATCCTCAAAGTCCAGCACCCCAGCGGCACACAAGGCAGTGTACTCGCCCAACCTCAGAAACAAACACCTCCATCAGCAGGCGTCGGAAAGTCATTACCAAAATTATGAAGCAACAAAAATGCATCCTTAGCAGCATCCCACGGTTCTTAGAACCAGAAAGTGCCGAGAGGGTACCTAAAAAACCGAGCTGGAGAGCAAAAAGTGCCGAGAGGGTACCTCAAAACCCCCCCCCCCAAAAAAAAAAAAAAAACTGGTCTCAGGGGACTCTTGGGCTAGCCCGGGCACCTAGGCATCAGAAAAAAGTCATCAGAACCCTTTCTTCGGCGGACATCAAACAAATCGAAGATTCAGGTCCACCAAAGCTGGTTGAGTTCGGTGGCTCCAACTCTCCAAACTCACAGCCATTTGAACAAGCAAAAAACCCGGTACTAAGATGGTCGATCCCCAGAGCCATGTAAGGAATTGAGAAGGCGGATATCCGCAGCCATTTGTGGTGGGGATCATCCTTTACTAAGCTTCATCTACCCGGGTTTTGCTTGTGGCTCATTTGGGTATGGTTCAAACATTAATCCACCAGGAATCGGACCGCAGGTCTTAGTCTTGGTTTCCATTTACCTGGGTTGCATTGTGGGTACCCATTGTTGACCCACAATCATTTGACCCTTTCTGAAGTTCTGAAGTGGCCGGGCAAACATCAAAACAGGTGCCCTGCTCAACCTCCATATCCCCTGGTTTCCTTTTGACCGCGGTAGGAAATGCAATCCACTTCTGTGCCAACAACCAAAAGGGCTTCCCAAAGACTAACCCTCCCTAAAAATCTCTTGTATCACAGAAGCGGGGATAAACCCTTCATCCCACAACCTGGAATTTGGACCCATACCATCCTGATTTGGCCATGGGTCAAGATCCAGTACCCCCAGTGAACATCCCAATCCCCACTAAAATAGACTAAAATGGGTAGTGCACCTACCCCAAAAAGGGATCCCAAAACAGCTTTGACCCACAGCCATTTGCCAAGACACGAAAGGCCAGCCACCGCCCGCGGGCTGGCAGCATCCCTCTCGCGCAACACTTCCAAAGCGGCCATGCCTCAGCGCGCCAAAACCTGCTTCGGGTTCTTTTTAAGGATTGGACCCCCACAACACGGGATTTCGGTGTTGCTTTTGGCTTTCCTTGAGGAGCCAAAAAAAACAAAAAGCACCGGAGGTGCCCTCAAGAAAAGCGCCACTGTCACCCCAGGCCAGGAAACCGGGGTCACAACGAAACATGGAAACCAAAAACCGGGAGACAAAAAGGCGACCCTCCCACTAACATAGCACCTGAGAGGGCGCGTTAAGTCCAGGCACGTACCTTCCCGCAGATGCCTTCTGTTAGTGGGAGAGGGTACCCTCCCGCCAACTAACATAGAAGTGCGCAAACCCCCTATCCCAGAGGAAAGTTTGGTCTTTCTACAGGGGTCTGTGCACTTCCATGCTAGTCGGTGGGAGGGCACCAGGTTTGGTTTGGGCAAGTGAGCACAGGTGTCCTTTCAGGGGACATAGGTGGCCCTGGTAGATGAGCAAATCACCAGGTACACCAGGAATCGCAACCCCTCTATTTGTCTAGCAAGCCAAAAAGGACACCTATGCAAGTGAGCCGAATCTACAGCCGCAACCCCTGGCCTGCGAGGAACATGGCCGGCTGGCATACACTCGTCTCCTCGAGCCTGTGTTCGGGCCCTGTAAGGCACACCTCAGAATCACACGCCGAAAAACCGATTGGTATTGAACTAGGCTGGAATTAACCAAAACCCGTAGGGAAAGGCAGAATTTGCGAAAAAGCCATCTCGGCCAGAACCTGGTCGTAGGGGTTTTCCCAATGGTAAGCCGCCCTTTTTGCTAGGTTCGCCGCAAATTTGCCGGGGGGCTTAGATCTTCCGCGACATCTAGCGTTCAGATCTAAGGGGACCCAACCCGGAAGGAAAATTCGTGTTTAAAGAGGACCCCAGCAAAAAAAAAAAACGTTCCATCTAAGGGTGTCTCTTTGTGTTACACCCTGGAAATAAAGCCACTGACCCCACGCAGGCACATGTCCGGATGAAACCGTGTTCTTTTGAACCATTCTGGTCAATACCCAGTGGGTGTAATCCCAGGGCGCACCCCCCCAAAAAAAAAACTCAGATCCAATGGAAAAACCGCGAGATGGCCTCCAGCAGGTCGTAGCCGACGATGGAATTTGCCGCAGCGATCATCTTCTGCACCGCGGGCAGGTCTTTGCATTGTGATAACATGCCGACCTCAGTTTATAAAGGGGGGGATGGTCCAAGGGAGGGGGAGGCGGATTCCCTAAGGCGCTTTAAGGTAAGGAACCAGAGAACCAGAAAGGGAAGGGGGGGTGGTCCAAGGGGGAGGCGGATTCACCAAGGTGGATTCCCTAAGGAACTCAAAGGAGAACCCTAACTCTAAGCCTAGGGCTCGCAGCTGCCTAGCCCCGATGCCACACCGTGCTTTCGCATGGACAAAGTGCCGCTTGGGCGTTCTTTGGACATGTTTTGTTTGGCCCAGCTTAGGTCAATATAAGCACTTCAGAGGTCCGAGCGGCATTCTGGGAACCTTGACCTGGGAAAAGCAGCGCCCGCTTGGCTCCATGAGCAACAGGCACACTCGGCACCGACTTGTCCAGAGCAGCCAGTGCACATATCAACCTGCAAAGTCGGCAGTCACACTGCAACCAATGCCCTTAAGCAAAAAAACTCGCCTTGTGAGAGTAGCTGTGTTGTTTTGGCCGATCTGGCTTGACCACAGCCTCAGTGCTCAATGCGCAATAAGGGCAACTTGATTCGGTCCACCAACAAAACTGGGGCAAAAGCTGCACCATCTCCTGCAAAAACAGACCGCTCTCGGGGAATTCTGCGCCAGGAGCCATGCCTTTCTTGCCGTACCAACAGGCGACCAAAGGGCAGTCCTGTGATGGAGCGCCGCTATGCTTGAGTAAGGAGGCCTTAGATGCGTGCGCACGACAGCCCGAAAAGGCGGGGCCCACCGCCTGCCTGTTCCTCAGGATGATCCACCTCAGCAGAAGCGCCAGAACAGCCGGGAGCCCTTCCACGCTTTAGCGGCCGACCAGCCAGGCAAAGTAGCGGGAGAGGCAATCCTGGGATTTAGCAGTGTCCGACGCAGCTCGGGAAGACACAAAACGCATTGCTCTAGGGGTTGATTCCCCATTCTTTTCAACCATCGTTCTTTCCAAAAACCGGCGGTTCCCCCGGAGGGTTTCTAGAAAGAAGGATCCCTGGAAAGAATGGAAATGGAAGGTACCCCTAGAATTGCATCACATTGCATTGGAACTGGCCAAGGGGGCCGAACCAGGCAAAGGAGCCAAGCGACTAGATGTGCTCAGGGGAGGGTCTGCATTTGCTCGGGGGTTCAAGGAATTATTGCAGCTGGGCATCGATTGGGCCACCCTGCCCTGAGCCAAAGGGATTGCCTTGTGGCTTCAGCGGGCCCTGGCAGTGACAAGCGGCCAGCAAAAACAGCATGTCAATGTCATGGACAGCTATGTGGTGGGGGGGGGGGGGGCTATCCCTGGATAAGCCTAGTATAAGCCCAGGCTAAGCCCTCCATGGGATAGCCCGCCCCTCCCCACAGCGCCCTAAAAGCAATTCTATGAGCAACCGGCCTCGTCCAACCCAACATTGCGGTAAACTTCCAGGCCCCTTGCGCTTGGAGAGCGAAAGTCACAAGGAAAAAAAGAAAACTGCGGCTGCGGGGCTTGTGGAATTCTGGCTTGGTGAGGATCTCATTGATCTCCTTGGCCAGAGGTGCACTTGTTGCCTAGGTCCTCCGGCAGAGAGGTTAGAATAAGGGTACACTTGTTTTTCCTTTTTTTTTGCAGTCTATTTTAGTAGGGGTAAAAGGGCACCTAGCTGGGGGACCTAGTTGCACAGAAAGTCGCGAAAATGCGAGGTGCGAGTCCAAGTCGCTTTCATGGCGGGAGATTCCACTGCAGCGTCCGCTTTGGAGCTGCCGAACCTTAGCGCATCTCTGGCCATAGATCTTTCAGGGCTCCACTTGGCTATGGGTCAAAACCCCGGTTATCCCCCAGTGAACATCCCAATCCCCACGGAAAAATAGGTTCTAAAACGGGTGGTGAATTCACCTACCAACCAAAATGGGATCCCAAAACGGTTTCGACCCACGGCCACTTTTTTCGACTACCTGAAGACGGGCCTAAACCCATCTCTTTTTTAAACAAAAATGAACCACCTGGGTTTAAGTCTGCTGCTGGGTAGTCAAAAAGGGGAACCCCGAATCAATCCACATTGGAAGAAACACAGGCAGGCCCCGCACTAAGTCAAAAAAACACATCGCGCAAAAGATGCCAAGGCAAGCATGGGCGTAGCCAGCAGCAGCATATTACATCAAGTCAAAGGCATGTTGCTCGAGTGGCGGAAACAAGCCCGCAAAAGTGTGTCACACATGTTTAAGACTTGGCAGGCCTCTCAAATCCAGTGTGTCCCGCATCTTGTGGCCTGCCCGTTCATGCCGCTGGCTGTTGGCTCATCTTGCTCCATACTCCGAGGAGTATTGTCTCGCCTTGTTCAGACAACCGTGGAATCGTGGGCAAGACCCAGAGGGAGTTGCGCATTCATTTCTCGCCTGGTGCACGCGACCGCTTTCCAATATGGCTGTGGGTCAAAAAAACAGGTGCCCAAACTGGAACACTGCTAAATGGAACCCAGGAGCAAAATTCCTGCGGTCCAATTCCTGGTCATTTCATTTTGACCCACCATTTGGGCTTCCTCCCGCCTCCCCTCCCCTCCCTCCCCCCCCCCTCCGGCCCCATTGACCACTGGCCGCCTCTCGGCCCCGCTCTCTTGGGCCCCAACTGGCCCCAGTCCAGCAAAGGCTCAGCCTCGCCCGGGATTCGTCAGTCCAGGAAGTACCCTCCCACCATTTGGCACCACCTATTTTGATGTTTACGAGGGGTACAGGGTTTTGACCCACAGCCATTTTGCGTGTTGATGGACAGGAGGGTCACTTCCCACTAATGCCTTCTGTGTAAGAGGAAATCGATCTTGCAGGTACCTTCCCGCAGAAGTGGAGAGGTACCCTCCCACCAACTAATGGAAGTGCACAAACCCCCCTTTCCAAGAGGAAAGTTTTGTCTTTCTGCCAAAAATCTGTGCACTTCCATGTTAGTGGGCAGGGTAAGTCCAGAAACTCGGCTGAGGATACGCTCCCTCAGACTAACACCCAGAAAAGCTTCCCCACTTGGCCGATCCTGCAAATGGGTCACCAAGTCTTCCAGTTCGGGGTCCAAGGTCCCTTTTGGAGCTTCCATGGAGTCGTCTGGGGCAGGGGTCCGTCCCTGCCTGGTAGTTGAGGTTGTAATCTATGAGCCCGTAGGGGTGCATCTTGGAGGATCCCACCACCTCGCGATTCTTTTCTTTCCGCGCAAAAGAAGCAAGTGCACGTGCTCACTTCACAGCCTCAGGAACCTCGTCGTTCAGATGGAAGCCGGTACACTTGATGATGATATCTCGGCTTCAACAAAAGGAGTCTTGTCATAGAGCTCCCACTTTTAAGGCTGCAACCCACATCGATTTCAGAACTGTCCTTCAAGACCACGCCCCTGCCATCGCCACCTCAAGGCACATCTGCCCACTGAGCCACAATCAAAACCCGGTATTAAAATGGTCTACCCAGAACCATGCAAAGAATTAAGAAGGCATTAAGAAGGCGGCCGCAACTATTTCTGGCTGTGACTGCCCAGTGCTAACCTTCAGCTACCCGGGTTTTGATTGTGGCTCATCTGTCTGAGGAAGCGAATCAGATGCCTGGGTGCGCGGACGAATTCGAGCGATCTCGCCAACCCGGAGCTCTGCCAAGCCGTGGTACCCAGCGATGAAAGCAAGATCAGACCTAGCCCCACGCCCCTGTGCAGCTCCGCAACTCATGCCAGCATGGTTCCATGACGAAATCAATTTCGCACCACTTTGAAATCATGCTTGAAACATTGTTCCTTGGCATTTGAAGGGGAATCGACTCTGAAAAACCAGGGCTTCTGAGTTCGGTGGTGCCTTTGAACGGAAATCGCAACAACCCACAGCATCATCGAAGCTGCTGGCTTTCGCAATTCAGCCGCGGACACTGAGATCGTATGATTGTTCGGCTTCCTTGGTGAGAGACAAAATCCCTTCATAGGCCAACCACAGACTTGCGATCGGTGCGATAGGTAGGGAATGTGAAATGGAATGAACCCAGGGATTCCCTTGGAGGAAGCCACCAGTTGGACGGTTTATAAGGGTCATTCCATTTCTCCTTTCCTGCCTATCGCACCAGCAAGTAAACCCTGGTCGATGGATGTGATTGACCGGATTTCCACTTATTCCCTTACTCGCAATATTTAGGAAGCAAAAAATTGGACCAGCGTTTTTTCCAAGCGGCAATAAGCCCTCCGCCCAGCAACCAGGTGTTCGAACACCAGCATCCTAGGCTTGAGCAGTGTTCAACTGCCATCCATGAATCGATGCCCGTCTTACCACAGTGCAACCGAGCCTGATAGCACTTCTGCCAAACTTCAAAGCTGATCATGTTGCCAGCCTGCCGTCAAAGCTGGAGGGACAAAGCTGGCTGCAGCAACAGCATCGGCGACTTGAAATTGATGTTCGCCTTGTTTGTCTGCAAGTTTTCGTCCAGCGGCCGCAAGAAGGCAATCATATCCTAAGCTGCGCAAGCCAATTGCCAGCCTTCTCCCCATCAAGGAGTTGGAAGAGAGATACGTCAGCACAGCAACAAACAATGGAGCTGCAAGGCCTTGCGTCTTGCCCCCTTTCCTCATGGACCCCAAAGGGGGGCTGTGGGGAGGGGGGCTATCCCTTATTAAGCCCTTAATAAGGCCTTATTAGGGGCTTATCCTTGGGTTATCCTGGGCTTATCCAGGGATAACCCCCCTGAAGATTCCATGGTTTCAGTTGGCCAACCATGCAGACATGTGAGGGACATAACGACTGTGCTGCAGCGCTGCAATCCATTTCGGGCATGTCGTGCCGTCTCGACGCCCGAGCAAAGTGACCTCAAAGTCAGGCGTTTGAACGGTCGGCAAGGTATACGAGGCTGGAATTCGGACCCCAGCAAAAATGTTCCTTTTGCCTAGTTAGTGGAAAAAGAAGGAAAAAGCAAAAAGCAAAAAGGGGAGCTGGTTCTGGGGAAGTATAGTTGGGGGTCTTGATCAGGGCAGGGGGATGCGTGAGACTTCAGCATGCCTCATCTTGGTTGGCGAGACCCCTCTGCAACGATTTGTTTTCGGGTCCACTTCAAAAAAGAAAACGAGCTGGTTCGCCCAAAAAGTTAAATAGCCCAAAGATCCGCTACCAAATAGCCGTAAGGTCCAAGTACATCAATATCAACCCCACTGGGCCGGTTTGCCGTTAAACCCGGGGTCCAACAGCCTCACTCGGCCTACCCCCGTGCCCTGAGTTCGTTTCTGAAGCCTAGGGGCATGTCTCGCGCCGTGCTCGATCGACGTTCTCACGTTCTCGAAGGCGAAGGCCCCCGCTCCTGGCTGAGCTTCCTCTCCCTCCATGGTTCTGAGTGAGTTATAATATTTTACCAACCTGAAGTAAGTAAGGTGGTTGAACCACAATTTGGGGTGAATTCGGTCGTGTGAGGTCATTATAATTCACCCAGACGATTGTCATCAACACGATGCTTGACAACAAGAAACATCTGCAACCCGTGGAAACCCACAGGAAAGCTGCGGGAAACCTTGGGAAGGAAACGCGCGAGGGAAACGCGCGAGGGAAACCCGTGGAGAAGGGTAACCTGCAGCAAACCATGGAAACCCGATGCTTGACATCAACTCGATTTTTTGACAACATGGCCATGGGTCAAAATCCAAATCGCACCCCCAGTGAACATCCCAATCCCCACTAAAATAAAGCCTGAAATGGGTGGTGATTTCACCTACCCAAAAATGGGATCCCAAAACGCTTTTGACCCACAGCCACAGCCGCAAGCCGCGAAAACCCAGGTCCAACGACGAGCACGCGCTTGTTCCAAAAGTCCAGGTTGGCAGGCTCGTTGCCGTAGCCTTCACGGGCTAGCCGCAGAACGGGCCAGAAAAACAGGACGCAGACAGCTGGCAAACAGACGCGTAGCACCGGAATTTCTGTGCAACTAGGACTCCATAGCAGATGGTGCCCTTGAACTTCTCCGAGTCCTGCCAAGAACTCCCGTGAAAACTTAACCCCAACAAAAAACACAGGGATCCTGCGAGCCAATTCTCTCATTGCAGCGTGCCTCCCAATCCACGATGCGACGCTTGCCGATGCGCCGGTTGACTTGGAAGCTCACCTCAAGCTCAAGCTCAATCAGGGCACGCAGCACAAACACCCAGTCATTGAGGATTAGTTCAGGTTTGCATGATACCAACCTTTCAATAAATCAAACACTGTCTTTTGCTTCAAACCTCAATAAATCAAAGGCTTCCTCAAACTTCAAACCAAGAGTTCCAACTGTTTCTATCCAATCTTGGCGGCCATTATATGTGTCCAAGGTGCTGCTGTTGTCTTGACAACATAGGCCTTTGCATCTGTCAATGACTGCACCTCAACTGATCATGTCCCTCCTCAAGGGGCAGCCTGGATAACATTCATGGAGGCACAGCAACATTCTTGGCGCAGCACGTGCACATGATAGGTTCCATCCTTCTGCTTTTCAACCTGGCACTGACAAATGAAAAGTGAATGCCAAGAAGTGCCGTAGCCTTCTGCACGTTCATCCGGCAACGGATTTTGTCATGCGCATATTCACCTCCAGAAAAACAAAATGTCGCTCAGCATGCGGCGGAAAGCTGCAAATGGGTGTGTCTCAAAATAGGGGTCTCTTAAAATGGTTGGCTTCCTTTTGATGTCCTTTTAAATAACCGGGTGCACCATTCTGAGAAACTCCCAAATATGTTTTTAGGCAGGAAAGCTCCAAATGGGTTCCTCAAAATAGGTGACTTCTTTTGGATGGTTTCAAAAGGAAATCACCTATCTGGTTTGGGGGGGGGGTCACCAACTCTGAGAGACACTCAAACAAGCCTTTACTTGCTGGTGCTCAGCAGGGAATTCAGGGAATGAACCTGGGGATTCCCTTAGAGGAACCGTAGGGGATGGCTTTTTTGGGGGTCATTCCCTCCTTCCCTGGTTTAGGCATGCGTCACAAGCATAGGTGGCCTTTTGGAAAAATCGACGGCCCTGGCAAATGGATTTCAAAACCCACCTAAACCCGTGAAGCCCATCTATGTTTTACCAAACTAACCCAAAAACAAAAAAAAAGGACGCCTATGGTCCCAAGGCGCTTGCTATGTCGTAGATGTCGCGCATGATGTCCCGGCGCGGGGTGTGATCTTCGTTGGGCCGTGCCCAAACACCCCGCTTGTCCAGAATCCGGTAGCCGATCCTCACGGCTTTTCTCGGGAACTCAGGTGACGTCACTGGCAAAAAACCACGATTCGGTACCTAGAGTCTCCATGGCCCTTGAAAAATGGTTGGTCATTACCCAAATCAAGGGGTCATGGATCCATTTTTTAAGGGACATGGAGACTCTAGGTATTAAAATGGTCGTAATCCCAGAACCATGCTTCAAGAATTCAGAAGGCGGATATCCGCAGCTATTTATAGTTGGGATTGTCCCTTAACCTTCATCTACCCGAATCGGTTTTGATTATGGCTCAGGTGCCACTTAGGGACTCTGACATTAACGGTTGACTCCGGATTAAGCAAACCCCAGTCTATTCATATGGTGGATGGCGTGGTGTTGGCCCCTCCAACAGTGGACTGAATCCCCACCGAAACCAGAAATGGACGCCCCCATATTAATAAGCGGGGGTTTATTCATCCGGGGTCAACATTACAAGGTTAACGGTGTGGATCCTCGACTAAAAATAGACCAAAAAGGGAAAACCAAAAGGTCGGTTCGCTGTAAACAAGTGAGGGAACAAGGGACCATTCTGTCGACAGTTTCTGGGTTGTCGGTTCTCAAAGTTGAAATCGGGATTGGCTCACAACTTTGAGAATGGTAAAATCGTGAACCCAAGGCTGCAAATCAGTGGCTCCCAAAATGAGTCAAAATCAAAACCTGGTATAAAAATGGTTGACCCGGAACCATGCAAAGATTAAAAGAAGGCGGCCGCAACTATTTCTGGCTGGGATCGTCCTTTACTACCCTTCATCTACCCGAATCGGTTTTGATTGTGGCTCAAATCACTTCACTCTCGGCCCAGCAGCTCCGAGGTGTTCACTCGCGAGTAGTCGTTGCCGTAGAACTCCCAGACTCCACCAATGGTGTGGTAGCGGTCGAAGACCACAAAGGATTTGCCGCCTTCTGCCAGGACTTTGGCCTGATAAATGCCTGACGGCGCCATACCATGGGTCAAAATCCAAATCGGTTAGCCCCCGGTGAACATCACACTCCCCACCAAAAATAGACTAAAATGGGTGGTGCACCTACCCCAAAATGGTTCCATTGGTTTTGACCCACCGCCACATGGCTCTCTCTCTCTCTCTCTCTCTCTCTGCCGTTGCGTCCAGAGGGTTTTGACTCAGCAAGGCAACGAAAAAGGTGCCCACTGATATTCAGGGGCACCAACAACATACATGTGGCGATGGGTCAAAAATGAACCACTAGGGCTAGGGACCGCCGGAATTTTAGGCCTTGGTTCCATTTTCCAGGGAAACCCACTTTGGTACCTTTCTTTGACTGGAAAGCGGTGGCGTGCACCAGGCGAGAAGCGAATGCGTAACTCTTTCTCTTTTTTTTTTAATCTCTCTCTCTCTCTGAGTCTTGCCTGCGATTCCAGCCCCCACGATGACGCAGTCCACTTTTTCGGGAATAGCACCTTCCACAGGGCCAATGTCGGGGTAGGCCTCCTCATTCCATCTGCAGAAATCTTTGAGGGTCCTTGGCTGTGACACCGCTGCCGGTGCAAAAAATGTTCAGCCTCAAGCCTCAAGCCGCCTTTCTTTTTACGAAGGCTGCATATTCACCCCTTTGCCCTGCGAAGTTTACAATGATTCCAAAACCTGAAACAAGGCATGCCCCAAGTAAACAGCTTTTACCGCAGTGAGCTCGTTTTACCCCCGAATCGGTGAGCTTGCTATAGGCCAATGGAGTAGGCACGGGTTCAGCGGAAATCCTCCTGACAGCCAAGCCAAGCCTCTGTGACATCATGCTGAGCAAGGCTGGTTCAGGCTTTGCTGCAGGGCCAATGCCTTCCAAATACCACTCTTCCTAGGCTCACGTGGCTGTGGCTCAAGATTAAACCACCAGGAATTGGACAGACTTTTGTCCTTGTTCCCATTTGCCATTTTGGGGACCAAACTTTCTTAACCCACACCCACCTGACTATGCAGTACGAGCGCATGGTCAGCTGCAAATTGGGCATTCTGGCTTCGCCGCATGCCACGTCCGTGGGTTGTTTGAAAGGTGGCTACACGTAAGCCCAGAACGGTGTTTCAGCCTGGGCATACTTGGCTGGCCACTCACCAGAAACCTGCTGAAAGTGGAATTGTCCCATCCCAAGCGACAGCTCCTTGGGTCAAAGCTTGTGACCGGCCCTAAAATGTCGCTTCATGGCCCTTTGGCTGGGGAAAGTGGCTTAGCCGTGAAGGCGCACCGCACAGCCTTGATTCAGCAGAAAGTTCGGAGCAATCAACAGAACTCAGCGGGGCACCGTGCACTACGGTCCCTGTAAAGTTCTCCGGATCGAATGCCGGAAAGTTGTGCCGGAAATTGTATTCATCGGGGGGTGGGGTGTGCCCCTCCAAGAGTGGTCTGACTTCAACCGCATTTCACCCAGGGAGTAGCACGTCCCCTAATAAACTGGGGTTGATTCATCTGCAAATTCTACTGTAATTCCAAAAGCTGAATTAAGGGATCCTCAAGTAAAAGACCTTTATCTTATCATGGCTTTCGCACGTTATACCCCCCAAATCGGTGAGCTCGCAAACAAAAAAAAGAAGAAACAAAAGAAGAAGAAGAAGAAAGAAGAAGAACAAAAACGATAGGCCGAATTTCTTCGGGGGTCAATATTACCATGCTACGAGCCCGCAAGCCAACCTTTGCAGGCCGTTGGCGCCCAGAAAGCGTTTGCTTGGCGGTTTAAGGGAAACCAAAAGGAAGCCACCTACCAATTGTGAGAAACACCCAGCTGTTGCGGCAAAGCAGTGACACGTCTTTTTGCGCGCCCCTTTGCCGATGCCCGTCCATCCGCTTGCAAGAAGAGCCTCTTCCGCATTTCCAAACTCCTCAAAGGCAAAGCCCTTTCCGTAGTCTGCCCACGCCTCCGGTCGAGGCTTGTCGCTGCACGTCCGGTCCGAAAAGCGCGACTGGCCTTGATAGATGCTGCATCGACACGCCTTCCTCCATGCCAGCATGCGGCAATGGGAACCGGCAACGTCCGGGAGGCATGCGCACACCTGACGTCCACCCAACGACCCTCGGGCCCTCTCCCTCCCGTGAGATCTCTGGCACTTAAGCTTTGCACGAGTATGACTTCATCATTGAAACAACCTGGGTCAAGAAGAATCACATGAGACACTTGATGACGCATGGCTGTGGCTCAAAAAGATGTACCCAGAATGGCCCCTAGATAAACGGAAACAAAGACCAAACCCCGCGGCTTGCCCTAGCCCCTAGCGCTTAAATGTTGAGCCACACCCACATGGGTCTTATGAACAATTGTGCGCACCTCGGCCGCGGTCCTCTGATGGTCTGGCGGATACGCGGCGACCTGCGCCGCCCAGTCTTCGGCATCATACCTCCAGCCCGCAAACGTCTGCCTGGGTCGACCCGCCAAGCGGATGCTGAGCTTTGCACGGCCGGTATCTGGAGACCAGGTGAGGGGCAGGACAATCAGAGACCACCTGAGTCGCTCAATCTCAGCCAATCCCCCGCAACTGCTGCTCCTATTGTGGACAAAATCTGTTCGCACCACTTTGAAGCCATGGTTGAAACCATTGTTGGCTAGGGTTTCTTGCGTGGTACGAAATGGATTTCGCAACCATCCACAGTATCGCGCGGACGAAAAGAAGCGTTCCAGCTGAGCCAGCCGGCTAGAGCTACCGGCAGATTCGGGGTCTGAATCTGTCTGGTTTCCTTGGCTAGCACGGCTTGCAGATTGGCCCAGCCATCATGCGACAGCCTTGCATCAGTGCCGCCGTGACAGCATCATCTAACCATGCTAGAACTAAAAGCCGATGGATGCACCGCATGAACAAATGGCTCAAACCAACCCCAATGACTGCCAATACGTAGTCAGAGACTGAGACTGTCGCCGTTGGCTGCTCAGAATGAGGTCGTTTTGTCATTTTGGCGTTTCGTTCCTACGCGGGCCACTTGTCTTGGCTCCATTTGACTGGGCAGCATAGTTTTCAAGGGCCGAAAAAGGCATCCTAGGTCATCGAGTAGACAGGTTAGCGTACGGGTGCCCTTTTTTTTGTGTAGTCTGTTTTAGTACGGGAACCCTCCCAAAAACGCCAAAAAAGGGGTGAAAGGGCACCAATTGCTGGGGGACCTAGCATCAGTTTGGAAGCTTCGCCCGGCGGCATGGCCTCAAACAGGACACCCCTGTCAGCTTCCATGTTGGTAGGGTACATGGGGTGACGGTTGCTTGAAAAGCCACGAAGACTAGATGTCAACCACATGGGAGAAAAGCTGCCCCGATTATCAAAACTGGGGGCCAAAGGGAGTATTGATCAACCCCCGAATCTGAAAGACGTTTTAGCCGGATGTCAATAATCTTGAGCAACTCGTAGGCAACGACGGCTCCCATGCCTGCCAATTCAAAACTTGGAATTCGGCAGGGAAGTGCCACTTGGCACGCGGACAGCTTCTGGCATTTTTGGGCTGCAGGGCTCTGCTGCAGCCAAAATTGTTCGCATAATACATACAAATACATACAAATACATACAAATGCATACAAACACATACAAATACATACAAACACTTGCAAATGCATACAAATACATATCTATATATACATACAAATGGCAAACCCTGCAGTCCGTCCAGCGCCTTGGCCAAACCAGACGGTACTCACCCCATCTCCAAAGGCGAGCACCTCGGAGCAAGATCCCGGGAGCTCAATTTGGAGCAAGGCATGTGGGCGTGGGTCAAAAATAGGGTAGCCCCAAAATAGAAGCCTGGTAAATGGAAGCAAGGTTGGAATCTGTGGTCTTCTGGTGGTTCAATTTTGACCCATACCCATGTGACCTCAAGCGTGGGCCTTGTCCAGCACTTGCTCGATCATCACCTTGAAATCCGTCCAGCCCAGCCAACAGACCTGGCGCGCGGCTGAAGCACTGAGCAGCGCTGTCGCTTCCACGGCGTCGTTGAATGCTTGCAACATGCCCGGGCACGACCGAGAGATCAACCTGGTCTTCGGGTTCCAAATAGCTCCACAACTCCTCAGCTCGAAGCGATAATCCAGTATTTGCACAGATTGTTTTGACAAGTTCCAAGTCCACCATGTTTGCAAACGAGCTGCTACGTCAAAGGACCGGTCCGTCCCGAACTCAGGCGCAAAAAGAAGAACACGATGTTCAGGAGGAAAAATGGGAGGCACATGAACCTGAGTCACGACCTTAGTGCTCAGGCTGTCACCAAAATGCCCACATCTAGAATGATTTTTCTGCTGCTCTCTTGGCAAGACACCTCGTGCTTCATCGACTTGCTCAGGCAGCATGCGCGTTTTGTAAAAACCTATGTTTTTCACTAAAACCAAAAACACATTGCTTTTCATTAAAACAAAAAAAAACACAAGCCAAACCATTTGTGCCCAGCCTTTTGGCCAGGGACCTGCCGAGAAACCCACCGGCCACCGCAGCCTTTGACCCTTTCCCTCCGGCCTCGCAGCTCATCTCTCGCCGCACGGCCCTGGCTGCGATCCACGGAAGGGCGGAAAAGTCCCCCAGTTCTGTAGACCAAATGTTTGGTGAGACCCCTATTGTGGATGGTTGCGAAATCCCTTTTGGCACCACGAACTGAAACCATGGTTGAAACCATTGATGGTTGGCACAGGGAAACCATCATTCTAGGGTTTCTTAGGCGCGAAATGGATTTCGTATCCACAGTAGCAGCCCCGACGAAATACGAGGAGCTTCAAAGGCCGACAAAATAATGACGAGGGCGCTTGGAATCATGGGGGAAAGAGGGTGCAGTCCCAGGGTGTAGCTCAACTTGTCTCAGAATCATGGAAGACAGGAGGGCGAGGAACCTAAGCGGAAAAAAAGAAAAAAGAACACTCTCAGAAGATGACAGGAGCGGGAGGAGATTGGAGCCTAAGCGGAGAAAAAAGAAGAAGAAAAAAAAACACTCCCATTAGGGCCGGTGGTAGGTCCTAGCTCGAAGGTGTGGAATTCCAAACATGAGCAAAAGACAACCCGGGCTTTGGAAGGCTCCTTTCTTTTGGGGGGAAGCCCCTCTCCACTGCCATCATTGTTGGCTCCCGAGGATTTCCACGTTTCAGAAACGCTCCCTGTCCTTGAAGGCTGCCGCGCACCGCCAACCCATTCTCCCTCAGCTTGGATCATGCGAGCGGTAGCTTCGCCTGAGCGGCATAAAGCCACGAGAACTCATGCCAGCTCGGAGTCAAGCAACAGATTGGATCTCTCGAATGATCGAGGGGGCATAGGTGTCCTTTTGGCAAAATAGCCAGGGCCCTGGTAGATGATTGAACCACCAGGTAAACCAGGAATCGCCCTCTATTTTTCAACCCAACCAACCAAAAAGGACACCTATGCGAAGGTCCTTGAAATGAATTCTCCGACTCCAAGTTTGGCTGTCTCCGGCTCTCAAGACATGCACTCGCTTGCCCAATTCAGCTTGCTGGCGGAATGGATATGGGAAAGCCTGCCAACGGCGATTCACACGTATGGGGCCAGTCAAGTGTGCACGTACCATGGTGCTCCAGGTGTTTCCATGTGCCTTGTCCCTATTTGATGCCCACGGGCGCGAACGACAAAGACGGCCAAGAGCGTACCTGTCAAAAGACAATCTCCGGAGATCTGACCTAACTTTCAAGCATGCAGCAAACTTTCATACGACTCAGAACCATGTGTGTCCTTTTGGGGAAATAGATGGCCCTGGTAGATGATCAAACCACCAGGTAAACCAGGAATCGCCCTCTACTTCTCTAGCAAAACAACCAAAAAGGACACCTATGCTCAGAGCGCTGCGGTGTTACTGCAAACGCCAGGGGCACCATTCCCTTTCGTTCTCGTCGAGCCATCGGTCTGCAGTGAAGCGATCTTTACACCATTGCCTTTGCAGGTGCCACAGGCTGGGCACACGTAGAAGTCCACACAGGCTGAGGTCATATGGCGCAACACTTTCACAGCTGTGCGCTATTTCACTCCAATAAACATGGAACCTGAGAGGGGTGCTGGTTCGCACCATTTTCCTGTAGGGACCAAAAGGTCCCCAACGTCCTCCATGTGTTACTTGGTGGGGTCATATTGCGCAAGCCGCTCGCCTCATGCGGTCCGACGTCTCTTGAACGCATTTCTCGCGCCTCGGGGGCTTGCAGCAAGTCCAAACGTCCAAACCCACCGGCACCGTGCTGCTGAGCCAGCGGCTGGATCAAGGCCTTGATGGCTAAGACTTCCGGCGCGCCTCCCGAGACTGCCAAGGAATGCCAACCCCGGATTAGTCTGGGTGAATTACCATATTTCACCAACCTGAAATAAGGCGATTGGGGAGCCATTCCCCACATAAACCTAAACCACCATTTGGGGTGAGGTTGTGTGAGGTCGTTACAATTATAATTATTCAGATTAATAGACCCCTGGTGGATTTTGATTGGGGGGTGTCCAATTCCTTTTAGTGGTTGGATTCCGTCCACTTTTGGAGGGAACACCCCCCAAAAAGTGTTTTCATCCTGGGTCGACATTAAACAGGCAGCCAGCCGCTGCCGCTGCGTCTCAAGCCGCCAAACATGCCGCTTTCGCCTCCGTGCTCCCCGTCTGCCATCTTTCGCCTTCCGGGCGGTGGGCTTGAGCTTCACAGCGGCGGGCGGCGGGCTTCTGGCGTTCCGCACTCGGAGCCCGGAAAGAGGGGTGCCAAGGTACATACCCCTCTTTCATACCCCTTGGGCAAATAAACCCCTGAGAGGCCTGCTAATGTTCCTACCCCTCTCCCCAAAAGGGTATATTCCCCTTAAAAAAAGGGGGTTGGAACCACGGAAGCCAAGGGGTATGAACAAGGGGTATGTAATTCCACCCTTAAACACATTGAAACAGGGACACATGCAGTCACCCATGAACGCGTGAAAGGTGCAGGGTGCACGGATTCGGTCCTTCAGTGGAAACTTCCAATTCTCTTTGGCCCATCCAGAGGAGGGGTTCACCGAGAAAAACGATGATCCCAGCTGCCCGAAAAGCAAGGCATCGCAGACGTAGACCTTGGCTTGTCTTGCAATTTGCCGCCTGCGACCTCCAATTAAAAACAAATTTCCCTCAAACGAAAAGGCTCCCATGTCCGACCCGACCACTGAGCCGGCCGCCAGGAGCACACCATCCACCACCAACCGCAGCCAAGGCAAGGGGTTGAAGCCCTGACCGCGACGTTCAGTCAGCAGCACCCCCCAGCTCGCCGCACGCTCGCGCGCGCTCGTCGCTCAGCGCCCCGGGCCTTGTAGAGATCCTGCCGAAAAGTTGCCCCCCCCCCCCCCGAAAAATAACGCCCAAGCTGCCGTCCATTTTTGCGAATTTCCCGTCCAAAGGGAAAAGTGAGAAAATATGTCCAGTGATGAATTCCCTTTAAACCAAGAGAGGGAAACAAAAAGTCGCACTCTGCCGTCCATTTGGTGAATGTCAACTGTGCCCCTGCAAAAAAAAGAGGAAAATCATGTCCAGCAGTGATAAAATTCCCGTAAACCAATCGGAGGAAACAAACACATGACATATTCTCCATGTGCGAACTTCAAACGTCCCCCTGCAAAAAATGGAGAAAATAATGAGCAGCAGTGATAGGTTCCCGTTAAACCAAGAGGGGGCAAGCCAAAAACATGTTCTGAAAGCACCTGGAAGTCTGTGCCTGGAGGAACTTGATCTGAAACAGCCAATTGTCAGGATTGGCGTGCGAATGTACCTCCATTCGGAAAAAGTATTGGTGGCTGATCTCGGTGGCTTTTCGCCAATCCTCACCCGCCGCAAGGATTGGGCCCCGACGTGCAACTCATAGGGGATGAGCTGCAAATAGATCATGAGGCATAGGCTTGCGAGCATGACCTCCAAGTGACGCGTCGCTGCGCATGGACAAGATCCTGCTTGGAAACCATGGTTGAAACCATTGTTTGTTATCTACAGGGGAGCCATCATTGTAGGGGTGAACCGGATTTCGTCCATCCACAGTATGTTGCTGCACAGACCAGAAAGGAAACTGAAAATCAGATACTGGGTGCTCCCGGCGCACATGCTCCCGAAAGAGATCATCTCAGACTGATCAACTGCATCTGAGACCTAGGTCTCAACACCCGACGCGCAAAAAGTGATCTCGAAATGACTCAAGTCAGTGAATTGGCTGTGGGTCAACACCCTGTACCCGGTGAACATCAAAATAGTTGGTACATGAGTGTTCACCCATGGCCCAATTGCATGCCCACCCTGAGCTCCTTTCCAATACGCCGGCCACTGACCAGCGGTTCGTGACGTGCAGGCCTGTCGGCTCTGAAACCAAGGAATGATCCTACCTCGCTGCGCCAACAAAAGCAGGCAGATGTTGCGGCGTGCGAAATTGAAGCTCCCACTGAAAAATCAAACATCTGAAAATCCTGCATACCCCGCTTGGCGCCAGCCTCCCCCCCCCTTAGTGGAGTAGCAACCTCTCAAGACTCTAAAGCACAACCCTGAAACCCCGAAACCCTGAAACCTGAAACCTCAAGAGCCTTGAAACCCCAAAGACCGCAAACCCTGAAACTCTAAAGCCCTGAAACCCTAAACTCCTAAGTCTTGCTTTGAATTGTGCGTTCGTCTTCACCTTCACTTTCGCACACTTTCCCCAGCTCAATTTGCGTACCTGAAAATCCGGTTGACCTTGCCGTCTCAAGCCTTAACCCAAGCCCTAGAACCCCCTATCCGAATGCTTCGTCTGCGCTCGGTGTTCGCTGCCAGGTCAGCCCGAAGGAAGCGTTTTAATTAACTGTTACAGATGCTTGTCTTCATGCTCGATTTCGGCCAAAGCAAGGAGAATCTGTTGGACCTTCAACTTGCTGATAGTGAGAATCTGGCACGGCTCTATCACTTTGAAAGAAACACACATAACGACTTCTGCGAGTCTAGGTCAACTCAACTTGCTGGCGCTCGGTACAGAATGAGAATTGGAACGACCCCAAGAAAACCATCCATATAGGGAATCCCCGGATCCGTCCCAACACCCGGAAACTCGGAAAGTCCTTCCCTATCGCACCAACTCACCCTCGACTTCTCAGAACCCCGGCATGGCTCCAACTCAGCCAAGGATGCCGGGACCTTTCGTCGAAGGCGCGAGGCGAAGGCGGCACCCCTAGTTTCTGGCTTTGAAGGGAAATGAAAAGGAAAACCGCAACGCGAAGCCAACGGTCTGAATGCAGAGAGGGCGGCCCAAAGCGCGACTCCTGCAAGTTGAAAGGCCGCAGCCCAGGCGACCTTTGGGCCAACGTGGTGGCTGATAGCTTGCCCCTGCACGCTAGAAAACAGGCCCGCGAATTGTCAAAAGTGTACAGGTGAGGCCTAAACCAAATGCTAAAATCAGAGAAGAAGTGCCGTTTTGGATCCCAGCCATTACCGGTGGTCCCAGTATGTCCCAGTTCAAGGTAGGTTTAGGATAAGGGGGGTAGGAGTCAAGTTTGGGTTTGGAGCTGGTTGGGTCTGGGGAAAAAGAGTGATGGTTCTGCAAGACCGCAGCGTTGCGCGGCTCGGTCCGCGAGTGGATCCGAGCCAGAGGGCCGCAGTGCAAGACACCATTACTTGGGTGCTCGGCCATGCTAGTAAATAGTTAGTAACCGTGGTTTTAACCTACTTACCAAGTTAGCAAGTGATTTTCTCCCTCTCTCTCTCTCTCTCCAGCATCCTCGAGCAGGGCCGGCTTTAACCTAGTTACAACCAGCCCAACTCACTCATAAGGTTATCCGCCAGGTGGCCGACCACTTACTAACTTGGCGAATCGAATATCCAAGCAGGCATGATGCAAAACAGCGTGACGATCCGGATTCTCGGAAAAACCGAGGACCTGTCTAGCACGCGTCTAGAAGGGCAATCATCAAGGCATGGAGTCCCTTCGCTTGCGACAGGGCAGGAAGCCGCAGGAAGCCGGTATGTCAAGGGGGTCCTTGTCACATGGGGGTTGGTCAAAAGGTCCGGTAAACATGGGATGACCATTAGATTGAAAACCACTAAAGAATCATGTTTCCCACATGGAAAAGTTACCCATGGTCATTTGGGGGCCGAAGGGAATATTGATCAACCCCCACATAGCGTAACGATGTGGAACGGGTAAACAGGCCTTGATACGTCCGCAGCTCCAACTGTCCAGCACGCGAGCCGCGCGCAGAAACAACATACGCTTCCGCAGCTCTAGTCCGAAAGTCGCAACCCTTCAGCACAAGCCAGGTGACGGCAGAAAGGCATCGCCAGACCCGGGCTAGGGTTGGGTACGTAACGGATCGCAACGAGGCTACGCAACGGGGTGTGTAACGAGGTATAGCACCTAATTCTTGCAAGCCCTGCATGCCACCTGTTGCGGGCAAGCTCTCGCTTTGACTCTGCACAAGTATTTCCCTGCGAAAGATGCACCGCAGGGACATCTAGCCAGCCAAAGGGGGTGTGTAACGAGCCGATAGCAAACCGCGTGGTCTCGCTATATACGAAACAGGGTACGCCCTGGCTCTGTCACATATCCCTTAAAGAAACCCATTGCCAGCTCACAACCACAACTGTTCTCAGAGAGTGGCCCGCCAAAGGTTCTCTTGTCCAATGTTGTACCTGAGATTCATCTTGGCAAACCATGCAGCACCAGCTCCCAGCTGCGCGGCCCTTATTCGGGTAAATGCAGACATGAGGACGGTGCCAGCCAAGTTTGCCGTTCATCAAGGTCGTCACCATTTCGCCTCGAAAAACTCAAAACCAAATGGCTCAGTTTCCGCAGCTGAGCGCCCCACATGTATCACACCCGAAGTCCTGACACGAGCACAGTTTTGGTTGGTTGCCTCTGCTCGTTTTCCATGGCCACCATGTTCTTGCAACTGCTCACCATGCTCTTGAGTTTGAGGGGGCGAAAGTGTGAGGATGAGGCGAAAAAGACTCATGATGTCCCTGTGCGTGCCGTACCTTCCCTCTGCTGTTTTACAGTGCCTACGGTCACAGCGCAACCCCACCATGAACTCCACGCCGCAAAATCAGCAGCAGCATCTTCTGCTTCTGTCTGCATGGGCAGGCAGCAAGCAACTGCCAGTCCTCTATGCGCTTGAGGTCACTCGCAGTCACCACCTGGGCCCAAAAAAAAACACGCGAGTTCTTTCGAGGGTGCTAGCTAGTTCCTAGAATAAGGGAACCTTTTCTTTCTGCAGTCTACTTTAGAAGGGGAACCCTCCCCCCAAAAAAGAAACCCCGTAACAGGGCACCAATTGCTGGGGCACCTAGAAATGGCATGCCTGGGGAAGCTCGTATTCCAACATCGGGAGCGTCTCGCCCACGGAGTGGCCTTAGACAGGAGCCCTTCTCTTGCGGCTTCAAGCGAGGCTGGGGAGTGCGACTGGGCATGTGTGAAGGCGGCCTCTCAAGCGCTGACTGCCTCAGAGTTCGCCCAACCGAAAACCTGCCGGTCACGTTACATTGGATCAACCAATTTTAGATGTACTGCACCTAAAATGTGCCCAGGCACTTTGCCGCATCTGCTTTCGCACGCAATTCGTTGGCCTTGGGTGCAGGAGAAATAAAATTGTGCCGACAGCTGCGTCGCTCTCACCACTCAAAAACTGATCGTATAGGTCCATTTATGAACCCATGACCATTGTGGACCCCAAAGGGGGCTGATTTCCCAGAATTGAGCCATAACACTCAACTCGACCCACGAGGGTTCCTAGCAGGGCTTCATACGTGGGCGTATACGTTCAGCCCTCACCCCAGGTCACCGACAATGATGTCCGCCTCTTGCTTCAGCTTTAGCACCTGCCAGGTCTTCTGCCTCACCTCGCCACCTGCCCCGTAAACCAAGCAGGCCTCCCGATTCCAAATCCAGGGTCTGGAAATGCCTGTGCTCGGTGTCCCAAGCTCGCAGTCATGTGGCTGTGGTTGTCAAAACCGTTTTGGGATCCCATTTTGGGTGGTAGGTGCACCACCCATTCTAGAACCTATTTTCGTGGCCATGTTAGCGTACGGGGTTTTGACCCATGGCCATGTTGGCGTCATGTCACGGAAGGCATGGTCAGCACACGTCCTGGAGTGAGACATGAAAGACAATGCTGGGCAGTAGGCGTTTCTCCCAAGGCTTTTGATTGAACTCAGCTCAGTTGAACAAAGGACCCTGACACAAAAGGCGAACCTTTTGGATCTGTGACTAAAAATAGACCAGAAGAAAAAAACAAAACGTCTAAAGGTCGATTCGCTTTGAGAAACTGTGTGAGCCACATAAGCCGTCAAGCACAGACAGGCTAGGTCTCTGACGAAGGAGCGATACCTCACAGCCAAAAACAAGACGTGAAGCGAAGCAACTCTTTTTTGCTGTCGCGACCCCCTGCAAAAAGTTGAAAAACTTGTCGTGGGTCCAATTCAGAAAATTCGAGCTGCTTCCCCATGTTTCCCAAAAAAGCTCAAGGTCAAAGATCCAACCAAATAGCCGTAAAGTTGAAGTCAACCTTGCCAATCACAACTTGGGATATGATTTTCCGCGGGGCTGGCAACAAGCAGCCAATGAGAACTTGTTTTTGGCGTGGAGCAGACGCGAACTCAAGCGTGTGCAGGTCGCATGCAACCAGGTGCTTGTGCTGTGCACAGCTGGTCAGGGGGACCGCTGCCCCCCCCCCCGTCTTGCCGCCAACCGTTCTTACTCAAGGAGCCTAGGCCTAGCCCTAGTTGTAGTTTGACAAGGCTCAGAAATCTGCAAAGCGCGGCTAAGGCGGGTTGCCAGCCAGGTTTTGGATTGCGACTCAGCGAAGTCACAATATGTCAGAATACTCGAGGCTGCTGTGCCAGAGTGCATTGCGCGAAAACAGCCACGCCACATGCGTTTCAGCATCTGTTCTGCGCGTTCACATAACAAAATGCAGCCATACAAACATCCAGGAAGGAGTTCGCCACGGCAAAACAGGCCAACCAGAGTCAGAACATACAAAAACGACCGCTTGAGCCGCACCATGGCTCGAGTCATGGATCCTTACCCCGAGTCACTCCAAGGGCCACGCCCAGCTGAAAAGGCCTTTTGCCGGATAGTCTTGCACCGATCGCAGCTTGAAAAGCTCACCTCAGAAGCATCCAGCGGGAAAAATGACGCCTGGCCCCGCGCTCAAGTTGCCCCCCGTTTTTCAAGCGCCGGCAGGCGACGGCTTTTTGTTTCTCAGCATTTTGCTCTGACAGGTTCATCAGAATAGGGCCGGAACTGAAGACGTGAAATTGGCACTGTGCAATGCCAGTCTTGTTCCAACCTGCTATGTACACTGGAAGGCCACAGGGCATTCACAGAAATTGCGTGCGAGTCGCTTGGCACGGCTCTCCGGCTCACCGAAATGTAAGTTGTCAGTCTAAGACAACAAGGGGCGCAACGCAGAATCGGACGGCACCCTGACGGCGGCGTCCCATCACCTTGCCGGCTCCCGACCGCGGAGGTCGCGGCAGGCGTGCTGAGACGGAAAGGACAACTTCCACGTCGTCCTGGATGCAATGACTTCCAAAGGGTTTTGTGGTTTCATTTTTTTGGGTGCCAAACGCAAATCGACATTTGGTACTCAAGCGGCTCTCAGGCGCTTGTCCTCCACGACTTCGTCATCCTCTGCACCCTCCTCCTCTTCCTCCTCCTTCTCGCCCTCCTGCTTTGGAACCCCAAGAAATGCAAACCATGGTGCAGCATGGATGCCAACAGTGGAATTGATCTGAAAACACTGGTGTGGGCGGCAAAAAAAGTCTAAGACCGGGCGCAAAGCATTGCCAAATCCCTGGCTTCCTCTGCTTCCTCCGGTTCCTCTTCTTCCTTTTCTCCTTCTTCTCCTGCTTCCTCAGCCTCTTCTTGTTCTACAGCTTCTCCAACTTCCTCATCTTCCTCGTCCTCCGCCTCCTGGGGCTCTTCATCTTCCACGCCTTCTGTGTCAGCTTCGCCATCAGCCTGCAACCAAATCAACCAACATCCCACTTGACCAGCCACCAATGCGCCTGACTTTTGCTCTCCGATCGCTTCGCCTTCGCTCGAGCACATTTCTCTCGCCTGCCATCGTCGCCGAAACATCCACGAAGCAATGCCAACGAGCAAACAGATTGGCCTCCTGCGCACCCGGCGCTGGGAGCCTCGGTTGCTGTGGTCTTTGGGAAAATGGGCAAAATCCCATGGCTGCGCCAAGCATCGGGACCGCTTCCGCCGCTTCGGCTCTTGCCTGTGCAGGGCTGTCGGAAATGAATCCCCTTATGTGATACAATCCCATCACGAAGCCCCCATATAAAGGGGGAGATTCCAACTTGTATCACAGAAGCCGGGACAAACCCCATCCCACAACCCTGTGCCTGTGCGTCTTTCGTCTCTTGGCTTTGAGTTTTCTTGATTCCTTCACGCTGGAACTGCGTGCTTTGTGTGCTTCAGCTTCTCCTTCTGACCTTCTCTTCCGGGACCGTCTCCCCGCACGCGAGCGCGAAAGCTTCCTCGTCTTGCTCTTGCCGCGGGGCCTCAAGAAGCAGCGCCCGCCAAGTTGTTCATCGGGGAATGAGACATGGAATGAACCCAGGCTGTCCCCTAGGAAACCACCAGCGTGTTTCTTTAGAGGGGTCATCCCATTCCTCATGCCCATCGCCTCTCTCGCCGCAAGTTGGTGGCGCCCGCCTCTTCGGCAAACTCTCCGAGCTGGGCTCTCGCTGCCGCTTCGGGGAGCCCGCCCTACCTCAAGATCGACGCCCCCAAAAAAGAGTCGAAAACACGGACCCCACAGCGCGATCTGAAAAAAAGTGGTGCAAGCCCGGGCCTGAAGCAAAAAGATGGGACTACAAAATGGGAAAAAGATGGAAACCAAAGATGGAAAATGTAAAACAAATTCCAATGGGAACAAAAGATGGACAGAAACACCACAAGCACTTGCCGAATAAACACTCAGGGCCCCTAAAGGACCTCACGCATACAGGTCGTCACTGATCTGTGGCGCCCATGGGCCTTGACGGCATGACCCTGGAGGTGGCAATGCAAAAGTCGGTGCAGTGGATACGCATTCAAAGAATACATTCAAAGCATAAAAGCACGTTCCTGGCTGGTTGCTTGAATGGTGGGATTGGAACAGAGATGCCAACAAAGACCAGACCAGACATTTTGCCATGTTCAAGTGTTGGATACACAAAATAGCAGCCAAAAAAACTCATGCCCGTGAATTCGGCCAGGCACTGGGAGATCTCTGAACCTTGTCGTGTCTCCAAACGCTTGGGGATCTGGCTCTCGTCTCCAAGCTTCGAAAGGGCAGATTGACCGGCGGTGTCTTCGGCGCATCCTTCGAAAGCGTCGAAGCCGTCGAAACCGTCTCGCGCCCTTCTCGTACCGAGTCGAGTGCGCTTCGTCGCTTCACTTCAGCCGCACGCGTCTGACCGTCAATGAAGGCGTGCAGCAGGTGCCGTGATGTGCCCAGCGCCCGCACACTAGCAGCAGAGGGCAGCAGGTCCAGGAAGAAGACCAATGCCGACTTTCCAAGCTGAAAACAGCAGTACTGCCTTGTGACATCTTCCGGGCTGCTTCCAACGCCAAGAAGCTTCGACACCTTGGATTGAGGTGCAGCTCTGCGCTCACGCAGAAGCGCGTTGCTCACGGCTGCATGGCTGGAAGCAGCTGTCAGAGTCACTTCCCCATGGATCGGCTGCAGTAGATAGGAATCCGGAGCTGCAAACACCAACGCTGCGTGCTCCGTTTTGATGGAGCTGTGAGTTCCATCTGCGACGTGAGCATGTCGCAGGCTCGAACCAAAGACGATGCATGGCAGCTCTATTGCGAAGCCCTGCTGCTCCAAATCTCCGTCAAAGACCCTCAACCGCACAGTGCCATCTGGGCGCACAGGCGCCTCCGCTTCCGCGTCCCCCCCGTCCATGCCAGCAAGCAGCGACCGAGGAAGTCTGGATGACCAAGGCAGCTTCGGACGAAGCACGTGATCAGGGCCCAAACGGAAAGCCACACGGAAATCGGGCTGATCTAGATGTTCAGGGACCTCCACCCCTGTACGAATGTGCCCATCTGGAGCAGAGCCTGCGGCACCAGCAAAGCCGCCAGCTAAAACGGTAGCAGTACCTTCAGCATCCTTAGGTTGAGCCACCTTATCTGCAACATGGTCGGTGTTGGTAGCACTTTCGGTGTTGCAATTGTCTGTGCCGGCAGCTCCATGTGCGTCACCACCTGCAACACCTGTGGCTGCCTCTGTCTCTGCAGCGCTGCCCACATCGCAGGGCAATTTGCTCGGCGATGTCTTTCCTGTCTTCTCGCTGATGCCGACTTCCTGCCTCAGCGTGTGTGTCTCGAAATAGCGGACTCCCATTACCTGGTTTTGCTTTGGCTTTCCTTCAAGACTACCACCAAAAGCGTACCCCCCGAAAAAGACACACCCATTGGCAGCCCCAGGAAAAGAACTGAGCAAGCCACCCATCCAAAGACCCCTGCGCGGTCCGCACCGTCGCCGTGTGCCCCAGCGCCTGCACTATTTGGGGAGTTGATCATCCCAGCGATCTTTAGCCCTCATCATCTCAGGTTGCCCGGCCTCACTGCCCTCACTTGATGCCTTGATGTGAACCTGCTACACCAAAACTGTGCGCGTAACACGCTGGGCAAGGTAACGAACAAATTTATGTGCGCAGAACGCGCTGGGCTGGCTGTCCCGCCTTCCACCAAGCGCTACTCTTCCAAACTCCTCTGGGCTCATCCAGCGATGCAGCGGGAGGCTCTGAGGCCTACGCTCGCACACAAAGCGACAGCCATGAGTCGCTGTGCAAGTGAAGTGCCTTCGCAACCTATCTTGCTGGTGCGATGGGCGGGGACTGAGAATTGGAATGACTCCCGAGAAAACCATCCAACGGGTGGTGTCCTAGGGATCCCCTGTGTTTTATATATAATATATATATATATATATAATTCGTATTATTCTGATTGTTTCATGAAACCCCTGGGTGAATTCAACCACATTCCCCTGCCTCTCGCAGCAAGCCATCTGTCTGGTCGCCAGGAAGGTCAGATGCGCCCTGCGGCTTGTCAACGGGATTTGTGCCTTGCTCTCCTGACGGGCGGGCGTCTCAATGTCGGACTCACAGCACTCACACCGGAAGGACCGAATCCGTCCTTCCCAAATGCCCGTCAGTGGGACTTGCTCAACATCTCCACAAGCACCACCCTTAAGCTCCAAAAAATCAGCATCAATCAGCTACCACATCATGCTGCATGGCACTGAGCGAACAAATCAAGGTCCGCACAGATTGCTCCAGGCCGCTCGAGATCGGCTCAAGTTGGATCTCAGAGGTCACATCCGAGTTTGTCAGCGCAGGTCCGCAAGCCTTGCGAGCAGGGAGCTTTCCGATGCCAACCCTCCAATCATTCAAGAAACTTCCATTTGCTTAAGCTCCCTGGACAAAAATGAAAATATGTCCAGTAGTGATAGATTCCCTTTAAAACCAAGAGGGAAACAAAAACTTAAGCAAATGGAAGGAAAGGCCTGGCTGGCAACTTCATTCCCCTTCGGCCCCTTTGGCACGGCAAGGTCGGGGTTTTGCTGGCGCCCCCTCCTCGGCGAAAAACCGAAATCGGCTCACAGCTTTGCCCCGAATTCAGCCCCGAGGTCTCCACAGCTTCGCGAGCACACGCGCCACGGAGCCGTGCGCCTTGAAAAAGTCGACCTGCGCGGTTCCGGCCCGACTGTGGATGGAAAAGCGAAATCCTCTTAGGCGCCACGAAATGCAGCCAGGGTTGAAACCAAGTATTTGTTGGTAACGTTGGGGAACCAAATCATTCCAGGGCTTCTTAGGCGGTGCGACATGGCCATGGGTCAAAATCCCGTGAACATCCCAATCCCCACTAAACAGCTTCTAAAATGGGTGGTGCACCTACCCCAAAATGGGATCCCAAAACGGTTTTGACCCACAGCCAAATGGATTTCGTCCATCCACAGTATGGTTCACAGCTGCATACCACGCCTTTGGCACAGCACTCGGCACAGCAGCGCTCCTCCACCAGCCCGCGTTCACAGCTCTCAGCCCTCTGAACGGCCAAGCCTTGACTCGGCAGCTGCATCCTCGCCGTGGCACACAGGTGGAAAAACAAGCTTGCTGGTGCTTTACGGAGAATGACAACCAGTCCCGGGTTTGGGAACGAACCGGAACCGGTTGGATTCCCGAAAAACGGAAACAGTATCGGGGATGGTTTATAAGTTAAGGGTCATTCCAATTCTCATCCCCTGCCCATCGAACCAAGAAAGGCATTGCCCAAGCCTGCGATGCCGATGCCTGCGATGCGAAGCTCGCTGCGCTTTCGCTTTGGCCTCCGAGAGAGCTTGGCAAACCTCTCCCAAAGCCTCGTTGGCCATCAGTTTGCATTCTGCGCTTATGGATTTCACCCTGTTGTTCGTTCTTCAGTGATCTTTCAGTACTCCTTTAATGTCCTACAGGTTGGTGGATCCCCAGATTCGCCACATCCAAGCCGTTTTCAAGAGAAGAGCCTCGCACCGAAACCTGGGCCTGAGCCCGGCTGATGGACTTGTGCCGGAGCCGGGGGCCTCTGCTCCTTCAGCGTCTGAGCGGCGCCTCAACCCAACCCCAGACGCAAGGAAGCCAACCCCGGACGCAAGGTCCCCCCCCCCTACCTGAAAAATGAAATCAAGATTGAAATTTCAGGGGGGTACCCCCCCCCCCCAGAAAATTTCAGGGGCAAAGGGGTAGTGAGGAAGCCAGCAACCCCACGCAGAGAGAATGGACATCCCGGCCTGGCTGAAACACATTCAGGCGTTTCACATCTCGGGCTTTGCCTTCGCCTCCACGAGGGGTTCATTATTTTCAAACGAAAGAGAAGAAGAAGAAGAAGAAAACACAACGGCCATGGCGTGCGTCGCCCGCCTGTGACGAAGGTGGTTTTGCCCTTGAAAGGACGGCCCTTGCCCTTCCAATTCCAATCCTTTGGGCAGATTGGGTCTGGCTTGACGTTGGCCAACTCGGCTTGCAGGTACATCCACAAGGTTTGTCGCTGCTCCTCATCGATGGATGGTTGCCAGGCATTGATCTGCTCAAGTCGCTGCAGCGTCTCTTGCAGGGCCAAGCGGAGCTCTCCAAATCGCGAGTCTCTGTGCTCTTCCGACCCCTCTCCGCTGGGCTCGCTTTGCTGCAAGGCCTCCTGCTTTTGCAGCTCCATCTCCAGCTCCAGTTGCTGAAGCACTTGCTGCTCCACCTGGCTCTGCTGGGAGACCTGAGCTTGCTCAAAACCGATTCGGTATTAAAATGGTAATCCCACAACCATGCTTCAAGAATTAAGGCGGAGATCCGCAGCTATGGCAAGGGGAGTGCCCCTTACCCTCCAATTCACCGGGCTTTGAGCCTGTGGCTCATTTCTAGCTGCCAATCCTTAGATCTTTCCTCCAGCTATAGAGGGCAAGGGGGTTGTCCCTTACTAACCTTCATTTGGCCATGGGTCAAAACCCCGGTTCTCCCCCCAACCACAAAAATAGGTCCTACAATGAGTGGTGAATTAACCTATCCCAAAATTGCACCGTTGGTTTCGAACCATGGCCATATGGCTATGCGCCCTCCATTTTAAAGCAAACCAAGCAAAAAGAAAAGGACACCCATGCCTAGTAAATCAATCCCCGGGTTCATCAATCTGATTCGGCTTTGAGCACGCTCACCTGCAGCTCCTGCCGCAGCCTCTCCTCCAGCTCTCGGAAGCGCACGTGGTTGTGATGCCCCTGCGCGCTGAGCTGCTCGAGCTCTTGGAGCAGCTGCAGCCCTGAGGTCCTGCGGCCCTCAGGCGCGCGCTGCTGCAGAAGACTCGCGAGCTCCTGCTGTAGTTGGCGCTTCTGGCTCTCAAACTCCTGCTGCTGACTCTCAAAGCTGCGCTGATCCAAGGATGACAGCGTCGGATAAGGAGGCTTAGAGACGGAGTCCTCGGGCGTGCCCCTGCGCCTCAACAAGTGCTCCGGCGGCGGCTCTGCGGGCGGCTGCGGGCGCTTGGCGACGCGTGGCACTTCCGCCACCGTGTCGAGCAACTGTCGCACGAGCTGCCGCACAGCTTCCAACACCTGCGACTCCGAGGACTCTAACACCACCTGCGTCGGACCTTCAGCATCCCCATAGAGCAGCTTCCACAAAGCAGCAAGGCCTTCCAGCTGCCTCTGCCGCTGTTGCCGCGCCCACTGGTGGATTGAAGCCAACGTTGGTCCAACGGAGACTTGAACCTGGCACTGGCCCAGCACATGCTTGAGCACAGACGCCAGCTGTGAGTGCCACTGCTGGAGCGCCTCCATGTGCTGCATGCACAAACTCGTCTCTTCCAAGAGCCTCTGCCGGGTGCTGTCCTGAACCTGTCTGCATCCGTGCCAGGAAGGCTTCTGCGCGCGCCCCATGACATGGTGACTTCTGCCAATCAACTAAAGGATGCTCAACGTCAGTATGCCATGAGACCTAAGCTTAGCCAGGCAAAGCTCTGGGCTTGTATGTCGCCAACATGTCACGTCTTGTGCTTCAGTCCAATGTGTGCAGTGCAGTGGCCTGACGCGAGCGTGCTCAACCTGCCCTGTCTGAGCTAGGCAGCTTCAGATTTGCCCCAAGCAAACACTGGCATGCCTTGCGCACCCGCAGCTCTCGCCACGCCGTGAGGCACGAGCCAATGCCAAAGAGCACGGCGCCGCACATGAAGAGCCTCGCATCTTGCAGATGCCCCAAGTTCCCAGCACAGCACGCGGGCGTGAGGCCCTCGCGCCAGGTTGCGCATCCCAAAGAATTCGGCGGCAACCCTGGCTGGAGCAAACATGCCATGTCGCATGCGACATAAACGCGACGCATGCGCATGCAACTCAAAATCCCAAAAAGCATGCCGCAAAGACAGGACCACATCCTCCTGAGGCCTTGATTGAAAACATGATGGCTTCTGTCTGAGGTTTGAGGACTGAGCACCTGGCACTGCGAGGCACCTGACACGGACGGAACATCGCTTCAGCAAGGCGAAGGTGTGTCCGTTTCCCTCGCATCTCACCTGCTGAGGTCTACATCCTCATTGTCCAACAAGCCCGCTCTCCTGAGGTCTGCAAGGAGAGCACATGCCCGAAACAAGACCCCGCCCGGCTCTAGGCATCCCACGCCAGAACCACTGCACCTTCTTGAATCTGATCGCCAGACAATGACACCAATACCTGCCGGCAAAATATGTAGTCGCGCTTCCAGAGCTTTCAGAGACCTGGTGCTTAGCGATCGAAACAACTCAGACCTAACTTGTGACCTAACAAACTTGCAATCTATGCTGAGCTGACATCGCTGTCGCTCATGTGCTTGCTGAAGCCGAGCAGGAGCAGCCTGGCAACCGCCCCATCTAAACGCCGCAGCGTTTGACTCCCGGAGCTGAGACTGATGCACACCGCACAGGAAGGAGCCCAGCAGTCCGTGCCATACCTGACCCATCCAAGCGAATCAAATTTGAAGAAGGCCCTGCGCGGGGATCAAATCCGAGCATCTGGCCGCACACACCCTTTCCAGGCAGCCAAAGACACCTGCGAAGTCCGCGGATTCGCCAAGAGCTCCGAAAAGAAAACCCCGCCGGCCTTCACGCTCGGATTCTGGGACAGCTCCGGTAATCCTGCTACCAACAAGGGTCAGCTTTGCGGCTGATTTGCCAACCGAGGCTTGAGCGTTCGTGGTATGGCATGCCTACAAGGCTGCTCAACCGGGGACTGCGCAAAGCAAATGTCATCACTTGGGCGCATCTTCATTCTTCTGTGACGACGGGCGAACTGAGCTCTCAGCTTCCCCTCCTGCCAAGGACCAAGTCACGCCAATGCCCCCAGAGAGGGCAGGAAAACCCACAAGCCTGGAAGCCACCATGTGCCTTTTTTTCTGCTTCTTGCTCCGTATGTTCCTCTGTCCCACAGCCCAAGGAGTACTTGCCCACAATACATACAATGAACGAAAGCCGAGCAAGCACAGTTTCTGTACAAGGCTGCCCGCTGCTGTTCGCGCACACATCATGGTGATGCTGTCCGGCTTCATAAGTCCAATCTGATTGCTAACTGAGACGGGGGCATGGATTCTAGTTGGGGACCCTGGTGGAATTTCATGTCCACCAACCAGGGTATATAACCACTTTTGAGGTGATTCCCTATCAAGACTCATTGCCAAGTCAGCAAACGTTGGACATGTTGCAGACACGAAAACGAGGTGGCACGCCTGCTGACCAAGGATGCTATATCATGCATAAAATGCATAAATAGGTCACAGGCGTGACGGGTTGCGAGCCAAGCGGGACCAAGCACCGTGATGCCGGCCATAACGCCACTGATTGGCTCTGATCGTCCTCTCACTGCCGCTCCAGCCCGTTGAAGTCATCCCATTCACCCTGCGACACGGGTCTGCCGCTGGCAAATGGCTAACATGACTAATTTACGACCAGCGCAAGCTTCACTGACCAATGCTCCGCCTTCAAAATGAGCAGTGCATATGTGCAAACTTGTCTCCAGAAAGGAGGAAAGACTTAAATCTTCGCTGGAACAATGGCATGTAATTGCAAGTTGCAAAGTAGCTCTGAGATGAGTCATTGTCAATAGCATGCCACTGTATCAAGCAGCTCTGTGCTCTCCAGCAAAAAACAACGAACGAAAACGCGAGTCGTTCTTAAATGTTACGACATTGATAGCATTCATGCCACTCCTCAACTGTTCAAAAGGGGGCGGCCAGAATGCTTTCTGCTTGACCGGAGATGGAATCTAGACACCTCTTGTTGCGCCAAAACCGGAATGCTTCACAAGCCTTTGGGGGCGGCACCTATGTGAACATGTGCTTGTCCTGTTCTCTGGCCAGCGAATACACATAATCGAGTCTCTGCGGATGCTGAGGAGCAATCTTGGCAGCATCTCATGGAAGAGACCGAGAGACTCTCAGAGCCAATGCCACCACCCTCCGGGTGAAGTTACCCATCTTTCCAAGGCAACGGGATGATATGATCTCCACCCGACTGGTCCAAACATGATGACAGCTGGCTCTTGGCCCGCCTCTTGGAAAGTGCTGCCACTGCCACCTTGACTGAACTATTGCCTTTACAAAGTGATGCCACTGAATGATTTGGCAGTGAGTGAATCCAACAGGCACTACACGGATGTTTGATCGCAAGTGCCAACAAGGATCTCAAAAGGGTCCTCGCTGGTGCTGTACCGTAAGTTGATGCCTATGCCTTGATTTGCCGAGACGTGGATAAGGCCACGGGCCACGCTTCCGAGACAGTCACGCGTCGGGGGCGGGCTTGCTGCGAAAGCCGCCTGCTACGTCGCGGAACCTGCGGCAAGCCTCCGGCGTCATTCCCAGCTTTGCATTGATATCATCCCAGAGCCCGCCGATCTCCTCTCGGCCCAGTGGATTTCCATGAGACAAAAAGTCGGCCTCCTTTTTGTTAGTTTCAAGGAACCGGAGCCCTTCCCCAAGAAAAGGAGAAGAAGAAGAAGGGAAAAAAGGGGGCGTCCAGCAAAAGAAAGAGTTGAGAAACAAGGGCGCCACCTAAAACAGAAAAACAGGTAGAAGGGGAAAAAAAGGGGGCTTCCCAAAAAGCGTGGGTAACAAGGGCCATCGCCCTCCACTGGTTGCAAGGAACTGAAAATCTCCTCGTCGTCCAGGAACATGGTGCAGTGCCTCACCATCTCCAGCACCCCGGAGCGCGAGGGCTGGAAGCCGAAGGAGGGCAGAATGCCTCGGTGAAAGCGCTCTCCCCAAACTGCTTGAACTTCTGGTGGTAACAAGTGGAAAACAAGTGGAAAACCAGCGGTTTAGTTTAGTGGCTAGCTTTTGGTGGTTTAGTCCGGTTTAGTCCGGTTTAGTCCGGTTTAGTCCGGTTTAGTGAGTTGGCAAGAAGTTGAAGTCCTAACATCCCTTGAAATGCAACAAGGATGCGGCGCTGCACCGAGAAGGCGAGCTCCGCTCGCCCGGCGAGGTGGAAATGGCCGTCCACGTTGGCCTTGCCGCAACGAGCGACCGACCCCTCTGCATAAGGGTTGAATTCGGGCAAAAACAATCTGCTGAAAAAAGTTGTGTACTCTGTGGGTGTAATTCATGGAAAACCACGACCCCTCTACATAAAGCTTAGCCTTTTTGTGGGTTTAATTCATGGAAAACCAACCTGCTTCAAAAGAGTTGTTCACTGTTTGTGGGTTTAATCCATGGAAAACCACGACCCCTCTGCATAAAGGTTCATCGTTTTGTGGGTTGAATTCATGGAGGAAAAAAACAATCTGCTGGGAAAAAAGAAAGTCGTGAACTGTTTGTGGGTTTAATTCATGGAAAAACCAATGGCTTGATGTCAACCAAAAAGTGAAAGTCTCAAGATCCGCTACCCAATAGCAGTAGAGTGGCGTGGTCCGAGTCGGCCTTCTTCTTGAGTCGGTCGATTGCATGCTGGAAGCTCGGAGTACCTAGCCATTGGCTCAACCCGACAGTCAGTGAGTAGTTCTCACTGGGGCATTTTGTCGCACGCTCATAGCGCCCTAGGTGCCTGTTGGAAAATCGAAAGGCTGTGCTTGTGAGTGCACAACTGTTATGTCAGATCGTGTTGTGTTTCTTTTCCGCGGCTTCCGGGCGACTTTCGATACATGGGTATGAGCCAAAATGAAACCACCAGGAATTGGAACGCAGGTTTTAGTCCGTGGTTCCATTTACCAGGGCAAGCCATTCTGGGGTTACCAAATGTAAGAAACCCACAGCCACATCTACGGTAGACCCCTTCAACAGGGATCCGGATGCATCACCTGAACATTGCCTTGTAAATGGTGGTGTCCCTTTATTTTGGCGGAAAAAGTGGGCATGTATCTTTTAAAGAGCCCTGTTCAAGGGCCCATTGAGGGGGCTAAATCTGCCCAAGCAGCCAAAGGCGGCCAGCTGTTTGCGCAGCAATCTGGCGACCTAGGAACTAGGCTGGAATTAGGACCCTGGCAAAACTTATCTTTTTTGCCTGGTTAGTGGAAAACAAAGGGAACCTTTGTAAGAAGAAAAAAATGAAAAAGGGGAGCTAATTCTGGCGACCTAGGAAGTGCGAAGTCCAAACCGAAGCAAACGCAGGTTTTCTGCAGTCCATTCTGCTGAGCGGCGGTGAATTTGGTGTTTGGCTTGTTGCCAATGTGTCCGACTGCCTCTCAGGTTGAAACGCTGGAAAAAAGCATGCAAGCGCTGAAAAAAGCTCGAAAGGCGACCCCAGGCCTTCTTCGCCAGAAGACTCCCTTGTGCGTAGGTCAGGAGAGCTTCTTCAATGGCGAAGGCATTCACGAACACATCTGGGTCCTTATCCCAAGTCATGTTGCTCGACAAAAAGGCGCCAGGGGCAAGTGATTGAACATGAGGCGAGGGGAATATCAAGCCAAAATACAATCAAGTCTACAAATACGTTGGCTGGGCGCGTATCCTTCTTTGCGCCCCGAGCAACAGATCCTTTCCGACACTAAGCCGCCGGTCCAGTGTGTAGACGAGCAGTTTCCGCCATCCAGTCAAAAGCCGAAGCTCAAGCCTACTTTCTTCCACTTTCTTGCTTCACCGGTGACATGTGCCGCCACATTTCTTTTTGACGCCCAGTCCCCAGACCCCGGGAGCTCTCAAAATCTGGGCGCGGCTTGCTGGGCTAACGCTTGCGCTTCGCGATCGCGCCAGCTGTCCCCAGGAGCCCGAGACCCCGAACAAGCTCGCTCAAAATGGCGCGGCACGCAGTAGCAACTGCACCAGGCGTTTGGAGCCAAACGCAACTTCCACGTGCCATTCTCTTCATCACCGCCCCGCCTAAAACACAACCATCCAAAAGTGCCTAATACGCAACCCCCTAGTTAGCGAGGGAGTGTGTTGGGTGCGCATGGTAGGTTTCAAATATCGTCGCGTTGTGAACTTCCCTGGCAGCATGGTCTTCATAAGTTCGGGCATGGGTGCAAACCGAGCAGCGTCTCGCAACTTGTCCAATGCAGACAGCGCATCCTGGATAAAGCCACCCTCACCAACTAACATGGAACCTGACACTCGGGACCCCCCCCCCACCTTGCACGTCAGGTTCCATGTTGATTGGCGGCAGGGTAAGTGGAAGAAAACCATCGAGCTGCGCAACCCTAGCAGTCCTCTACGCCCTGCTTGGAAGCATCAAAGCCATACCTGCCGCGCGCAAACGTGGTTGACCAGGGTTTATATGTCCCCTTAAAACCTCACACCCTCCCCACAAGGGAAACTCACCTTTCATGGGCCAAAAAGGTGAAGTTAAAACCGGCAAAAAGTGGAAATATAGGGACCCGTGTTGAAAGCTGCCTATCGGCTTTGGTGGCACTTGGGAGCCGCTCAAATGCCGCTGTTTTCGGGTGAGCCGGTGACCCTTGCTGAGATCGGGATTCTCGGGTCTTGGGTTTTTGCGGACACGGGTGGGTCTAACTGAAAGGTTGTCTTTGGGTCGGTTTGGGTTGGCTAGCTGTGCGGCTGGTTTGGCAGCGGCTTTAGGGTATGTGGTTGCGCGAGTTTTGGCCTAGTTTTTGAACTCTCAAATGCCACCAAACCAAAGCATCCAAAGCCAATAGGCAGTCCTAGGTCCTGCTGGGGATGCGGCCGCCCAACCAACCAACCAACGACCATCCAGCCAGCTAGCCAACCAACCAAACAACCAACCAACCAAACCTGACCGAGGTTGCCCTGGCCGGGGCCAGTCTTAAAAAAAAAACGGTTCCCGCAACCGTCGCAAAACAAAAGCGAAATCCTGCGTGAGAGACGACAACTGAAAGAGCGAATGTGAAAATATCCTTGTGTGTGTGTGTGCGCGCATGCGTGCATGCGGGCGGAATGGCAGGGGCAATGGCGCAAGCTCTTGGTGCTCATGTGCTTGTTTGCGCGCGCACGTGACCCTGTAGCACTGCAGGCGCGCGGAGCCTGTGCGTCTGAACATTCAAGCTGCAATTAGACTGAAAGAAAGATGTCCTTGTGCTTCAAAATGGCAGAGTAACGCGTGTGAAGTGTTGGGACATAGGACGTCGTCTGTGCTCATGGCGGAAAGTCTTGAAAATTGCTTGAAAACAACAGGTATGGACGCATATGGGTGTGGCTTTATAAATATAAAAAAGCGTCCAAATGCTTGCCCTGGTAGATGGAAAAGTAGACTGAAACCTGCGTAGCCCCAGCTGTCTAATTTTGAGCCACGACCATATGTTGCTTGCAGAACACTGACAAGTTCAAAGTCAAGCGGGAAGTAGCAAAGCATGAGGGCACGTGAATGTCAGTATAGTATATGTGTGTGATTGCGTGTGTGTGATTGCGTGTGTGTGTGTGTGTGTGTGTGTGTGTGTGTGTGTGTGTGTGTGTGTGTGTGTGTGTGTGTGTGTGTGTGTGTGTGTGTGTGTGTGTGTGTGTGTGTGTGTGTGTGTGTGTGTGTGTGTGTGTGTGTGTGTGTGTGTGTGTGTGTGCGTTTTTCCGAATGCGGCCAGGCCTTGCAATAGTCTCCATCTGCTCTTCGTTCATCAAGTGACGCAAAGCATCCTGAGGGCAATGCCAGGGCAATGGGTGAGAGTGAGCGCACCAAACTGGAAAAGTAGCAACAAAACAGTTGACACATGCCAAGTATAGCCCGGATCCTCACTGCCCATCCCAGTCTCATCCGCCAGTTGCTTCCGTGACAACTCACAAAGCTTTTTCTGGAAACTGGGAGCAGAGAAGCTTGCCAGCAACTCCGTTTGCAGCGCCAGGGCCCTCGTTTTCGACAGGCTCACCACACGGGGCACTTCTGCCTTGGTGGCTGGGAGCTCCGCGGCGGCTTCCGTCTCTGGCCAGGACTTGAGTCCCAGAAGCCCGGCAATCTTCTCCACGCCGCTGCGGCATTCGGGGAAACTCTTCAGGATCAAAGACAGCGGGGAGATGAGGCGCTCCATGCCATCTCCGGTCACGAAGCCGTATTGGGCCAGGATGTCGTTGTGGAACTTCTCAGCCCAGGCCCATCGCGCCGGAAGCTCATCGGTACCCTCGCCTTTGCCCAAGATCTCTTGCAACTTGGCCTGGAAGGACTTGGCGGAGTAAATGCTCTGCAACTCCCGGACCATCGCCTTGGCTCGTGCCTTCGACATCCGAACCTCAGGCTCGCTGTTTGCGAAGGCTGCCATTGTGAGACACTAGACACTGGCCGAAATGGGCGGCCCCCTTTACCTTCTTGAACCACACAGCTTCAGCCTGGGATGAAGTTGGACAGCGGATGAATACACCCCTGTTTGTTAATATGGGGGGTGTTCCCCTCCAAAAGTCATAAATCCCCACAAAAACCAGGGACACCCCCATATTAGTAAACAGGGGTTTATTAATCCGGGGTCAACATTAAGTTGGACAACGCTGCATTGTTTTTCTTTCGGGCATCTCCTGGCCCCCTACAGCCACCAAAACCACGACAGCGTCGTGAGGTTTTCTTGTGGCCTGCTGCACAAAGTCTTGCGAAGCGGTTCGTCCAAAGGCGGGGACGAAGATCTGCGGCAATGCCTCATGGCCGAAAATGAGGCACGTGCACGCACGCCGCATATTGGCTGTATCGACCAAAACCGTGTCAGCTGTACCATGTTCATACCTGTTTCAGTTTACCAGGATCTGCCTGCGCAAAGCACCCATTCAGCTGAAAGGATGCCAAGCTTTCTGAGTGGAGGGGCCTTGTGCTGAGGGGCATTCGTGCGATCCTGGAAGCCAACGCTTGCAACGGTTGAGGATGCACTCTGTAGTCCAAACGGCTGACATTTGACCAGCGTGAGGAACAGCAGCAGCACGCTGAGCCCGCGCTGTCGGTTTTTTGACTGCTCACTACCAAGCCCAAAAGCGCGGCAAATACAGGAGCGCTGCTGAAAATGTGCACCGCTGGAGTTCGGCTTTCAAAGTTGGTTTGAGAACCTGAGTAACGTTTGGGGAGGGGGGGGGCACGCGTTCGACAGCCACGCATCGGTATTGATGATTGTCCATGATTCCTGGACTGGCCATGATGGCGGTCACAATTCTGCCACCGACTCTCAATCTTTGCCAAAGTGGGGAGAGAAAGAGACAACAAGAGAGAGAGAGAGAGAGAGAAAGAGGAAAACAACTTAGAAATATATATATATATGTGTGTGGGGGGGGTATTCGTGCGTTGCGTTCTGTGGCTCAGCCGACACCTTTACTGATTTCCATGATTCCCGCTTCGGAAGTTGAGGGTGTCTGTCTGTCTGTGCGCGCCGTGCGCTTGTGTCGCGGGCGTGTGTATGTGAGTGTGGTTGTCTGTGTGCGCGCACGTATGCGCGCATGCATGAAGTGTCTGTGTGTTTGTGGAGGTGTGCCTGTGAAACGAAACTGCTTGCTGATGTATTTCCTATCTTGCTATTGTTATTCTCTCGCTCTTGCTGCTTTCCCCCCCCCCCCCACCACCACTTGACATGGAACCTGACGTTCGGGACCCGGTCCCTTTACATGGAAAATCGTCTAAACCAGCTCCCACCCTGTCAGCGTCCATGTTTCTTGGTGGCAAGGCCTTCACAACCCCGGGTGGGGGGGGAGAAATCCCTTCTCTCGCCCTTTTAAGGGTTTTTACACCCCCCCGACCTCAGCTTCCATGTGCAAAAAGGGCAGGGAGGCGATAAGTCCTCCTCAGCCCAACCGAGGCCGCGGCCCCAAAAGGTCCGCGGCTCATGTCTACGGAGCACAGCTTGAAGGCCACCACCTAAGCCAAGAGTGTTTTTCACAGGTGAGTGCACATGGCTGCTCAAAAAGATGTACCCAAAATGGCCTCTAGGTTGGAAACAAAAACCAAACCCTGCGCTTGGCCCTAGCTCGTAAATTTTGAGCCACACCCACATGGGTCACAATCAAAACCCGGTAATAAATGTTTCACAGCGGAGATCCCCGGATTTCGATTTGGAGCCAGGCGTGTGAGTCACTTGCTCAAAACCGATTCGGTACCTGGAGTCTCCATGACCCTTAAAAAATGGTTGGTCATTACCCAAAATTAAGGGGTCATGGATCCATGTGTTTAAGGGTCATGGAGACTCTAGGTGTTAAAATGGTCGAGAACCATGCTTCGAGAATTAAGAAGGCGGAGATCCGCAAATATTTCTCGCTGGGACTGGCCCTTACTAACATTCATCTACCCGGGCTTTGATTGTGGCCCAGGTTGCCCGTGCCGGTGCGATAGGGAATGAGAACTGGAAAGCCGAGCCGCCCATGCTTAGAAGCTTAGGGTTGTGGGATCACTCGGGATTTATCCAACCACCGTGATATTTGTCAAGATCCTCCTTTTTTTTCCTGGCAGTCTTTGGGGTTGGGCCCTTTTCTTGCTTGTGCTCAGTGAGTGAGAACTGGAATGACCCCAAACCATCCAACTGCAACTCTGGTGGCTTCCTTTAAGGGAATCCCCAAACAGTTCATTCAACCACGTTACCTATCGCACAGTAATGTTAACCCCAGATGTTCATCAACCCCGTGCTTCTCCCCGGGTGAAATGTGGTCGGAATCAGACCATTTTTGGAGGGGTCCCGCCTATTAAATGCACTGGGGTATGGGGTCAACATTACCCATATCTCCACAAAGCTCCGGTGCTCGGGGAATCAAGCACTTTTTGGGGAGAATGAACTCAGCTACTCAACAAAGATTTTTGGGGGGAATGAGCCAATGCCCGAAGCCAAAGGCTGAGGGAATCAACAGGGGTCTTGGGGAAATGAACCCATGCCCTAAGCCCCAAGGCGGGTTGGTCACTTTTTGTCTCAAGGGATCGGATGGCTCTGTCTATCTATCTATCAATCTATCTATCTATCTATCTATCTATATCTATCTATCCATCCATCCATGTATCTATCTGTCTCTGTATTTGTTTACCTATCTATCTATCTAACTATCTATCTATCTATCGACTTTCTATCTATCCATGTATTAATCTTTCTATGGATGCTTGGTCATTTAAATTTCGATCCGAGGGCGGCTCAATCGCCAGTGCACACCAAAGGGCCAGCCTGCCGACTTCTCTCAACTCTTTGCGCCAAATGGACCGATGTTCCCCCCCCAGAGGCCTCGGATAAGGAAGCACTTCCTGGGCAAGATGGCAGCAAAATGCATCGTGTTGGGTCCAATTGTCCAAGAAACCATCAAACCAGGTAATTCTGCTGGTTATTCTCCAAGTTAGCCCAATACCAACACAAGAACCAGCTGTTTGGGTGACCTTCCTGGGGAATTTCCTGGTCTGATGGTTCCTCCTACACAGACCAATCAACGCCGAGCTTCGCATCTCGGATCATCAGACTGAAAGCACCTAAACCCGCAGCACGGATTTGCACGCGAAGCTCCCGCGCTAAGCATTGAGGTGTCCGCGAGGAAGACATCTCACCCGCCATTCTGAGACCTCAGGCTCCGTGTCTCATGTGACGCTTGGATTTGTGTAGCAAAAACCTACTTGACTTGCTCGTGCGATAGGTAGGGGATGAGCTTGCTAGTGACTGCTAGTGCGATAGGTAGGGGAGGACCAAGGGTTTGGGAAGGAACCTGGGATTCCCTTAAAGGAAACCACCAGTTGGATGGTTTATAAGAGTCATTCCCCGCCTATCACACCAGCAAGTTGAAGGGGCGCTCGATTCGGCACGTGGTGGTTAGTAAGCCTGGTGCAACAACCCTTACAACCATGGCTTAAGTGCAACCCACATCTTGCCACCCTCCCTCCAACAATCATGGAAGCTCACAGGGAGGTTTTGGAAGACTACTTTCCTCAAAAAAACAAAAGTCCACTTCCATTGTTGGAAAGCGGGGCACCACTTACCCGACGTACCGAATCGATGGATCGATCGCCCCTCAAGGCCGCGGCGCTCAAGCAAAGGCAGCGCCATCAACCTTCCGCGGCCATACGCCCGATGCCCGCACATCCGAGGTGGAGATACCGCGAGGAAAACAAAACAAAAAAAAGCGCTGGGCCCCCCGCATGAGTATCACCAGGGCAAATGACAGCCCGCCGGCCTTTATTGCTGAGATGTCCTGAGATGGGAAAAACGCTTCGCATCCCATGCGGGAGAGGGAGAAACACGATGCCCGTGGGAAAAGGGGCCGATGACATGCGGATATAACTGAAACCTGAAACCAGTGCTTCAAGGGAAATTGCAGCCTCTCTGAAACCACGCAAAAGCTGGGCCAACTGCCATTGCTCTTGCGTGACGTTCTGTTCTCCAGGCCTCATCGAGCCGCGACACCACCGGAGGGCTCATGTATGTTTTTGTTTTGTCTTTTTCAGTCAGGTTTCTTCAACAACTAGGTCCTCCGGTAGAGAGGTTCGCTTAGAATAAGGGTACCTTTGTTTTTCCTGTAGTCTATTTTATTAGTAGGGGAACCCTCCCCCAGAAAAGGGGTGAGAAGGCACCTAGCTGGGGGACCTAGACAAAAAGGCAAGAGCTTCACTCACTTGCCCGAAGGACCAGGAACTAAAAGGTTAACTTATTGGGGCCAGGGCGAAAAAAGGTTGCCAGAAAGGAAAACCCAAAAGGTCATTTCAGGTCGACTCGCTTTGAACCACTGGGTATTCAACTAAGATATTCCAAGGATGCCAGGTGTCATGCGAAATGAAGTCACGTCTCGCGTCGAATTAGTTCGCTAGGGCATCCACTGCTTCGTTCCCCTCCTTCTCCAATCGGTCGATCACCTGGTTTTATAAGGCTCCAACGCTCGTTCCAACGAGGGCATTCGAGGCCAGCCTCTTTGACCGTCTCGCGGTCTTCGAAGGGCATCTGGAAAGGCATGAAGCTGTCATACCATCTCCTCGCACATGCCACCTTCAAGAAAAGAAAAAACATCCAGCCGACTTCTACGGCAATGGCCAGCTCAAGACACAACCAAAGCTGCAGTTGAACTAACAAAACAAAGTACGAATCAACCGTAGTTCATGCAAGGACTCAAGATGCATATTGAACATCCTGAAACTTCCTCGCATTGGGAGGGGGCTCCTTTCTTGATCTTCTGGCAAGAAACTGAGAAGTTGATTCCCTGCGCATGAAGATAATCCAACGTCCCGCTCCGCGGAAAGCTCAGGACTTGAGTTCTGTCAAGTCCACTGGCTCCATTCAGTGCGCCCAAGCAAATTGGTCACCGCTACACGAGCCGACAATCAAGAAAACGTGTGGAAAACACGTGCAGTAGAATCAGTCCGTCTTTAACTTTGGCCGAAAAGACGGTGCAAAGGAAGTGAAGCACGCTTGATTGCATCTGCCAGATGTATTCCTCTGCCCACCTTTGCACAATCCTTGTTGAAGAAACCCGGTTGCAATGCATGTGTCCCATCGCCTGTGGCTTTGTTGGAATTCACCCTCGTTGAGTGGGCTTTCGCTTCGCCCCTTGCTGGTATCTGGCCCAGGGCTTTGTATCAGCGTGGCTTTTGCGTGACTGCACTTATTTCATGCAGAAGTCTTCGCGATTGGCTCCGATTTCTTGAAGTTGGGAGAGTTTCCTTCTCCTTCACAAGGTTCCTGGCACATGTTCTCCAGGGGTTTGGCTCCGGTTTGCCTTTGAGTGCCCCTCTCCGCTGTACGATTCGTACGTTGTGGAATTCTAGCTTGTAGTTCTGCCCTGAATTTCTCGAATGCGGCAATTGCCACCGTCGCTCTCCTTGGATAGCGTTCGCCCAAACCAGATTGCTCCCCACCTGGCAGCCGCAACTCATCAAACATCTGCCGCGAGCTGCGCCGATTGCAAACATCACGCATGCGCTGATTGCAAAAGCGTGCGCCGTGGCCTTTCGAGCTTTCTTTTTGCTTGCCTCACAGAAAGGCGAATATTTGAAGATCTGCATCTCCCAGGCCATTGTACACATGTCCTTGAGAACCGCGCGAGCGCGCATCAAGTGAGAACTGACCACCGTTTCCTGGCCAAGGCTCGTGAGGAAACTCGCAAAACAATCCCCAAGCGCAAGACATATGCGCAAGTGTTCACTAAGAGTAGGGCTCTCTGCTTTTGCACCTCAGACAAAAACGATTTGTTGTTTTTTTCCCCGGCGCTGGTTCCAGTGCCGGGCGCGCCAGTGCCAGGCACCGCCCATGACAGGCCGAAAAAGCAAAGCCAAAGCCAAAGCCAGCCACCAAAAGCCGCAGAAATAAACCGGAAGCCGAAGAGCCATACGCCGAGAAGCCGAAAAGCCAGGAAGCCAGGAAGCCAAGAAGGAAGAGGAAAGAACCTCCAAAACCAAAAGCTGGCCAAGCCGCAAGGGCGGGAGCAGCTCCTTCCGTCTTGCTCTCACGCAGGCCGTGCCTTCGACTCGTGAGTCGAGAGAGCTGAGTGCCGACCATGCTGTGGATGGTTGCGAATCCATTTCGCACCACTTGGAAACCATGGTTGAAACCATTGATGGTTGGAATTTACAGGGGGATCAACATAAACAGGGTTTCTCAGGTGGTGCAGGGTTTCGTCCATGCACAGTGTGTCTCAATCGGCAAGACGAACGTCGCTAGGGCCCCAGCACAATTTCTTCGTGCTTGGCCTTGGCGTGAGGTTGTGAAGTCTTTTTGACTCACACGACTGAGCACGAGCAGCTGACGACGGATTGGAAGAGGTCGCCGTGGGCGTCTGGCCTCAGGGGAGATCTTTAAATCATGGGGGCTGGGGGGGCAGGGGAGGGAAAGGCCTTATTTTTGGGGTTCCTCCCCCTCCCCTCCCCCCATGATTAAAACAGCGAGCATTCCACGTGCAGTTGCTATCACGAAGCTTAGGCGTGGGCCGCATCACCTGGGTCAAAGTCCCTCTCTCTGAGCTACCGCGACGTGATTCTTGTTGGGTTCGGCGCTGGTGCACATCCCGTCTTGTAGCTTTTGCTCTTCTTGGACTCTGATGCCTGGCGAGCAAGCCTTCCAATCCAGACGAAAACCATGACTGTCCGTGTTCAGATCCCCTAAACGTGAATATAACTTTCAGTGGCTTACATTCGGAAACCCCACCACCAATCCAACTAGAAACCTCTAAAAGGCTGGGCCGGTACGCCACCAAGATGATCGGATGCTGCCCCCCCCCCCCCCCCCTTATACGAGGGACATTTAAGGTCCATTTTGCAACCTTCTTCAGTTAGTTCTTTTTTTGGGGGGTTGAGCCTGCAAAATAGAGTCGCAGTGTCCATCTTCCCCCCACCCCCATCTTCCCTCAAAAAACTGGGCTGCCCTCAGATCCCCCGCTAAACGTTTCACTTTTGGTGGGTCAAATGGAAACTACCACCAAACACTAAAAAGCTAAAAGGCGCAGGGGATGGCTGGGAGCCACCAAGTAAAGTGCCCATCTTCCCCCCCCCCCGCCCATTTTCTCCCTGAAGAAAGTGGGGCCAGGGTGGCACTGGTCGTGCTGGTGAACATGGTCAAGCTGCCCTCCGCCATGACGAGAGGCTCCGCGTTTGGAAACCTCAGCATCGGGCGGTGGGTGGCCCCAAAGGGCCGCAAAATGCCCGGGGAAGCTTCCGGGTGGTTGCTTCCCAAAAAAAGATACAAGCAAAGGGACGGAGCCTCGAAAACAAAGACTCATGCAAGGTGGTTGCCCCCAAAAAAGAAACCACATAAAGGGGACCGAGCTTCTAACAAAAAGACTCCCGCGATGAAAGTGCTTGCAGTACAGCACAATGGAAGCTCACTGCTGACCGAGGGGCCCTCGAAAGACTACTCGCTTCGCAGCTTTGCCGCTAAAGCCAAATGAGCCAGAGTTGGCTGAGGCCAGCTAAGGTGACACGCAGTCAACCATCAAAGTGCTAAACCTGCAAACATTGACTGCTGAGAAGTACTCCTCACGTGCCTGATCAGAGTGAAAGGCAGACGAGCGCTTAGGCCGTCTTTCCTACATGCTTCAATGCGGTTGGGCGATTTTGGACGCACCTTGGCGGATCCAGGAGAAACGCCTTAAACGCCTGGCTGGCAGGCGGCTGATGCGAATATTAAAATGTATCCATAAGGAGTCATCACCGGACTGTCTAGTCACTAGTCAGAAGGTGCCACAAAGCCGCGCTGCTTCAGAATGGTTTCGGCCACGGCGATGTCCTCAGGAGTGGTGACCTTGATATTCGTGTACTCACCCTCCGTCAGCTTCACCTTCTCACCCAGCAGCTCCACCAGCGACACGTCGTCGGTGACTTCCAGCCCCTCCTTCTCCGCATGTTCGAAGCCTTTGCGCAGCAAGTCCGCACGGATGACCTGCGGCGTGTGCGCCTCCCACAAGAGCTTCCGCTTGGGCGTCGCGGCAACAAAGGAGTCTTTGGGGCCCGTGGCTTGCTTGATGGTCGCCTTGGTTCGGACGGCCAACAAGGCAGCATCATGCTCCCGGGCATCCTCGACGACCTTCTCAAACTCTTCCTTTGTGAGCAATGGTCGGGCTGCATCATGAATCGCCGCAATGGGGGTTGTGAGCTCCGCTAAACCGTTTCGCACAGAGTCTTGGCGCTCATTGCCACCGTTCGTGAATTTGACCTCACAGTCTGCCGAGCGTTTTGCCAAGTGGTCCTTGAAAACATATTGCCACTCATCGGCACATACGACCACAATCTCTGCCGCACTGCTGTCCAGGAAGGTGTCGAAGGAGTGAAGCGCGATTTCCAAGCCCATGAGCTTGATGTACTGCTTGGGAATGCTGGCACCCATTCTTTTGCCCACACCCGCTGACAACAACACGACTCCGACATCACCCCCGCTGGCACATGCCGTCCTCCCCTGTGCTCTGGCTCTTTGGCTCCGTGCGGCAAACGCAGCAGCCGCGCCCGCCAAAGCCATGGGCACGGCAAAGCCGTGGGCAAGTCCAGGCGCGCGGCCGCGCGGGGACGCCGAGGTCGGTTGGACCATCCTTGTCGGTCGTATGTCCCGCACAGGCTGCCCAACCTCGGTTGCTTTCTGCCCCTGCTAAAAGCTTAACTTTTAGTGGTTTAATAGAAAACCCATTAGTTGGCTAAAAGTTACAGTCCTAACATCCAAGCAAAATGCAGCAAAGCAGCGGCAATGAAGTTCAGCCTCTTCTCACTCTCCCATGGGACATGCAACACGACAGCAGAACACACCAGAATGGGTAGCAAGCGAAAGGCCGCTGGCTTCTCCATCACGAGTAGCAGGCTGGAACTTGGGGGCTGCAGCGGCTGCCGTGAAGGTTAACGCTCTGACAAAACAAGCCACCCGCAACCCTGGACTCATAAATGTTCAAACATGTATCCCAGTCCCGGCTTTGACGGTTGTAGACACTGTATAATTTCATTTGCGCTTGCCACTGCATGTCAGGCTGTACTGTTCGGTTTTATACACATGCTGCGCATGGCCTTCCGTACGTTTTCCCGGGGACCTTCCCGCCACTTCCGCATCAGAGCCTTCTGCAACCCGAGGACCTTCCACACATCTTCCTGCCCCTCATCGAAGCCTGCGTTCAAGGGTGCTCGCCACTCGGGCAACCCAGCGGCCGACACGCGGTCGGCGCGGGAAGGCGGTGAAGCAACATGCAGGGGAGCAAGGGACGAAGAGCCCAAGCGCGGGAGAGAGCAATAGCGTCGTTTGCAGCAGCCTCAATGGCTGCTGCCCTTCTTAGCACCTTTGTCCGCCACACCTGACTCACTTGCAGTCCTTCTCCCTGGACAGGGTTTTTTTTTGGGGGGGGGGCTGATAAGCAACCACGCAGCCTGCTCTTTCCTGACGGGGGTTGTGTGGGGCGCGGGGGCATGATAAGCACACCCGCTCAACTGAGGCCACACAGCCTGCTCTTTTACCAGCGGTGAAAACACTCTACCAAAAAAACAATCGCACTGCCTTCCTTGCTTTGTTTGGTGATCTTTCTTCCGTGAAGATTAGGTGAACCACGGGATGACCTTGGCCACAGGTGCATGCTAAGCACACCCGCTCTGGATTCTGTGTGGCGTACCACGGCAAGTTCCGACATGCACTGGGTACTGCTGCCCGGGGACGGCACTAGGATCATGGTCGGAACTGTGGTACGTGATCCACACAAACGAATTGGTCAAGCGTTCAAAACAACAACCCGCTTCATTGTGCCAGGAATCCCTGCGGAATTCCAACACTCACTACATTTCACAAGCACAGGCGACAAAGTGCTGTAGAACACTTGCGAAAGACTTGCAGAAATTGCAACTCACTCACTTGCGACATAAGTGCACAACCAACGCCACAACTAGGGTCACTAAACCCGTACCCTCCAGTCATAAGCGACAAAAAAGAGCGTCACACGCGAAAAACAACTAGAGTCACAAGCGAGGTGCCGCCCCTGGTCCCGCTTCCCATGTCCAGGCCCTTCCCGCTTACCCATAGCTGGATGTCTGTTCTTTTGTTGTTGGCAGGAGTTCGCCTCCTACACACATTGCCGACGCGGTTTAAAGCCGGACACCTCGCTCTACCTCCGCGTGCTGGCTGACGGCGGCGCCTCCCGTCAAAGGCCCTGCTTTCTATCCTAGCGTGCAGCACTCAACACACTCCTCCACCCGGTGCGGTCTTCCCTACCTGGCGCCACTAGGTATGCGCTGTGTGCGCCGGGTACGAGCCAGGCGGGCGGCAGGTACGGGCCGGGCACGCGCCGGCGCATGCTTGGTGCACTCCGTGCGTGCACGGTGCACTCGGCGCGCAGCGCACTCGGAGGGTCACTCGGGGCGTATTCGGCGCGTACGCCGTGAACTCGGAGCGTACTCGGAGCGAACTCGGCGTGCTCGGTGCGCACTCGGTGCGTACTCCGCGCGTACTCCGTGCACTTGGTGCGTACTTATTGGTGCACTCGCTGCATTCGATGCGTGCTCGGTATGCAATTGCTGATTCCGGCCGCAATGAAACCTTGTGTCGCAACACTCACTTCCCCGGCACCCGCCGCCGCCAGCCCAAACCCCGCTCTCGTAGACATTGCAGGCCCCCCACACTCCTGTAGACAGTACGCAGGGCCTTCGATTTGCCGTTTTTGCTGGGAATGGTCGCGATTGATCCGTACAAGAAAAACCGGCGAGCGCCTATGGCGTCTTGTGAGCCTCCGCGCATTCTTTTAGAAACTCTTTACCTTTTCACATCGGGGCGGCGGCTAGCCGTCAAAGTCTGTACTGAGACCATTCGTGAACACTCGGGCAGCCACGCGAACCAGCTGGAGCTTGCAAAGGCTCCGGCCGGGGCTGCACCGGCGCGCCTCCGCAGTTCTTGCGCTGCAGGCCTTGCCAGGCGGCGGCGCTCGCTCCTGTATGTTCCTAGCTTGCTGGCGCTTCCTCCCCACTTGGCTTCCAACGTTGATGAGGAGTTGGCTTTGTGGAGCGACGTGTTGCCGAGCCTCCTTGGCCGCCAGCCGCGTGCGATGAGCCTTGCCCGGAGGCCGCCCCAACAGCCAACGCTCCAGTGCCCGGGGACATCCCTTACAGAGGGTTTCGAGGACAGATCTGGCGGCGGAAAAGGCGCGCGATTAAATGATTAAAGAAACATAAAAATAAAAATAAAAACAGCAGCACCACTGGCGCGGCCAATTGCTATTCAATCACACGCCGACCTCACAACCCATCTTGCAGGTCAGCACTGCCGCAGAAAACATATGCTCCCTGCCAGGTGCTGTCTAGCGTGGGCCTGACAGAAGCTACGCACGTGGCACCTGTTTTGAGGTCGAAGCGCTTGCGACCTTAAACGGCGCGCCGTCCCGCGCGTTGTTGCGGTTGCCCTGGATGGCGGGCACCTCCGCGCCTACTGCATTGGCTGTGGGGCTGGCCTCGCTGAGGCGAGTGCGGCGCTGCAGGCACGCTACTGCTGCTGGTCGCCAGAGATGAGGTTCCACACACAGTTGGCAGTTGGCTTGGGGTCAGCCGACTTTGGCGCAGCAGTTTGCCGACCACTTCGACGCAGCTTGTCGCCCATACCAGTACGCATTATCAACCCGGTCGGGCAGAAGGAAGCCTGCAGGCAGCCCAATGCTTCAGGCGCTCCGTGGTGCCGGGTGCGTGCCGGCTGCTTCCTTACGTCCGCATGTGGTATGGGCCCCCGACACGACAGTGAAGGCCAGCCCCATCATGTGTTGCAAGCGGAAGGTGGGGAGCAAGGTGACCCGCTGATGCCAGCATTGTTTGCACTAGCCATGCATCAAGCGCTTGTCGCCCTTCAGCCAGAGCCCGGAAACACTTACTAACTGCTGCCATTCACCCCGGAAAAACGCATCAAAACAAGCCTAGAAGTCCCGCGTGGGCACTGGCGCACCTCCCGGGCGAAACACGAGCAGCCGTGGCAGAAAGACCAAAGCTTCGCTCCCAACGCTGGTCTTCTGCATTGATGCACCGTCTCCACATCCAAGGCATCAATTGCCGTGAAGGCTGCTCTCAAGCGCACCCCTAGCATGGGAGAAAGCGTGCTGGCTGTGCAACATTTGCCTCGTCGAGTTCACTTAGCTCGGCTGCTGGTGCTGTTTTTATTTCTCCGCTTTCTGGCCTCCGATGGCGTCATCTGCTTCAGCCCGGTCGGGCCCGGCTGTCGCCCCGGCAGCGGCGAGAGCTGGATTGGCGAAGCGGTCCCCACGATCTAAAGCCGGCACCTCACCACCTGCAACTGATTGATCTGGTTGGCTGGGTTGGTCAGGGGCGCTGGCGACTTGCTGTTCCGAAGCAAGATGTTCTGGGGGTGGCTGGCGCTGACCGCTGCGTGAACTACCGGGCTGGTCCCTGCCCCCATCCCGGGGCGCCGGTAGTTGTTGAGAGGGACTTCGGTGGCTACGTGCGTTGCGCGGCAGGAGCAACACGTCCTCCGCAACGGCTGGGACGTATCCATCGGCAAGCGTGCACCGCTCGACGGCCCAAGGCAGGAACACTGACGCCTCTGCAAAGAATGGCTTGTAGCACACCAAGCAAGGCAATCTCAGGAGTTCTTGGGACAAGGAACCTGTCAAGCATGCGCGAAGGTTGGACAGCGTGGGGTTGCAGGGCTTGTTCAGCAAGCTAGTCGCTTTCGTGACACCGGAGATCGAGCTGTCAACCACAAGGCCAGCAAGCACTAAACAAAGTTTTCCAACAGCCGAGTACGCGTACGTGGCGGAGTGCGGAGCGGAAGCACGGGACAAGCGGGACAAGGGGACATCGACGAAATTGCAATCCGGGTCAAGTCAAGCAAGGCGCGGAGCAAATGCAAGGGCCACACAAAGCTGAAGCGCAGCGTCAGGCAAGGGCGCGTCACGACAACCAACCCAAACGCAAAGCAGCAGCAATGCGAGCGATGTCAAAGGAAGAGAAGAGTTTTTTTTTCTTCCGGACCTTTTTCCGTCAAGCCGCGGTGAAACAGGGTGAAACACGCGACCGGTCCCTACGCGCCCGGCGCCCAACGGGCGTCGGACAGGACATCGCCCTCCAGCGGCGCGCTGGCGTACGCGTCGCCAACGTCGGTGGGGAGTTGGCAGAGGCTCGCAGCGAACGCCCCGTGCGCTGCGACTGCGAGCATCTGCCCCCACCGGCGCCTGTACGCGGCTGCGACAGCCTTGCGCTGCGCCGCGGGGCTGGCGAGAGCTCGGCCCTGCGCGATGCGGTGGAGGAAGGCCTCAGTCTCCTCGCCCAATCTCCCTCCAACTTCGAGGGCCAGCACCGTCAGGCGACACCGCCGGGCTCGCTGAAACTCCGGGTAGGTTACCCGATGCTTGCGCTCGGCCGCGGTTCGCAAGGCGAGGCCGGGCTCGTGGTCGGCGCGAGATCGGCTGCTCCCGTCACGCCGAAGCGGGCTGACGAGCGTCACATCAACCGCTACCTGCACGCCTCCAAAGGCCGGGAGTCCATGCGCGACGACCTCGAGCCGGCGCCCGTCGGTCAATGGCAGCCCGAGGTTCAAGTCGCGGAGGAAGACGTTGGTCGCAACCCGAGCTCCCGCCTCCCGGCAGATGCGCGCCGCAGCACGCTCCAGGGAGCAAGCGCGGCGGACCAGCACACCGGCTGTGGGGCAGGCTGCCCGGTGAAGTGGCAGTGGGAGGCGCAGTCGCCGGAGGAGCACGCAGCGGAAGGTGTCATCCTGCAGCGTGAACTCCTCGCGTGTTGGCAGCGCCGTGAGAGCGAGGCTGCCGCCTGGCCCAGCCTGGGAGAGCAGCAAAGCCCGAGACGCTCCGTCGAGGTCAGAAAGGAGCGTCTCAAGGGCCCGCTGATCCAGGCTGGCACA